CGCAGGAACTCTTTTGCGCGTGATAGCCAGTCGGCGGTCTGCTGCAGTTCCCCAGGGCGGTGGACGATCATGTGCTTCTTTATGCCAAGCTCGCTGAGGCCAAGCTTGAATTGCGCCAGGGGGTCGGCGTCATTGGTGGTCTTGTGCGCGAACAGCGAGACCACCGTGCCGCAGTCCGTTTCGATCCTCAAGTTTGCACACCCATCAAGGTACGCATAGAAGTGCTTCACAGCCTCGTACACAGCGCACGCCTCGCGCCAGGTTGAGTGTTTCCTCCCTTGCATGCCTCCAAATGCCCGTGAGAAGTAGCATACCGGCGCCAGGTCCTCAGGGTCGTCAGAGCGCTGGGCCAGTAGCACGGCACCCACACCGGCGCCCGCAGCATCAGTGCGCAGTACCAGCGGTGCTCCAGGCGGGGGTATGTAGAGGTGTCGAACGTCGAGCAGTGCCTGCTTAAGCGCATGCCAGGGCTCCTGTAGTGATCTGATGTCGTCTTTCGTCAGCCGCGTCTTGCCCACCATCTGGTAGAAGGGAGCTAGGATGATCTGGATCCATTCCATATGCTCTGCAATTGCGTTAATGCCGCCGCACAGACGCCGGATGCCTGCGACCGTCGTCGGCATCTCCAGTGCTCGCATTGTTTCCACTCGGTGGTCAAAGGCCTGCCATGTCCGGTCGGCGGACCACCGACGCCCCAAGATCTCTACGCCTGTAGTCGCGCACCACAGTGATTTGGACATGTTAATCGTGACATTCGCACGGGCCAGACACCGAGCAAACAGCCCTATATCGTGGATGTGATCAGTCTCATTGCCGGTGGTCGACTTTAGGTAAACATTATCAATGTAGACCATCAGACGTGGCCGCAGCTCTGGCACGCCGGACAGAACATGGGTCAGGAAGGCCTGGGCAATGGCAGGGGATTCGGAGTTTCCCTGCACCATGCGTAGGTTGCGTACCTTGCCTGCGCTGCCCCCGTCATAGGTCCAGAAGTCTGCGACGTCCTCTGCCAGGCGCAGCTGCGTAAAGAACGATGCCATGTCAACTGACGAGATCAGCTTGGCATCACGCAGGAACATAATGCGCTCGACTGGCGTCGGCAGCTGCATTCCAACGCTCAGCATATGTAACGAGTTGTTTGCTGAGTCGTCGAACAGCACACGCCTGTCCGTCGAGTTCGGCTTAACTTTGGAGAACACAGGGACCTGGGCGAATGCAACCGATGGACCGTCTATTCCATACTTGAGCCGGTTGGCAACGAAAGAGTTTCGGGCCTTGTGAGCAGGCTCGCTGAGTGTGTGTTGGACGGTGTACAGGGGGCACGCGTTTGTGCGCATTGGGGGTCGGATGGGCGCATAGGCTGCTGGCGGCGGGCAGCCACTCGGGTACTCACGTAGGGCGCCAGCAGCAGTCATAAGGGTCTTTAGCAGGGATTTGTGGAGCTCGTCCGTAGTGCACTGATCCGTTGTGCGGCTAGCAACATTTTCCGTCGTCACTGCTGGATACAGTGCATCCCACTTGTGGAAGTCGGCATCGCGCGCTTCAACAAAATAGCCAGTTGGTAGGCCTAGTCGTGCCCGCATTGGGCGTGAGACAACTGGTTCCTTGATCGGGGGCGCATCAGGCGGGCCGTCCATTAGTGGGAACATCTGCGGGTCTTGTGCCACTGTGGGGTCTGGCATAGTGTCATAATCCGAGTCGCGTACAGCACGGGGACCATCGGGAAGTTTGTCTGGGTGGTCAGGGGTGCGTTCTGTGCCCTTAAGGCGTCGGCGCATTGCTGGGGTCATGAGGCGGATGCCCAGGCCCTCTTGGGCATGGTTTGACACCAGCAGCTCCCATGGCACCTTCATGTCGACAACGACTGCATCGTCCCAGAACTTTGGGCCACCCTCGACCTGCAGGCAGACGGTGGCCCGCCCAATGCTCTGGTATGCCTTGTCTGACCAGATGGGGAACAGGTCTGGCCTCGAGTTGGTGCGGATACGCAGCTTCAACCGCTTGGCAGCAGCCATGGTGACCAGGCTGACAGCAGCGCCATTGTCGGCTACAGCCATTGCTGGCTTATTATGTGCGCGGAAACCGGGTATTTTCGTAAAATGGCACAGGGCGGCCTGAGTAGAGTTAAACATATTTATTGTCCCAATAGTGTAACTGATACCCAAGCCGCTCAGGCTTTTGGGTCATTGTTGCCATATGAAAGTAGGGTTATCTTGTGGACTGTCTCGAATGCCTTGAGTCGGTCCAGGAGGGTCTCAGCAGTGACATCATTGGGCGCACTTCCTGTACATGCCCAGGAGCGGGTGTCAAGGCCATGTACTAGGCGTGAGATAGTGACTGCAGCATAGTCGCCACCACCCATGGCCTTGTAGAGCCTGCGCGCATAGTTGACCCTGTCCACTGCAGGGATGTTCTTGAAGGCCTTGGCTGGGCCTCCAGCAGCGATGCTGTGTGCCTTGGCCACAAAGTCTGCTTGCGGGATGCATTCAAGGAGCTTCTCAAAGAACTCTTCTGGTGTGTTCACGTCTAGGGTGCCCATGCGTCTGGCAGCTTGTCCGTCAAGCAGCTTTTGGAGTGCTGTGACAATCATTACTGCAGGAGTGCGGGTAAAGATGAAGTTGATTGTCTCTTGGATCCCTGCAATCCACTGCTTGGTTGGATTTCCGATATCTTCGCCATTGAACCGCTTGGCATAGTCTCGGAGCAGGTCCAGCTCCTCTTTGGCAGCCTTGGCTGGGGTCTGGGCAGAGGAGGTGGTAGTCAGCTGGGCAGTAGGGGCAGTAGGGGCAGTGGCAGGAGGTATGGGGTGAATTGCAGTCTGCATTGTCACGTCTGACCTGACGGACATTGTTGTGTTTTTGTTTTGTTTTATGTATGTAAGCGAGTAATAAATTTTGTTATAGTAAGAGGGGGGTGTGAGGAGCACTAGTTGTCTAGTGGTAAAAGTTAGGGGTGATTTTATAAAAGGTTTTATTACTGATGTTTCTAAAGTACTACTAGGGGCCAGCCTCATCTTATATATGTTCCCAGTCGCCTTTGTCGTGCACATTGTCCATTGTGCGCTCCGTTGGTGAGAACTGGATCTTCTGCGAGTAGACCGGTATCTTGGCAAGTCGATGTTGTGGTTTTCGTGCGTGTACGCTTATGCGTGTGCATTACAGGATGGGGGGCATGTTTGGGCATCAGTGTGATGCCTCCCTGATTTGCACCTGCATTATCCAATTAGCGTCCTATCGATCAGCGCGCAGGTGGGAACTTGTTTCGCGGTTCTCGACCTCAACATCTGCTTCCATATCTTCAGTCTGCGCAACAGTGCTAAATAAATAAAATTCAAAAATCTACTATAAGGGAGCTTAAAGAGCTCCGCTTATCTATTCAAAACTATCGACAATGAAAATAGAAATTGCGATTGTCATATGGTATTGCAATAATTGATGTCACAGTACTCGTTTTTCTTGTCTGTCAGGATCTTATGTGAGGCTACAAATACCCACTCACTCTCGTCTAGCTTTGCATGGATAGAATGTTCCTCAGTATCTCTCACCCAGAGTCCAATGGCAATTGCCACTTTCTCTGTATTATCCTCATTTGGTGCCAGCATTGGGCTGAATCTCATCGCTGATTCGTATGGCGACATTCCAGTCATGATTACTGCTTTTTAAAATTTTAGTTTCTATTGTGTATAATTTTTTTCTGTTTGTTTGTCAGTTGTTGATGAGGAAGTGCGGTTCGTCGAATTTGAGGTGCTACCAAATGTAATAAAGATTCTGCTGTTATAATATATATTAATTACAAATGAGACTACGAAAAGAGCTGAAGGGCTCACTATTCGGAATTCGCTGTGCGCATGAAATATTATAAACATATTTCACACATCTGTACTATCACGTGACTCAGCTTCCATTTCTGATGTCACAAGAAGGGCCGGGGTTATGCTGAGTCCTAGTTGTCGTGCTCTATAAAAATGTGGGTCTAAATTGATATATTCAAGTCTTAAAAATTACTTAACTGAAAAAGGGGGCAGCGCTGTGTGGGCAGCGCTGTAAACATCATGGTGTTCCTTGATATCAGCCAGCAATAACAGGAATGTGTATAGTGGCCATGAGGGCGATCTTGATTCTTGAAAAGGGAAGATAGTGGCTTGAAATGTGTGTTGGGCACCACACTAGTTTATCCAGTTGGTAAACTTCTGGGGGTCCCAGCTAGTTGCACTGGAGTGCTGTGGTCTGCGACTGCATGCAGCCAGTCCATCTATTACTCATTTAAATATTCATCCCTTGCCATGTTGTCTTCTCCACATTAGGGGGTACTGCAAGGACCACTGTAAAGAATATATTAATTAGTATAATAAATATTATTCAATTGAGACTACGAAGAGAGTTGAGCTCATTATTATTAAATCACTCGGCAAATGCAATAACATAACAATGAGATTGCATGTGACTATTCTATCACGTGACCCAACCCAATTCTGGCGTCACACTCTGAACATTGCTGTTGGGTATGGCGAGTTCGATTCCGTCTTTATCCATTCCGATTTGTCGCATTCCAACACTGAGTCCAATTCTGAAGCCGTCTCATTCCTGTGACATCAATTATTGCGATGTCACGCGACAATCGCAATTGTGATTGTTTGCGATCGCGATTTCTATTTTCACAGGCGATAGTTTCGAATAGATAAGCGGAGCTTTTTAAGCTCCCTTATAGTGGATTTTTAATAAAATTAGTTAGTACGAATAAGTTTTATTACAATTCCCATTGTTCTCTGACGACTACTCATCCAAGTTCCAACTATCCTTCCTGGTGTCGGACGTTGACTAAAATCCACCCTCTATGTCCTCATCGTTATCGGACCACTCTTCCATGGCAGTATACCTATCATCCTCTGCAGTACAGCAGATGCGGGATTTTGACCCTTGTGCAAAACTTTCCAATAATAGGTCATTTATGTGTACATATTTATTGACAATATATTCGACTGTGCACGCATTTGGTCTGGTCTAGTTGTCCTTGACCGAGCTTGTCTCCAAATATTTCTTGACTTTCTCGGCGGCAGGCAGCTCTTGCGAGTAGTCCTTGTCAGTGCGCGCGCCAAACTTGGCATAGCATAGGACGCGCGGCGCCCCATTTTCAAGAACCGATTCCATACAGTCTTGGATGACACGCGCTACTAATGCGTAGTCACCTTGGAAGTTAGTACCTGAATCATGCATGGTGTGCTGGAGGCCTGATTCGTTGAGAATTGTTTTGACCTTGGCGATGTATCTGGTGAAGGAAACCTCTGAGCCAATGGGCACAATCTGAATCTCGCCGCTGACATACATGTTTGAGAGAATGGTTGCAGTAGTTTTTTATTTTGACAATGTTTATAGCAGTGCGCTTGATATTAAAAAACAAAAATGGAGTGCACAAGATGTAAGGGAAAAAAAATAAAAAAAAAGCAAGAGTGAGGAGAGGAAAATTAGTAAAAAGCAAGAAGAAAAGTGTTTTCAGCAAATCCGCAGGTCTCACGCATCGATATGGCAGGCAAAGTTGCGACAAAACAACGACGCCTTTTTTATTACCAAATGGCTGGCCCATTTACAGTTGTTATATCGCACAGATAAATATAATCACAGCTAATGATTCACTGATCAGATCAGATCAGCGTGCACTGCACGCCATAGTAGTGAGCGAGATGGTCCAAGATGGCTGGGGTTGACGTCAGGCAGTTGAAGGACCGGCGCTCCACGCTACTCATCGTCGCCTCCATCATGTACATGATGTGGTGGTGCATTATTGATGTTGGTGTGCCGTAGGCCAAGGCACAGTTGACATATTTTTCGACACAGGCTAACGGAGTGTGCTCATATCCTGCAAATAAAGCTGGATTTTGCAACAAGCCGCGCGCCGCCATCACGCCGTCAACGCCAGTGTTATCATACATGGCATCGGCATCGGCCAGGCTGAATATGCCGCCGTTGGCAAGTACAGGTACAGATACCGATTCCTTGACCAGGCGGATTATGTTGTAATCAACAGGCTCCGTGCTTTTTTGGTGACGGGTGCGCCCATGAATTGTAATCCAGTCGACACCCATCATCTGTGCGCGGCGCACTAGCTCAACGGTGATGTGAGGATTGGTCGGGTGCTTGCGGATTTTTACAGAACAGGGTATGTTTACGGCTGCCTTCACCGCGCGGACCATCTCGTGCACTGTTTCAGGGCGATCTGATAGGTAAGCGCCAATCTTTTCCTTGTACGCCCATTTTTGCGGGCAGCCGCAGTTGAGGTCGATGCCATCAGCAAATGGCGCGATTATTTGTGCTGCGTGTGCCAAGTCAATTGGATCGTGCGCTGCAAACTGCACAACGACTGGGCAGTCGCGATCGTTGGTGGTATAGTCCTGTCGTGCAAACTCGCTCGATTTAAATACATCGGCCAAAATCATCGGTGTGTAGGCAATATCCACATTGTAGTCCCTCAGCACCTCGCGAAATGCGTTCTTTGAGTATCTTACCATAGGCGCGCACACATTTAGTCTCGGCTTGTCCTCAAACAGTTGCAATAACGACTGCCGTCGACATTCGTAGACCATTTTTTGGTTTCGATAAATAAAAAATATTGTAAATGTGTAAAGGATGTGAGGTGTGTCGAACGGATTCTTTGTACAGCCCCCAGTCACCTCACTGATCGCCCAAGTCTTTTCCAGGAGTCTGGCTGAACCAGAAAATAACAAGCTTACGGGCGCAGGCACGTGGTAACAGAGCCCGAGGTAATAAAAATTGCATTGCAACGCCTATTTATGCTGGCCAAAGATCCAAAACTCGAGCTGTCGCTGGAGATGGGCATACACACCAACAGCTGCTGATTTGAGATGCAGTACAGTAAAATATTCAGTTCCGTTTAGTTCAGTTACATTCCATTCAAATACATTTTATTCAATTCATCTTCTGAGTCGTCTGTTGATTTCTTGCGCCCACTTGCGGATGTCAGACAGATCGCCCTTGAGATACAGGATGCCGGTCGAGTCGACAATGCGCAGTTCGTTGTCGTGTGTGACCTCAGCAGGCGACACACGGGTCCCCAGGCGGTACACGCGGTTGACTTTGAGGTCCTTGTTCATGATGATAGTGCACTGCATAATAATGTCGCTGAATAGAAATAAGCGGTAGACAGTTCCAGGGCTGACGCGTCGGACGCTCACGCTGCCCGACCTGTCCGTGGCAAGCTCGGAGAACGCCTGCATGCGAAAGTTGGCCATCAGTTTAAAGATGCGGCGGGGCACAACCAGAGGTATGTCCACAGAGCCCGCGACCTTTTCCTGGATTTTGGCCAGGCGAGACTGATCCTCAAACAGGCGCTTCTTTTCATTAATCTCGTAAATTGAGTTGTTGAGATCCTTGAGCGCCACATACAGGGACTCGTGGTCCGGATGGTCGGCTGGCGTGTTGCTCAAAAGATCGATCAGCAGCATTCGGTAGCGCGGCAGACGCTGCACTGGCGTTAGCAGGTGGCCGTCTAAGCCAACCTGCCCTAGCTGCGTGACGTCTCCACGCGCGTCCTGGATAAAGTTGCTTACCGCGCGCCGCGAGGCTACGCTCACCAGCGTCGCCACGCTGGTTTCGTGGTTGTTGGTGTACACCGAGTACAGCTTGAGATGCGGGCCGTGGTGCAGAAACACACTGCCGATAGCCATGTCCGGCTGCGAAATGGCGTGAGTAATCGCAGGCAAAAAGTGGTCGTTGTGAAAGGCCAGGATAACTTCAATGTTGGAGAAGATCTCACGCAGCTCAGACTCGGAAAGTATTTTTGCCTCACGCATGGGATTTAGGTATATGCCCACGACATTCTTGAGGGTATCTACGTAAGTGACCTCAGTGACCAGCAACTCAGACAGTATTTTCAAGCGCTGGCTGCCGCCAGCCGACAGCGCCTTTTCGCGGTACACACGGTCAATTCCCGAGGAGGTGTCCACGCGCACAGCACTGCTGCGCAGCTGCGATAGCATGCGCCCAATGCTCTCGTGCTCGCTGTGGAGCGGATCCAAGTCCCACTCATCGCAGAGCTGCCAGAGCACTCGCGCCACCTTGGCCGCGTCCTGAATAAGGCCCATGTTGTCATCCACCGACGAGCCGTGCGACTCCTGCGAAGTGGATCTCAGGCTGATGCGGTCGGTCAAGCCAGCAGTTGTAGTTGTGGTGATATCGCTAATTGCAGTGCTGTGGCGCGACTGAGAGCTGCGCGCCATAACAATCGCCTCACTTTCTGGCAGCGCAATATCCATGGACATATTCCGCACCGATTCTGCGGTCGCGGCCGCAGCCACAGTCGGTGTCTGCAACGGAATGATAGCGAGTGGCGAGGGCAGGGGCGGCAGCTGTCTCGTCATATACTCGCTCAGCTCAGCCGAAAGGTGAAATGCGGGGCCCCAGCTCATTAGTGAGATCCTGTTGTCGTACTTGGCGGCTCTGGGCACAAAACCCGCCAACAATCCATGTGCAGCCCCGCCAGAACTAGCACCGGCACCGGCACCAGCACTGGCGCCGATGCTGTCGCTGCTGTCAATGCCAGCCAGCTGGTTGGCCAGTGTGCCAGATTGGAAAAATGCGCTATCACGAAATGAGGCCTGGCAGCCCGGAGCCAATGACAGCGGCCGATGTGATTGTCTGGCATCGCAGCCAGCACTGGCACTTAGACTTACACTGACAGCAGCTGGCGTCGGCAAGCTGCTCTGCTTGGCGCTGCGGGTGCGTCTCAATCGAACAGTCACCAGTCTCTTCAGCGCGGCACTATATTCGTTTGTGTGGAGCGGCGTGCTGCTTTCGATCCCAGCGCTTTGCAGCCCATCCTTCTTGGCGGCCTTTTCGCGCAGCCTTTCGCTCTTCTCCTTGTCCTTTGCTATCTTTTTCGCGTCCTTTGTGGATACGGTCAGTATTGGCTTGACAAGATCGCGGCACGATTTGTTGAATGGGTTCCCATCGACAATTAGGACACAGAGGTTGTGCACGAGCAGGCCTAGGTGTGACGGTAGTGCGGTCAGACGGTTGTCACTGACGCTGAGCATGCGCAGGCTTTCAAGGCGCGACAGCGACACATGCAGCGATTCCATGTGGTTTTCAGAAATGTCCAAGACCTCAAGGTTCCGCAGGCAGCCGATCGCAGCGGGCAACTCTGTCAACGCGTTGCGGCTGGCATTGAGCTCGCGCAGACACTGGAGGTGGCGAATTTCCTCAGGCAGGGTGGCTATCTGGTTGCCAGATATATCGAGGCTGTGCAGCGCGCTGAATGTGTGTCCAAAGCTGGGTGGTAGCTGTGTCAGCATGTTGAAGCTCATATTGAGCGAGAGCGTGTCGGCTACAGAAATGCACACATGATATTTGCGTGGTTAGGAGTGTAGTGTGTTGGCTGGTGGGGGCAGCGAGCATGAGCAATGAAAGAAAAGTCCCTTGGCTGTCGCCATAACAAAGAGAAAAGTAGCAAAGCAAAGCCAAGGGCGCGAATGCGAATGCACAAGCCAATGCGAATGCGAATGCGTGAGTGAGGTAGCGAAGATAGAGCGAGGTGAATTGGCGCTTACCAGGTATGTCCTGCGGAATTTCAGGCAGGCCGTTTTTGCTACAGTCAATACACACTGTGTGGCGAGGCGCTGGGCGGGTGCTGTCGCCTGTGCGGTAGGCTGAGTGGTGCGGCATGCCTGCGGTTTCGGGGCTGGCTGCATCGGGTAAGGCAGATGTCCAGGACTTCATGCTGGCAGGGTGGGCAGCAGCGCAAGTTGCAAGGCAGATGGCTCGGTCGTTTGAATAGCGGCGAAACAGAAAAAATAACTAGAAAGGGCGTCCTGGGGCTGTGGTGGACAAATGAGCGCGGTTTTACGTGCCGCGATGGCCGTTGAAGAAATAGCAAATAAAGAATAACAATGGCAAAAAAATAGGTGAGGCAAGAGAGGCGACCTGCGACGCGCGACCAGCAGCAGGCCAGGGGCAGTTAAATGCAAAGAGGCGCACAGCAGCTATCACGCGATTCTTGGCTTGCGTTCCCCATCTGTGCGTTGGCAGGCTCTTCTGCAGGGAGCGCAAAAAGAGGCAGCTCACCATTGTGATCGATTGCCCTTTGCACCTCCACTCGTTTCGTATCTGAAAGTGGATGCAAGAGCTGCCCTTGGATCGGCGGCCCCGGCAAAAAAAGATTGTTGTTTGTGATTATGTATTTTCGCAATTAAAAGGTTTAAAAGCAAACGGGCGGGCCGGCAACCCCTAAGGCAGCTCAACGCAGCCGCAGCCGCTTGCACAGCATTGGTCAGATTCCCAAGGCGACGGTGCTTCCGGAGGACCGGCCGCTGGGGTACACACGCCTAGAGAAGCTTGCCACGGGCGGCGGCGGCAGCTCGGAGAGCGAGTGGAATGTCCACTTGCCCTCGCGCACTGGCACGCCCGAGGGGGCGTCTGCACTGGCGAGTCCATTGGGCTGCGACAACGGCGGCGGCGGCGGCAGGTGGCTGGGCGCCTGTGTGCTGTTGGTCCTTCGGTGGCCATATACGCCATCCGCTGCGCCTGGTGGAGGAGGAGGTGCCCTGGCAGGCGTCGCAGGCGAGAATGTGTTGTCGGCCAGTGTCCTGCCATAGCCCGGCGCCTTGCTCCTGGTCCGCTGGCCGAACATGCCAGCCAAGGAGCTCACGCTGCCCTGGCTCTCCTGGACAATGCCGCCCGCATCCGCAGTGTCTTCGGTGGAGCTGCGCGCGTTGACTGGCGACGCGGCCAGCCCAAAGTGCCCGCCCATGCCCGGCGACGGCGACGAGCTCTGCGGAGTCGCACGGCCCATGCCAAGCCCAGCCGGCTTCGGCTTGATCTGAGGCTTGCGGGACGACGGCGGCGGCGGCGGCGCCTTCTTGGCAGCAATCGAGCCGAGCGGCAGTGGCGGGGCCGGGTTGGGCGGTGGAGGCGGGGGCCTCGCTTCGACATCGCTGGGTCGCCGCCCAGGCAAGGCCGGCAGCCCCCCAAATGCCGGCGGTGGCGGTGGCGGCGCCTTGACCATGTGCGGATAGGTGGGCGCCTGTGCCATCGGCGGCTGCTCGCTCCTGGGGCCGACCGCATCTGCTTGGCCACTGCTGCTGCTGCGTGCGTGGCTGCCTCGGCGGAATGTATTTGCAAACCATGATCCAGTGCTTGGTTTCTGCTCGGCCGTTGAATCCGCCGGCCGTGTTGTTGCGGGCGCTGCATGGCGTTCTGGCGCGCCATTGTCGTCCTCGCTCGCTACAAGCAACGTACAAAAATCCAAAAAGCGGGGGTGACAGAATGACACAAAGAACAAGTTAGTACATCGAATGGCGGACAGCGAGCCAGAAAAGTCGCATGCAAAGCTGCCTTTATGTCTTTGGTGCGAATAAACATACTTCTTATATTCACGCCGCCCGAGCGGTGTTTTAACTTGGGCATCCCGCCCGAAAAGAGCCCCCCTAGGCCCGGGAGCCCCGCGGGAGGACCTCTGGGTTCGGCAGGTGCGCTGCTGCCGATGCCGTTGCTGTTACCGCCGGAGTTGGTGTTTCCACCGCCTTTACTCATAGAAAAGCCACCCGGTGGGGGGACGGGTGGCCGCGGAAGTGCCATGCCACCCATTGGCGGCCTACCACTGCCGCCGCCGGTGCTTCCTACCGGTGGGGCCGAGCGGTCGTCGGTCTTAACCTTTTTAAGCCCTTTTCCCTGCTGAATTTGTTGCAGGAGTGCGCCTCTACTGGCCATTGTGTTTACAGTCTCTGTTGCTGTTGCTGCTGCTGGCTATCTAGTTTCTAATGGGCCGAATGGTTTGGAGTTTTTGGAGCGCAGATTAGCAATAGTTTTTTCCTTCAAATTTCGAGTGCCGAGCTGTGTAATTGAACGCCAAATTTGTGTAATCTGTACAATGTAAAAAAAGTGTAGAATTGAAAAAAAGAAGCAAAAAAAGCTCAGCTTCGAAAGTGTCGCCTTGGCATTATGCCCTGCAGTTTTCAATTGTACCGAGACCCGCAGGACGATGACACAACATCACAAGCACGGGCTCTGGCCAATAGCGCTTAGGCCACGTGAAGTGATCAGGGCCGCTGATTAATTAGCACTGCATTACTTTTTTTTCTTTGCTGGCTGTTCATCATCTTTAGAAAGATGCGAATGATCTCCCAATCTTGCGCTCTCCTTTCCCTTTCTCCTTGAAATCCGCCTGGTGTATACTCAAACACGCTTTTAGACACTTACATTTTTACACACACAGACGCACAAGCACGCACGCTTTACAGCTTTGCTCTGCTCTCGATTTAATCCGCACCATATTTTTGACCGGGGCATCACCTTTGGTTCCAACCAACCCAGACAGACGCTACTAGGCTTGTATGCTTCGCTGCACCATTGGTTTTTCCAGACATAGAATTGCACTTTTACCACCGCTCGCGCTCACCAACACACTCACTAGAGGGCTCGCTCCATTGAAGAGATACACAGCAGCATCGGCCTTTCAAAGACTGCCAAAGATGCCAGAGGAACTTACCAACACTAGCTGTGCGATGGTCACTTCTGCCGAGATTGGAACCAAACGCGAGGGCTCGCCCGTCCACGACAATGTCATAGCAGCAGAGGGCACAGGACCCACCGACGTTGAGCCCCAACCCGAGCAGAAGCGCAAAAAGCTGGAGCACAACGCTGGTAACCGCAACCGCAAGCCCCGGGTTGTGCGCAAGTCCAGCGCCGATGAGACTGTGCTCGACACGATAGATATGCTTCTTCGCAGCACCTGGGCCGAGGGGCGCGCCGAGACAAACTCCGAGGAGGCCCCCGAGGCATTTGGCTGGGAGGCCGGCGACAAGCAGGGCGAGGCTGAATTTTGCCGCGCAGCACCGGTGCCCGCCAAACTTGCCGGTGGTGCCGAGGACGAGTGCGAATTTGAAGTATACGTGCACGAGCTAACCGAGCGCGGAGTCGGAGTGGCAACCCGCGAGTCGGCAGCCGAGCTGCGCGAGATGGTCACTGCGGGCAAGCGGCCTTGGGCCTTTGCTGTGTCGTTCACCCTGCGTGGCGAAAGGGTCAGGATAAGGTCGGTACGGCACGAGTGGGGGTACACGCACACCGATCTGCTGGAGGTCACAGAAAAGTCGCCGCTGCGCATAGAGGCGCCGTGCCAGTACTACGGCAAATGCTCCGGTTGCCAGCTACAGCACATTGGCTATGCTGATCAGCTGGTTTTTAAGCGCCAGGTGGTTGAGCGCGCGCTCATGCAGGCCAACACCCTGTTTGCCAAGCTGCCTGTGTCCGAGGTCTCGCAGTCGCCGCTGCCGTTTGGTTATCGAACCAAGTTGACGCCGCACTTTGACATCCGCAAGGACACGCCGCCAGAACAGGTTGCAATTGGCTTTGGCATGGCCGGCCAGCGCCGCGTCCTGGACATCGAGGACTGTATGATTGGCACAGACGCTGTTCGCAGCGGAACAACAAAGGCGCGCGAGGTTGCGAGGGCCAAGATGGACACGTACAAGCGCGGGGCGACGCTGCTTGTGCGCGAGACGAACGTGCCCAAGGGCGATCCCAAGGGCGATGTCACCACCATCCCGGCGTCTGACCTTGTCAAGGACTTTATCCTGGAGCCCAAGGCGTGGGTCACCGATGTGGTCGGCGACCTGAAGTTCCGCTATCCGGCGTCATCGTTTTTCCAGAACAACGCCTCGATCCTCCCTGCGTTCACTGGCTATGTGCGCGACGAGCTGAGCAGTTGGAACCAACGGCTTTCAGCCTCCGAGGGCGGCCCGAGAGCAATCACTCATCTAGTCGACGCGTACTGCGGGTCAGGGCTGTTTGGAATCGCGTGCCACGCCGACTTTGAGCGGGTCGTGGGCATTGAAATCTCCAACGAGTCCATCTCGTGCGCCAACGACAACGCAAAGATGAACGGCGCCGACAACTGTGACTTTCTCCTGGGCGACGCGTCAAAGATATTTGACAAGGTTGCCGCCAGTCCAAGAAGCACTGCTGTGATTATCGACCCCCCGCGCAAGGGAAGCAACCCCGACTTCCTGGACCAGCTGATAGCCTACGGCCCTCAGGTCATTGTGTACATTGCCTGCGGTGTGCCCGCGCAGGCAAGGGACATCAACCACATGTTCAGCAGAGGTGCAATAGCCGTTGACGGAGCCACTGCGTCAGTAGAGACAAAACCGACTGCCGTGTACCGAATCACACGCATACAGCCGTTCGATCTCTTTCCGCAGACTTTCCACGTCGAGAACATTGTCACGCTTGTTCGCCAGGACTAGGTGCGGGACCAGGCCTAGGGCCAGAGCAGCACAAGCCATGTGGGGGATCGTTGGCCGCGTCTACGGCGCTGCAAGCCAGCACACAGTAGCACCGCGGTGTCAACACAAAAAGACAGCCCACCATCGTTTCTTGATTACACTTTGCTCGAGAAGGCTAATATAATGGCTATTTCACGGACGCTTATTAAAATCCGGTCTGTTTAGTTTTGTTTTATTTCGACTCTTCATCGCGGTCTTAATTTTTATATTTAATTTACTCTGCTGTGAGCTGCGCAACCCACCACTCAATACAAAGTATAGTTTACAGGCAATCTTCATTATTCCCCACCACATCATATAATATATCACATAGTATCATATCAGAAGCACCGCCAGCAATGTTCACCTGCGTAGGGGCGCGACGCCGGGCCACGGTATCGGATTCGCGAAACACGAGCAGCCATAGCAGGCTTGTCAGCGTGAACGACGGGGGTCCGTGCCACTGGTCTAGGGAAGCACAGCTAAGCAGTGACGAGCAAAGCAGGGCCGCGTGGTTCTTATTTGAAGCCAATCCGCGAGTGCGGATACGCAGGTGGCACTCGAACGAGTGCCATGACCTCAGCACCATACCTGAGAGGGCCAATAGCCGCGCCGTTCTGCGCACCGCCACTACAGCGGTGGCAACAACGCAAGGCCACACGCTGCGAGCGCCACCGCCGGTTGTGCACGCGCCAATGTGCGGGCACAAGCGAATAATGTCGGCACCGGCCGGAAATACGCCAGCACCGGCGCCAACAGCGATGCTGCTTGTAGGTCCAGGGATGCTACATACATCGAGAACACGACCGGCAATGCCTGGGGATGATAATAGAGTCCACACAGCGGCGTGGTCAAGGCGGGCGTCGACTATTTCGACTGTGGATAGCCACATGCACTCGCTGCTTGTGCCTGATGACAGCCAGCCATCTAATAGCATATGCCAGGTCATGGAAGCCGCCAGTGGCAGTGGTCTGTGCGAGTTTCCGCGGTGGGGAAACGCCCCGTCGATAAGCTCGTATCTAATGGCGGATGGCAGCATTAACAGCAGGGCGCCGTTCATGTGCCACTCTGCATCGCGCAGCACTGGCAACAGGGTCTTTGAATCTGGGTCTGGAGCATCTCGATCTTCGAACAGCGCATGGCTGCGGCCGATTCCAAGGGCGCCGCGGCCAAAGACGTCAACATCATCAGCCAAGCCAAGCAGCGAGTGCTTGTTCATCGTAAAATCAAATGACACAATGTGCGAGTGGCGGCCGTCGTGGGATGTCATATAGAATACGCATTTTTGAGGAGCAACCAAAAAAGAAAAAGCAAGAAATAACACGGAATAGCCAATAAAAGCATAATTTGCTGTCTATTGATACTTTAATGTCCATAAAGCTTTTGGCAACGAGTTCGGTACGCAGTCAAAGTAGACTGTGCAACCTTTTCGAAGGCCAGGCTGGCGGCCTGGGCGTGCAGCACTGAAGCAAATTCAAACTCAATCGAGAAATGGACAAGCGTGCTTGGGCTGCTGCTGTTCACAAACGCGCTTTTCGGGAGCCCGGCTGCTGCACTGGATCCGTCTGACTGCGACAGCTCCCACACAGTCTTCATGTGCTTGAATATTCCGCCTCCGGGAGCAGCGGTGGCCACGATGCGCCACGGCTTATCCAGTCTTACAAACGACGTGTAGCGTTCCTGCAAGGGTGGGTACCCAATTACGAGCTCGGCATCAAAGCTTTGGCTGTCTGCGTCGCCTAGAATCAAAGCCGGCACCGTTCGCCGCGTGTTGGGCAGCACTGTCGAAGCGAGGCACATCGGCACAAACTTGTGGTACTTTTCGACGTCGGCAACCACGTTGAAGATCTGCTCCGGTGTATAATTAAAGATGCCGGTATCATTGTAAACTTTCTTTGTTGAGAAAGACGGAAGCGATGGCAGTAGGAACCCGCGCGAGCCACCCTGTAACTTGGCCACACCATTCACAGCGTGAGCCAGTCGCCGCGAAAAAATTGAATTCATGGTGCGTCTTAGTACTGTCACTCAAAGTCAATAGGTTTAAAAGCAGCCCAACTGTATGTAGAAGTGCGAGGGCGTGCGGCGCAGAGATTTTACTATATAAGTGGCGAAAGTAAAAATAATTTGGTCCGGCAGAGGCGAGATAAAGCGAAAAGAGCCGAGATCAAAGAATGATGAGCTAAGGTAATTGAGAGCCCAAAAAATAAAATAAAAAATTGATGCGTTCGTTAGCACGGGAATTCTGACATGCTATCCCATTACTTGAAGCGCAGCGTGGTTTTGAAATCCTCACAACCCTCCGGAGAGCGGAGGCGCGCGCAATCTGGCCAGCACTTGTTCGTTGTCTACCCGCATTTATCGCAAATACCCCTCACATATATTCTTTTACATTACGAAACGCTCCGACCTTCTGTACCTCTACATTGGCGCCCGTTCATATATCTGCATTACCCATGACCAGCAACAATGACGGTAAGTTGGCAGCTGTCTGTGTTAGTTTAGGTCTCTAGAGAGCCCACAGCCTCAGTCTTTTCAATTTTTCTCAACCAAATTTTTTGTTTGTCCCTGTAGAAAGCATTATACGTAGCCGACTGATTGTTGAAGACCGGCCACTCAGGCGCTGTCTGCAGCAACTGTCGACTATGTGCGCACAGTATGAAAAAATGAGCCCTGGGGAGACCCAAGCGGCGGGAGCGCGCGTCTTGCAGGAGGTTCGGTGGTTTCGCCATACATCACAGGTGGCTGTGCAGAGCCAGCGCCGCTGTGAGAAGGAGCTGCACACATACTCCAAACGAAAGCGTGGCCTGGAGGACGCAATTACCGAAGGCGACGCTGACGTCGAGCGCCTCGGCGACAGGCTCGAGGAATCACGCAGCCACAAGTGCCACCGCATTGCATACGACGAAATTGCGGCTGAGGCTAACAAGTACCCTTCGCGCCAGAAGCTGCAGCTCGAGATTGATGAGCTGAACAACGAGATCGAGCAGCTGCGCCAAGAGGAGGCAGCGCATGATACGGTTGTTGCCTCGCTCCGCACGCAGTACGCGACCGTGCACGAAGAGCTACGGCGCTTGGCCGATATGTCTGCGACCGCACTGAGCACGCAGGACCTGGGCATAATCATGGCTGATGCTGATGGGGATGCCGAGCCACATCCTTCCATCGGCGTCTCACCTGCCACTCCGCATCAACCAGGGAACGCCCACCCAGTGTTTGGCTCGCCAGCCGATGACATGCCGTTGGGCGCTCGCGACGATGATGAAGATGACGACGACGACAAGGATACACACGGTAAGGCTGACGATAATGGTGAATGCAACGCAGGCACTCGTAATCCTAATAGCGAAGGCACTGACAACGAGGAGGATGGCGCGTTGGACACAGCTGACGACAACGACGACGACGACGATGAAGACAACAACGTCAACGCCAATGTCAGCGTCGGTGTCCCTGCCCAGAGCCCCAAGAGCCCCGACGAAGGGGGCATTGTCTCGGAGGAAGAGGAGGAGGGGGAATGTGAGGACGAGGAGGGTGAGCTGCTGGGATAACAGCATAGAGGCATAACGATATAACGGCGCAACTGCTGTGCTATCAATGTGCATTACTTTTTTACTTCAAATGTTAAATATTTAGTACACTTTGCTCACTTGATTAAGGCCAACCCGAAGCAAACTCCGTCCATCAAAAGCAGGCTGGGCCGTTAGGCAGAACATGGTGTGAACTCATTTATTTATACTGTTCAGGCGGCGGCGCCGCCGCTGCCGGCTGGGTCCACCGTCCAACAGCGCCAAGCGGGTGCTGCTTAGGCATTGGCCCTGCTGTTGCTGTGGAACACTGTGGCCGTGCTGTCATTTGGCTGAGATTCGGCGTTACAGACAACGCTGCCTTTTGTAAATGCATATTGTATGCAAAGTCATCATCATAAGCACCATGCCGCAGTCGCTTGGCTGGGTTTGCGTCGATGCAGCGCGAAAAGCTCAGCCGCCGATTCGGGGGCGCTGGATGTGATTCCATCTGTATCGGACGCTGATAAGGCGATTTTGAAAGCGCCAAGGCGCGTATCGCGGGCGGTGTTGCTAGCATGAGAATCGTGCGCGCGACCTCGTTATCGCTATCGCTACCTTCATCATCTTTGCTGTCTCGAGACTGCGTTGGCGAGGTGCGCGGCAGTAGCTGCGGCGACAGTGGAGTGACAAGCTGGTGTTGCGCTGTGGAATTCACTGAATGATATAACTCGCAAACCCTATTTTGTTCAGGAACAGTTGGCAAGTCCACTGCACTGCCTTGCTGCAATGTGCTACTGTGACCACGCGTTGTGTCATCTCCAAGCAGAGCCTCACTGTACATTCCTGAATGGCTGCCTTGTGAGTAGGAGTGAGAACGCCCACTCATCAAACGCGACCGAAACATCCGTCTTGGGCAATGCATCTCGAGAGACTCAGCATGGACAAGCGGAAGCAAAAAAGTTCTGTCACGAGCCTTTGCGTGTTGTAATTGGTGGTTGGCGTTGGGAATGATGGCTGACAGCGAGCACCCTATGTCGCGCTCGATTGCTGCGCGTGCCTGCCGGAGCCGCGCGCGCATCCGCTGGACTATCTACAAGTAGTTATGGATGTTTGCAGTTCAGTACAACAAAATGAGCCAAAGATGTTTAGTTGAAAAGTACTGTTACAAAAACAGTCGATACGTGCGCTCTTTTCTAAGACGTGTTACCTGATATGACGATGGGCTGCGCGGTGGTGATGGTGCTGTTGCTGCTGTTAACCGCCGCCGAATCACATACAGGTTTGGCGGGCGCGCCTGTGGCCGTAATTCTGGCGAGTTGGGATTCATTGTACAGTGTAAAAGAAGCCTGCTTGAATAATGGTGCAGAATGAAAGCCTTGCCAAAAGTGAACGAGCAGAATAAAGGAGCAAAACATAAAACGAGGATGGATGTTGTGGAGTGGAGAGCAGAAAGGGTCTCGCGTTTTTCTTGTGTTTATATTTTTATTTACCAACGCGACATAGCAGCCTTTGCCTCAACTCTCATGTTTTTTACGAGCTGTCACTCAGCGATTCCTTGGTATCTATGCACCGACACCGACGTCAATGCCGACGTCACCATCAAAATCACCATCAACATCAGTGCCAGCTGTCAAGACGCTGATGATGATGATGTTGACGACGATATTGGATGTTGGATGTTGGATGTCGCTGCCATGGCGAGAAATATTTACAGAGCAAGTGGCGTTCGGATGACGGTAAAAATGCAATTGCAAAACAAAACAAAAGATGAGAAAAAATAAACATTACTAGGACTGGTGGCTTGAGGCGAGCAGCTGGGCGCGGCAGTGCCGTGCGTTGCGCGCTACGTGTTATTAATTGGAAAATATTAGTTGTGAGCGGGCCGGATTGTGCAGTACCAATGAGGTTTGCAAATGAATCCGCGGGTGAAAGCAATGCAAAGGGCGCTTCTCGCTCTCAGAAATTGCGATTTACTCGGTTGTGGCGGTAGGTAAAGCCAATAAAGGCGGCTGGGTCAATGGCCTCGTTGGCCGGCTGGCTGTCAACCAGCGTGTCCAACTCCTTGCGCTTGTTGTACACATCGCGGTACAGCTCCATGTCATTGGGATTCGAAAAGTCGTCAAAGTACGCCTTGTCAGTCTCAGATTGCAGCTCAGGCACAAACGGCGGCTGCTCAGTAGCCCGAAGACTCCCCATCGCCATGCCGCGGAAGTACGGGTGCGCCATGGCTTCGTTGACTGAGCACAAGCGCTCAGAGCGATGGCTGACCAGGCGCGAGATCAGGTCCCACGCATCGGGGCGGAGGTTTTCTTCGGCCTCCTGTGAGTCGAACTCGGGGCGGTGGAATGCCTTGCTCCAGTGGTATACGTTGCGCCAGACATCATCGGCTGAGGGTCCGGTGAATGGAGCGTAACTGGCGAGGAACTCATACAGAATGCAGCCAAGCGACCAGTAGTCGACACGAAAGTCATAACCCAAGTGTGCATCGCCGAGCTGGGGGTTGGCCGGAGGCGCGCTGGGGGCGGCGGCGGCAGCAGCTCCGCCCTGCTGTTGCTGTTGCTGCTGTTGCTGTTGCTTCTTTTTCTTTTTCTGTTGGTCCATAACCAGCGACGTGTACAGGATTTCGGGCGCCATGTAGTCGGGCGAGCCAACGATAGAGTATGCGCGGGGCATCTCGTCCTGGCGCATGCTCTTGTAAAAGCTGCGCTTCTCGCTGGACGAGTGGTATATGATTTCCTGGTCCTTGACCTTGTCAAGCTTTTTCTTCATGGCCTCCAGTGTGGGGCGGCTCAAGTGTCCGTGCGACAGCCCAAAGTCGGTCAGCTTAATATGACCCATGGCATCAACCAAAAAGTTCTCGGGCTTGAGGTCGCGGTGGAAGTAGCCAAACGAGTGCAGCGCAGCAACAGCCACGATCATCTCTGCAATGTAGAAACGGGCAATCTGATGGCGCAGTATACCGTTTTGGTTAAGAAGTGTGCGCACGTCGCCGCCAGGAACGTACTCCATGGCCAGGTACAGCGATTGTTGGTCCTGGAATGAGTACAGCAGCTTGACCAGCCATTCAGACTTTGAGGTGCGCAGAATGTCGCGCTCTGTCAGAATGTGCTGCACCTCGCCCAGTTTGACGAGCAGCTTCTTGGCCATCTTCTTCAGTGCACAGACCTCGCCAGTGTCGCGCTTTCGTGCCAGAAACACTTGCCCGTAGCCGCCCTGGCCAATCTGCGCCAGAATGTCAAACTCGCGCTCACGCGTGCGGTTGCGGCGGCGGCGCAGAATGGAGGACTCGTTGACACAGTGGGTAGTCCACGAGTCCTGCACATGCTGGCGAGTGGTTTGCACGCTGCGAATGGCATTCTTAAAGTCCTCTAGGCGCCGTCGCCGGTTGGCAATGTATGTCAGATGGTCGACGTAGTATTCAAGGAAATATACCTGGGCGGCCTCAACCTTGCGTCGGATTGCTGGGTCAATAGTGTCAAGGAATGCGTTGCGCCGGGTCATAGACCCTGCTGCGTTGTGGGTGCCACCGCTGCTGCTTCCCATGACGCCGAGGCCAACTCCGCCGGCTGCTTCGTTGCCGCCTCCAACCGGCCGTGCGAATGCACCGGGAGAATCAACGACCATCCCTTCGCCCAAATCGGCGCGGGCACCATTTGCGTTTGTGTTGCAATTGGCGATGTTGTTGGTCGTAGGATTCTGGCGCATCCTACGGACCTGCTGGGAGAGGAGCACACTGTTGCTGTTGGCGTTCTGCGACGAGAACTGGCTGGGTGGTGAGTGCTGGCCGATGATGGCCTGGTGAATGGTCGGGGCGGCCTGCTGATAGCTGTGATGTTGCTGCTGCTGTCCTGCGCTGTGGTGATGGTTCACCAACTGTGCGTATTGCTGTGGCTGCGGCTGCGGCTGCGACTGCTGTTGCTGGTGGTAGTACACCTGCTGCTGCTGCTGAGGGTGGTGGATTGCAGCTGCGTTTCCGGCGGATGGTGCTGAAAACATATGATGCATCATGCCGTCAGCGGGCGCAAAAGCGACCGATGGGTGATGGTCCTGGTCATAGTCCATCCCCTGTGCCATGTGGTTCGACATTCTATTAATACTATTATTGGCGCTGGTTATCGTGCTGGTGATATGGTAGAGTGCGTATGGAAATATAGATAAATGCGATGTTTCTTGGAGGAAAGAGTAGCGACTGGCGAAGAAGCAGACTCAAGAGTCAATAGACAAAATAAAGTGCCAAAAAATGGAATGGAATGGCAAAAACAAAAATGTAAACAAAGAAAGGAGAAGGGGGATTGGCCAAAGCAAGAGCACAATACACCAGTTTCCTTCACTTGCTGTCGGATTTTCAAGCGTAGAGTGCAGCCAAATTGGCAAGTGAAAGAATGGAAACATTTCGGAAACCCAGTCCATATAAGTAAACAGGAGCGGTGACTTTTATGGAAAGTAAACCTTTTTAGTCGGCTGCCTGGAGACTAGTATTAGCGGAGATCTTGAGCTTGAGCTTTATTCTTGGAACCTTTTTTCAGGCTGTGTTGCAGAAATAACTGTTGCTGGGGTCTTGAATATGAGCTTGGTTCTTTGACTCTACACTCATCCTTTTTTGTTGAATAGGATCTTTGATGGACTTGGAAGGTGTCACTGCGGCGTAGTACGCATCAGCATCCTTCAAGTCGTCGACGCACTGCTTGGCTGTGACACCGCTTGGCTTTTACTTGTTGATGTCGTGGTCAATTGGCATACCATAGGCATACTGGATCTGCAGGAATTTATCGTTGGTGCACCGCAGCAGGCCGCGGCAAAGATTCTCTCAGCGATTTTGCCGACGAGCTCGATTGGCCCGCATCTGATACTGAAAGTTGCTGTTACCATTGCTCTCTGTCCAACGCATTGTGTTTCTCCCGCTGCCGGATCTTGCGCTATATCTTGACCTTCCCCTTTGGCCATCCACACTTGGCGCCGTAAGTCCTGATGATGTTGGCTGATAGGGAACCAACAGACTGCAGCTGATCAGTTTCAGTGTCACTGTCCATGCACTTGGGCTTGAGTTTGCAGTTGGACTTGCTGACTTTGTGTGGATTAAGCACTCAGTGATGTTTCTCTAACTCGAAGTGGCATGCCGGTCAGAACTTGGACGTCGGGAACTTGCCGATTAGGAACACTTTGAAGCCGTGTCGCAGCAGCATCTCGCACCTTCCGGGGTCAATGAACACAGCACGATTGATCCAGCCGAGAATGTCATTAGACATCAGGTCGTCGATGTAAGGGAACCGGCTGTCCCACTTCTTCCGCTTTCGTTTTTAACACTTTTTCGACATTAGCAGCTGTCCCAACATCAACACCCTTCCAAATCTGCTTGTGTTTTTAGGGACACTTGCTTTGACAGCAGGTTGAGCGGCGGACCAGTACTTTTTATAACATTTTTTGCAAATATATTAGAATTCTAATAAATCGAATGCGACGAAAACAGGGGACCCGCCTATATAAAAAACGTGACCTCAATAAGCAAAATCTGAATAAATCAAGTCAAAAGTCCAGAAATTACGAAAATAAACTGATTCCCATCACAACGGTGTAGGTGGGTGTAGTGCATGTTTAAATTGTTTTTTTCCCAGATTTTTGGCAAGGGCCATTATCACGTGTGTGTATCATTCACCGCATTACAACTATATATATTTTGTGACCAATACTCGTTGCAGCGAGCAGCATTTAGCGTTATCACATTTCAAGGCAGATCGCGCTTCGCTTCAATTTGGACTCCTCTCTTTGTTCTCCACTTTGACTTTTTGCGTTATACAAATCATAAGGGCCTTAATTCGCACGCGTGTGTTTGCAATCAGAACTGAAATCCCAAATCTCACAACACAGAACTCGACTCGACAATGCATTGGCTACTGTGGGTGCTGCTCATAGATGGCAGCCTGGGGATTTGCGCGCAGTTTTTGCGAAAGGTCAACTATTACCGGCGGTTCGTGCACTATATCTTGTGCGCGATCCTCGCGTCAACAGTCGGCATCCTGGTGTCCCCGGTGTTCTGGGCGATTGGGAAGCAGGCGTCGGGCAACTGGGTGGTGGCGCGCACGTTCTACTACCTGTCGCTGGTGGTGCTGGGCATCAAGGTCGAAATTGAGGGCGAAGAGATTCTGCACCGGGCGCAGCCCTGTGTACTGGTGGGCAACCACCAGTCGGTATTTGATTTGATCATGCTCGGGCGCGTGTTTCCCAAGCAGACGGTGATGCTGGCCAAGAAGGCCGTGTCGTACTACCCGTTCGTCGGGTGGTTCATGCGGCTCTCCGCGGACATTTTTATCTCGCGCGGCAGCAAGCAGTCGGCCAGCGACATGTTCAAGAAGGCGTCGGAGGAGCTGCGGTCGAAGAATGTGTCGGTGTGGTTCTTCCCCGAGGGCACCCGCGGGCGCTTCGACGACGGGCCCAACCTTCTGCCGTTCAAGGTCGGCGCGTTCCTGCTGGCGTACCACGCCAAGGTGCCCGTGGTGCCTGTGGTTGTTATGGACATTCACAACCTGTACAATAAGCGGCGGCTGTGGAGCTCGGGCGGCACGCTCAAAATCAAGATCCTGGAGCCGGTGCCGATGGCTGACGTGCGTGAGGAGGACCTCAAGGACATCATGAACGCCACCCGCGACCGCATGCTGGCCGAGCTCAAGAAGATCTCGCCCGAGCGCATTGAGAACTGAGCGGCAGCACGCCCGCCGACGTTATTTTTATTAGCCTAATTTTATAACCAATAGACGTGACATTTCGAAACACAGTTGGATGAGCAGATGGCTGGCTAAAGAGTTTTGGTCCGGCACCCGGAAATAGCGCAACAATTGCCACTGCCACTGCCACTGCCATTGTTCCCTGCTGGCGCCCAAGCATACGGTGCGGGCCGCCCGCCTGCCCGCCACACTTTTCATTGTCTTTTTTTTGTTTTAGCCTACGCGCTGACTTCCATATGTCCAGTTGTCGCGAGGCCAAACTTGTTTTTACACTCTGGCGTCAAAGTCACACATCGACGTTCACGGCCACCCAGTCTCTTCTTTGACAATAGCAGCAGCCTTTTTCTCTTAAATACTTCTCGCTGTGTAATACCAACCTTAATTTATATTGTTAATTCTACAGCTTGCATTGCTTGCCCAATTTCACACTCTGAAATTTGCGACTCCGACTGCGAATTTGCACGACACAGCAAAGCATAGGACAGCAGCCGTATTGCTATAACCAGAACCAGAACCAGGGTCACACTTACCCACACGCACACACAGCATCTCGTTTATGGGCTTGGAGCTGCTATACAGAGCCCTCTGCTGGGCCGCATTCTATACACAACTGGCGCTGTTCCTGCAGTGCATCCTGCTGGCGTCGGCGGCCGGCATGCTGGCCAGCCCACTGCTGCGCATGGTGCGGCGCACAGCGTCCACAAACTGGGTTGGCGCGCGGGTCATGCGCGTTCTGACCGAGCACGTGCTGGGCATCACGGTCGACGTCGACGGCGCAGAAAACCTGCTGCGCGCCAGCGAGCACCATGCATCATCGTGGCCAACCACCAGAGCCTGCTGGACACAGTGTGGCTGGCGTGGGTGTTTCCGCGCAGCGCGGTCATTGTCGCCAACATGTTTGTGCGGCGGCTGCCGATGCTGGGGTGGTTCATGCGGCTGGGCGGCAACCTGTTTGTGCGGCAGGGCGACAAGCAGAGCGTTAGGGCTCTGTTCGAGACGTCGCTGCGCTACCTGGAGCACGAGCGCACCAGTATTGTGATGTTCCCCGAGGGCCGCCGCAACCCTAGCGAGGCCGGCGCGCTGCTGGATTTCAAGAAGGGCGCCTTCTATCTGGCCTACTGCACGCACGCACCCATAATCCCTGTCGCCGTGCAGTGCACGCACGCGCTGTACAGCTGGTCCGACCTGCGCTTCCGCCGCAACTGCGTCATCCGCATCCGCGTGCTGCCACCGATCTCCACGGAGCACCTCACTGAGGAGGACATCCCAGCACTGATCGCCGACACGCGCCGCGATATCCAAAAGGCCTGCGCCGCGCTGACCGCCGCGCCGGCCTCCTAGGCCCTGCTTTTTGGCTCTGCTTGCCGCGGGTGCATATGCCTTGTCTGCCTGTGTCTGCTTCTTGCAAGTAGTGTTTATCCACCTCTGTTCATTCCAGCGTTTGACGACTGTAAATACAAAAGCTAGCTCAAAAATCAGAAGCCTCAACCACCATGGCGGCAATTGCCTCCAGCCCGATGCGATCAAAGTCATCGAATGCGTCCAGCTCCGACGCGTCAATGTCAAACACACCCTGCACCTTGCCATCGGGCGTCGTCAGCGGCACAACAATCTCGGACTTTGACGCGGCGTCGCACGCAATGTGGCCGGGGAACTCGTGCACGTCCTTGACTACGACCGTCTTGGCCTCTAGCGCCGACGTGCCGCACACGCCGCGCCCAATGGTAATTTCCGTGCAGGCAGGCTTTCCCTGGAACGGGCCGAGAATCAGCGAGTTGGCCTTCTTGGCGTCCAGCAAATAAAACCCGACCCAGTTCACGGGCTTTCCCTCGCGCAAGGGCGTTTCGAGCAGACTGTGGTACACCAGCGATGAGATGTTGGCCGTGTTGGTGACCAGGTTGCGCTGCCCCTCAAGCAGGCTGGCGCACTCCGACGCAAGCTCCAGGTAGAACTGGGCCTTGGGGTCAAGTGTGTTGTTAAATCCGGGGATGAACGATGCCATGCCTGTATGCTGTGTGCTGCGAGTATATGTTATCCTTGAAGAGACTGAAAATATAAAGTTGAAAAGCTGAAGAGCTGAATGAAAAGGTGCTGTCTTGCAAATAATTAAAGATAAGGAAGGCGGTGCCTTGCAAACCCTTGCAAAACAAACATTTTATATATGAGTGTTGGAAGGGAGTTTGTCTGGGATTGGGGGAAGTGGGTGGAAGAAGCCCAGGCTCATGCCATTGCCCGCGTGAGGCCCGCACGTCAGCCAGTGAGTGGATGTGGCAAGAGGGCGAGGGCACGTATGGAGCAGCTTCCACCGACAATCTGCGGCATGGGTCTAATCTGCCACTGCGCTTAGCGGCCAGATCACAAATCAACCGATCTATTATTCGACTTGGCTTGGGCTGGTTCAACTGTGTTTGTGCCAGGCTCTGCTTCTTTTCCCTCTCCCTCGTATTTTTCATTTTTCATTTTCCATTTTCCATTTTTGCGTTGCATTTAGCCCCTTTTCTGCATTTGCAAGCCCGCGGAAAATGAGCAGCGGCCACAAGCAGTATCAGCTATCACAGCCACCGAGCGACGGCATATCGCAGCTGAGATTCCACCCTGTCGATGACACAAAGCTCCTGGTCAGCTCGTGGGACCAGCATGTGCGCCTTTACGACGCCCATGCGAACCAGTTGGTCGCCACCCACCATGCGCACCACGCCGCTGTCCTGGACATTGCCTTTGGCTCTACATGCGCATTCTCAGGCGGCCTGGATCGGCGGCTGCTTGCCTGGGAGGCAGACTACAGCCACACGCGGGAGATCGGCCGCCATGACGGCGAAATCAGCGCTCTGGAGTTCTCCCACATGCACAACGTGCTGCTCTCGGGCAGCTGGGACCGCACCCTGCGTGCGTGGGACTGCAGAACCCCAGCTGTGACAGCGTCTGCGGCCGTGGCAACCATCAACGTCGACGAGCGCGTGTACTCGATGTCGGCCCAGGGGACCTGGTTGCGGTCGCGCTGGCCGGCAGAAAGATCCTTATATACGACGTGCGCAATATCAGCTCTGCATTAGAGGTTCGCGAGAGTTCCCTCAAATACCCGACGAGATGCATCAAGCTGATGCCCGACAGCCAGGGCTTTGTGTGCAGCTCTGTCGAGGGCCGCGTGGCCGTCGAGTACCTCAAGGGCGTGGAAAAGAGCAACTACGCCTTCAAGTGCCATCGCCAAACTGCAGAGGATAACGTGGATTTGGTGTACCCCGTCAACGCCGTTGCCTTCCACCATGTACACCACACATTTGTCACCGGTGGATCCGACGGCGTCGTGTCGCTGTGGGACCCCGACAATAAGAAGCGCTTGAAGCAGTATCAAGGATACCCTGCCTCTGTTGCCTCGCTCGACTTTAACGCATCCGGGAACGCGCTTGCTGTTGCTTCGTCCTACACCTACGACGAGGGCGAGAAGGACCACCCGCCCGACTCGATCTGGATTCGGCCCATCTCAGAAAACGAGACCAAGCCAAAGTCCAAAAAGGCATGATGTGTGAAATAAATATATTGTTAAATTTTGCAAAAGCTCAGAACAAGATCCTGGCGTATTTTGTGAAGAACGCGTCCTGGACCAAGTACTTGACCACGCCAGGACGCAGGCTGACATACACAAACACGCCGTTGTCGTCCATGCGCGCTGGCTGGGCGAAAAACGCAACAAAGTTGGGCATTTGGACCGGAATACCGCTTACCCAAGCAGGACATCCATGGCCAAAGTCAACATTGCCCATTTTGTATGGGCGCTCGTCAACGATTGTCAACATGCTCGGAGTCGTAGTGACAAACACAGAAAACCGAGCATGGGCTGCTGGGTGTGCATTGAGGGTGTCGATGTACTGGCCAAAGTAAGCCTCGTCAATGCCACCGACCTCTGCAGCGATACGTGTTGCGGCATCGACGAACGACTCTGCAGTTGTTTCGTGGTCCAATTGCTCGAGGGGAGTGTATATGGGGTGTAATAAGACTGGGTTGCCGACGTAACAGCCGGACTGGGGCTGGATGAACTGGTGCGCATTCACAGTGTTCAGCAACACATGGTGCGTTGCAGCGGCGCTGCTAGCGGCAGCCATTGCACACAGTGCGGCGCCAACCGCAGACGCTCCTTTAGCAATGGCACTACGAGCACATTTCATCAGCTTTTGTGCCCTAGCCACTGGCATGTCTACGAGCGCTGCCAACAGTGCGTACGAGGTCATTGTTGTGGGCAAGCTGCCCCCATTTTGAGCTGCAACTAGATTACGCAAGCCCTCGAGCGACTCGTGCGAAACGTAGAACCAATGCGCCTGGCCGTAGTCCACGTGCATGCATATCGATGTAATGCGAGCTCTGGCAGAAAATGACATTTTCGAGAGCAGCTTTGACGCCAGGCTAGATCTAGTAAGGAGTTCAATGGCAAGCGTGGTGAGCGGCAGCTGACAAGACGAAACGCGGGCTTTGACCATTTTGCGATCGAAAGTATACTCGAGCGCTGCTGGCTGTGGTCCTATGTCGGCCGAGCTGCCAGACCTCCCAAGACTGCCAGAGCTGCATAATATCTTGCAAAGCATGGCCCACCGGCTGAGAAATCCGTAATAGCCGATTCCGTCCAGAATATAATGTGGGATATTGCAAAACAAAACAAGGCCACTGTTGTCTCTGAGCCTCATGATATGGACGCTAAGCAGACGGATGGTTCTGCTTTTGTCGGGTGCAGTTGCCGCGCCTGTAGTGGCAACGCCAACAGGCCATACACTCCAATTGAAGCACGCCTCTTTAAGGTCCCTATAGTGGGTATCGCTGGCCGACTCCACAAACTCTGGCATGTTTATGTTGTCTCTGTCAATGACCACGGCATCCAAGCCGCTGTCGGCGCTCTTGATGTGCCCCACCAATATCGGAAACTCTTTTAATGCCGTGAAGAGCGATGCCTTTAGTATGGCTGTTGTCATAAAGTCGGGTTTGTTGTCATGGTTCGCAAAGAAGTGCACGAGTGGGTGGTTGGCAAACGAAAGCAGCGCGTCTTGTGCTGACAGCCGTATCGTCTTGGTATCTATAAACTCCTTAAAATCATACATTCCGAATATGTTTTGTAAAGGCTGCCAACTAGTGGTTTGCAGCACACAAGTTAGAAGTTAGAAGTTAGAAGTAGCAGGCTGTACGCCAATTCAAAGAGGATGATGATCTAAAATGGTATCTGGGAAAATAAACGAGGAAAGAACGAATCAAAAGAGATGTCCACTACAAAATGTACCCAATTTGACACTGCATTTGAACACCATGATCCTGAGACGAGTCAATAACAACCACCTACGAATCTGTAAAGTTTTGCTAGAACAAGGCCTCCCTTTTCTTCGCTCGACTTTGCATAACGCATTGTTATTACCAAGAGTGGGCACCAAAAGCCAGGGTCTCACGATTTGGTTAAATTTTTACTGCTTTTTGATGCGCCTTTTTCTAATCTTTAAATCAAGCACAAAACCTAATATGTGGGAATATAACTGCACAAGACCATCCATAGTAACATAAATACAAGCACAAAAAAGATGCCTGATAAGTAAAGCAACTAGAATTTTGATGCGCTGGACAAAAGAAACGTCCATACTTTGTCAAATGAGCAAGTGTATTTATGGCTCTATTTTCTCTGGGCAAAGCCCTGCCCTGTGTTATACAACTGACGGCTATAGCCACCATGATATGTGGATAAAACAATTTGTGCGCTGCTTGGGGATGAGTAGCTGCAGCAGAGGGTTATCTCCTTGGCTTTGCGCCCGGCTGCTGCTGCTGAGCCTCTGCCAAATGATTACACTCAATTCCCTACCTCCGGCAAAAGGCGTTAACGCACTTTACCTTTTAACAAAGTGTAAAGGTAAGCACGTAAGCACAGTCTCGAAGGTTGGGAATTTGTTGGTGTATTTTTTGGCGCGTTTTTCTCCTCATCCATGATAATTCAACTTTCTAGATAATTTATGCAAGCTTCTCACACTTTCACAGTAGAGTAGCGCGCCATGCGCGTGTCAATATAAAAAAGAGCAGCCGCGTCATGGCGTCAAATATAACCTGGCAGCTGGCATTGCATATTGTCCTCAGAGCCACACTGCCTGCCTCGCTCGCACAAGGCCTGGTTGCCAAAAAAGTGGCCACATACGCAAATGCGGAGAAAATAAAAAATAGAGCGTTTTATTTGATAGCACCCCACACAAAAGATTGACATTTTTGCAACAAAACCAAGGGGTGGCAAATCTCCACAAATAGCAAACTCGAGCTTTTTTGGAGCCAAAGGTTTGGCCTAAGGCATTTTTTTGTAAATATTTTTGTATTCGTTTGTTTGTTCGTCCAAGCTTATATATCTCGTCAATATTCCTGTCCCCTCTGTACGTACCAGCTTCTACCAGACTATATATTCACTTTTTTATATTTCTTCCAACTTATTAACAACACCGATAAATATGCACTTTAGTTCGCTCTGCACCGCAGTTGCTCTGCTCGCTGCCGTGGCCACCGCCACCCCCGTGGCCCCCGCCAGCACCAGGGCTCCCGCAGGCATGGTGATTCCAGCCAGCAACCGCATCCAGAGGCTCGATGCGAGCAGCAACTGCCTGTCGCCCTCCATCCAGGCCCTCAGCGGATCCAACCGGCTCGTTCTGGATTCGGTCGCTCGCCAGTTGCAAGCATCCATGTTCCGCGACTTCCACCAGTTTGCCCCCGCTGCGCAGGCGCTCGGCAACCCCGATATCGAGGAGAAGATCTTGGGCATTGACTATACAGACACAATCGCTGGGCTGCGCGAGCTCCAAGAGCTGTTTAAGACCTCGGTCCCCGAGGCCGCTCGGACTGCCGGCGGTTCTAGCGATTGCGGCGCGCCTACCGCGAAGAATCTGCGGGTGATTTCCACCAACCTGGACAAGCTGGTGCAGCAGTTTGTCTGAGCGCAAGACCGCCCTCATTCATTCGCACACGACGCATTCTGCGCTGTCAATTTTTAACTCGATTTCCATGCAGAAATGCAAACACTAAAAGCGAAACAAAAAGACCATACAATACAGCAAAAATAACAGCAAAAATAGAGCCTAACTGCTATTAAGCGTGGGTTTCATGCAGTTCTCTGACGTGAAATAACCATTGTAATTTATACATTTTGTATTAAAATATTGGTGTTACAAGGTTTGCTGCTTAGAGCTTCATGAAGGCGGCAATGTCAACCGACTGGACGTAGTCCTCGAACTCGGTGATCTTGTCAATAAGGTCGTCAGTCGAGACCTTGGCATCCTCAATGGTGGCGTTAATCTGGAGCTTGCTGACACCATAGGCAATGGGGATCTTCTGACCCGTCTGGGCCCAGGTGAGACCGTCCATCTCAATGCCCTTAACGAGAACCTGCAGCTCATCAAGATCGGTCTCGGCCTCCCAAGGCTTAACCTCAAAGGTAACCATGGACTTGGCGGCGGGGCCGGGGCCCTTGGCAACCTTCTTGGCCTGGTAGGCAGCGAGACGCTCAGCCTTCAGCTTCTCAAGCTCGGCATCCTCCTCCTCGTCATCAGAGCCAAAGAGATCAATGTCATCCTCATCCTCAGTGGCAGCAGCGGCGGCAACGGGGGCATCAGCGGTCTTCAGGCTGTTGATGGCATCACCCTTGCTGGAGATGTGCTTGTACCAGCGGGCAAGGTGGGGGAAGACGCTGGCGTCGGGGGCGGCAGACAGAGCCTGGAAAACCTCGGCGTCGGCGGCGGTGGCCTCAACACTATCATGTCCAATTGTCAGAAAAATGGGGTAGAATATAATTAGTAAAAAAATGCCCCAAATCAATAACAAAGCGCTCGCAAAATACAGATCGCCGCAAAAAAGCACACATGTTGCAGTGATGAGTGTTGTAGGGTCAGCAAAAGTTGGAAAAGTTGTTGTCTGCAGGTAGCGGGGTCTTAAGCCGCTTCAGAAACACGGACCAATGTTAAAATCATCATCCCCCGTAAACACACTCATACGCACCAGCTCAAGCACACAAGTGGCAAGTAAGGTTGCGCACTCAAGGCGCACTCTTGCTGGATCGTGTGTGCCAGCTATTAGTAAATTCAGTTTCAGGCGTGAGATTGGTCATAAACAGATTCAAGTAGAAAAAAGGCGAAATGCTTACCCAGAGACAAAGGAGTTATCCTCGAAGAAGCCGTTCAGGACGATGTTGGCAGTCGAAGCAGACAGAGAAATGGACATCTTGGGTTGTGTGGAAGATGAGTGAAATTAGAATATGGAAAAAAAGAAAGATAATGGCTGTGCAAAAAGAAAAGAAAAGAAAGGCGAGAAAGCCAGCCGCGCCGCTGGGTCGTCAACAAGACCCCCATTTTTCTCTCTCCATCCTCCAGAACAGCTTTGTGAAAAAAAAATAGCAACTGTAGGCTTGAAGCGTGCGCTTGAGAGAAAATTTTTCACAATTGCGATCTCAACAACAATGCACGGCGGAAGGCGATAGAAGAATTTTTCCTGCGTTATTCGCGCAGAAAGAACGGTCCCAGAAGGGCGATAAAAACCCGCCTTCGGTTTGCCTGCCCACCACCACATCCTCCCCAACGACTCGGACATGGGGCGAGCCGAGTGTTGGGCGGATTCTGCATTACAAATAAAAAATCAGCAACAAAATCAGCAACAAAATCAAATTATAAAAAACATCGAATTTGGCATCACAAAATGCCGTTGGAATAATACTGGAATGCGTCGTACATGCGCATGGTGATGTTGTCGCAGCTGCTGACGAGCATCGTGTCGACCAGCTCTTCGGCCTGCTGCTCCGACAGCGCCAGGTGGAACCGGTCGCGCAGGGCAGTCACGGTGGCTGCACCGCCGCTGAGGCAGGGCAGTGGCGAGTCCTTGAGCATCATCTCCACGAGGAGGCACACATTGTCTGCATGCTTTCGTAGCGCAAAGAATGCCTTGACGAGCAGCTCGCGGAACTCGCCAAACTTCGCGCTCTCGCGCCCACCCAGAATGTCGGCATACTCCATCGGAAACTTGAACGGTGCCTGTTCAAAGCCAACGGATCCAGGCGAGTTGGACAGCATGAAACCAAAGTCAATGTGGATGATGCGCCCGTCTGTGTCCAGCAGGATATTGCCGTTGTGGCGGTCGCGGATCTGCAGAATGTATGTGATCAGTGAGTACGGCACCAGGCTGCGCATAAAGTTGTCCTGCGCCTCGCGAAACCGCTGCGTGTCGGGCGTGCCGTACGATGTGACAAAGTAATTGTACAGCGTGTACGGCGGCCCTGTGTACTCGGGTTAGACGAGTAAAACTCCTTTTTAATCGAGTGCACCGAGACTGTGTTTGTGATCGTCTCCATCAGGCCGCAGCCCTCGCCGGTCACCATGATTCGATAGTACTTGACAAATACGCCGGTGTTCTCGTGCTGCCAGATGCGCTGCATCTCGCGGATCAGCTGCAGCGCCAGCTGCTCTTGCCGCAGGTCGGCGCCCTCCTTGACAATGACTGAGAGCAGGTTCCAATTCTTGTGTCGCCCAAACGGCGACGTGCGCCGGATGCGCGCCTTCTTCGACTCCCAATCCTCCTTGAGAACCTTGGCGCTGGGATCATCCTTGAACTCGACTTCGTGAAGGCTGATGTCACCCTCTACCCCGGCCTCCTGCGCCGCTGCCGAGCCGGCCACGCTGTCGAGCCCCGGTTGCTTCAGGCGTAGCTCCTCCAGCTGCATCATCTCGCGAATCAGCTTGTCGCGGATGCCCTCCATTGCCAAAGCCTGAATCGTGGCATTGCTCAGCTTTCCCCGCCGCTTTATAGTGTCGGAAATGTCGCCCCGGGACTTTGCGGTGTCGCTGTCATTGCTGATGTTGCCACCGGCGGCAGGCTGGGGAACAACCAGGTTGTTCATCTTGATGCCCAGCGCCTTCTGCTGCCGCGCGAGCTGTGCCAGCAGCACTGACGCCGTCCGCATGCGTGCCCTGATGTCGTCCTGGCTAACGGGTACTCGCGAAATCGGGCCTCTGCTGCTACTTCTACCATTGATGGTGCCGCCGCTGCCGCTGCTGGCGCCAGGAATAGCTGGCTGGGCCGCGAGGGGCGCCAGACCGACAACGGGTGATTTTTGGAAAGTGCCGCCGTGCTCGTGTTCGTGACTGAGCGCGGGATACATTGGCTGGGCAGCCGAATGCGGGTGCTGTCTAGTGCTCACATAGCTACCCGAGTGTCTGCGGTTAGCAACGGGCGACATTGGCATGTTGGGCATGCTCGTAACGTCGTCCAAATCGCCAAAGACTTCGGCCATCAGTTGCTCGTCAACCTCCTCGGCCGCGGCATTTGCTGTGGCCGGCGTCTGTAAAGGAGACAACATTGCCGCTGGAGACGTTGACGTGCTGAGCTGGAATGCATCCGGAGAGCCGCGCTCATTCAGGTTGGAAGTGGCCGTGATGATCACGGGCGGAGCCGCTTTAGAGCCAAATGTCTCGGCGGCAATGTCTGCGCTTCGGGACAAAATATCCTGGTGCACGCCGACCGCAGTGTCGGAAACGCCCGCAGCGCACGCACCTGGTTGGCAGAGACTGTCTCCAACAATGGATGACGAGCGCGCACGGTCCGGGTGCCCCAGGGATGCCTCGGGCTCAAGCACCTCAAGCGTCAGCAGATACGGGGCTCGCTCGGCAGAGTTGAGCACGACCGTATCATCGGTGGGGATGCGCACAATGCGGTGGTGGTGGTGGTGCGCCCCGTCGGCGTCGGGGCACCAAAGCGGAATGCACGTGTCGCGGTCCAAGTTGTGGTTGAGCAGAGTTAACTCGGCCTTCAGAAACTGCTGGCGTCCAGCCTTGGACACCGCGCACACGCGCTGCGAGATGTCCATCAAGGTCGTCATAAACTTGATTTCTGCGCCAAAGTAGCCCGTCCGGCGTTCAAGCTTTTGCCGCTCGCACTCCATATACGTTGCCAAGTCGTCGAGCGTCTCACGCATAGTCGCCGCAGCGTCTTCACCAGCGACACGGCCGACAGACTCGCGAGACGCGGGGACGTCACCGTTGCTCAGTGGGCCTTTTGGCGCGTCTGACGGGCGCCCAAGCCGCCGATCGAGAGTTTTGGCGTTTCTCTGGAATTCCTTTGCGGCCTTTGTGAGGTAGTTTTTGCGAGAAGAAAACCCGCGCTTGTTGTTGCGCTCCTCTTCGGCGTTGTCTCCACTGATGAACACCGAGTTTGCGCGCTGGAAGCTTTCCATAACAGCGACCGTGCGGCAGGAATCGGTGGACGTGCGTTCGGCCGGGGTCGGTGACCTGCTTCCAACAGCCGCGCGCTGCGCGGGCTTGGAAGGCCCGTCGGAGGATGCACCGCTGCCGGTAAACACGGCCGAGTTCCGCTCGGGCGCTGATCCTACACGCATGTCCTCAGAGTCAAGGGAATTAGAAGCGGCAGTTGTGTCAATGCCCTGCCCATCTTCTCGCGACACGTCAGGCGCTCCAAAGGTGACTGGTGTGGCTGGCTGGCTCACCGAGACCCGGGCGGCGCTTTCTAGCGCCATACTATCAGACTCATGGCTGTCTTCAGTGCAGCCAGCAGAGAACGGGCTTTGATGACCGATAGCTTTTATGATATGCGGGCCGAGCTCCTCGCAGCTTCTATCCGCACCGTTAACGGCATCAGCTATCTGCTTCCCGACCAGGCCCCGAGCCACGGACACTGACCGGCCGTGAGGCGATGCACGAGGGCCGCGATTCTTGCCAGAAAGCATGTTTTGCTGGGGTGGCAGATCGGTATCTTCCCCAATCCGCTCGGGCTGCTTGGCGCACTGACCCTGTGCCACTGCAATCCACCCCATGGCCGGCGCAAGAGACGGCGCACCTGCCGATGCCGCAGTCGACCCAATACCGACTATGGCAGCCTGTAGGTTCTCTCGGGCCTGGGGGGCCAAGCGCAGCATCGACCGAAAGCGCACTGCCAGGCTCGCCAAACGGCTTGGCGGCGAAATGGTGGAGGTGACGCTTTCCATCGCCATCAGGTACGCGTGCTGCACCGCATCGGGCGAATCTATAATGAGCTCGGGCGCTATATCGGTAAACAGTAACTCCTGTACCTGGTTTATGATCCGCTGGCAATGCTTGAAGGTGGCCGTGCGCGGGTTCAGTTTTAGATCGGCCAGGTACGCCTGTAAGTACCAGTACAGCAGAATGGCCACGTGCGATGACTGCAGAGAGATGTCCAGTAGCAAGGACTCGATGGCTATCGATTCGTTGGGCCGGGTAATCATTAGGTGGACCAGCTGTGGCAGGAAAAACTCGACCTCCTCCAGCGGGAACTTGCGCAGCTCATTGCACAGGTAGTGTTGGACCCCGACAATGTGCGGATAGCGGAACAGGTAGCTGACGGCCAACCACGAGTCAAAGAACTGCGATGTGAATAGCCGCAATAGCAGCGAGGAGTTTGATGTGCTTTCGCCCCCGGTAGTGACGACAACAGTGTTAGTTCTGGGGCTGGTGCTGGTGCTAGGGCCGCCGTGTGCCAGAGAGTCGGGCATTTGCGTCATTACTTTAATCAGCAGCTGGGTCGATGTATGAAAAATAGGTCAATTGGAAAAGGAGCGTTTAGTCGAGCTAAGCGATGTCTCGCACTTTTTTTTAGTAAATTCTATATATAAAAAATGTGCGCGATGGCCGGAATGCAAAGAAAGCGCAAAAAATAAGCGGGGAAAAGCGTGGAAAAGAATGTGGCGGCGTAAGGGCTTGTGTTTCTCAACGACGAGGGAAGAGTCAAGAATACTTGCTTATAATTTGTTGAAAATGCTATGTTGTCGTGATCGGAGTCACTCGCTGTATCGGCGGGCATAATCTGGGGTTGACAAGGGAAACCCAAGCAGGGCCGGTTGCAGCCACTGCCGACACTACCCTACTAGTTCGGTCTGGCTTGGTCTGGCTTGACAGCGGGGGTTCAATTTTGAGTCAATTGGGCGTGACCGCGCATCCGACTGGGCGTGGGCAGGATGGCCTGGCTGATGGCAGGGAAATACATACGGGGTCTTAAGCGTGTACGAAGCAAACAGCAACAACGCGGCAAGTAAAGCAGCTTCCCGTGCGAAGTGCAGTTTCTTTGTATGCGAAATGCAGTTTTTGTGTGTGCGAAATGCAGTTTTTTGTTTACTGGCCAGCCGGGCTGGCAAATCATACACTGCCACCAATCCCTCATCCTCAAGCGGCATTTCGGGGTGTTTTTTTACAGCAGCCCGAATTGACCTTGGCCCGTTGCTTTATCTCGACCTGCGTGGGGGAAGCCCGCCGTGTAGCGCTTTTTGACTTGGTGTGGTTTACTTTATATATATATATATTTCTACTAGGCTGGCATTTCTCGCTCGGGTATACTTTTAGACTGCATATTTAATGCTTCGCCTCTTCAGACTGTCGCTCGTCACGCTTTCGTGCGTGGCACTGCTTGCAGCCAAAGTAATTGCCGATGAGCTCGAAGATGTGGTGGGTGAGGTTACCCTGCCTGCTGCCGAGACGCCGGTTTCGCCCAAAGGCTCACAAGGTACAGCGCATGCACACCCTATTATACTGAGTGTTTAGACCGCCAGAGCGCGAATTACACAGCGATATTGGCGCTGTCTTACAACCAAAGGAATGATACTAACATACCCCCTTTTTGAATCGCATTTGGTCTGAACGCACACCTGCACCTGTAACGACACACCGATAGCCGTTGCGGTCGAGCTTACATTTACAAACTTCAAAATGGAAGCGATGCTTGTCGCGCTGGCAATCGGCCTGGTCGCAAACTATTTCTACGGATCGCGGACAAACACCCAGCTTTCAAAGACATGGGAGAAACCCATCGCTGAGGTCTTGAATGCCAACTTTAGCCTTGTCGGCGACGGAAAGCGCGTTTTGGAGTGGGACAGCGCGGCCGACATGCTCTTGTATGCCAGCGGGCGTCGCCACTGCAAGTTTGTTCAGGGCCACCTAATGCTCAAGGCGCGCCAGGACCCTGTTTCTCTGCTCAATGACCTCGTCGCCAACAACCAGGAGAAGCTCGAAATGGAGATTGTTTTGAACGAAGACGAGTTTGTCGGGTTTGTGTTTGCCGCCGTCCAGCGCAAGCGCGCAAAGGCACTCAACCGCGATCGCTACGACATCTCCACTTTCACAAAGATCGTCGCAAACGACAAGATCTCGCCAAAGCTGGTACTGTTCAGCGAAAACGCCGACGCCACCGCCCAGCTGCTGGAATCGGGCCTCGGGGACATCCTGGCCGACGACAGCTCGCTTCTGGAGGAGGTCATCATTACCGACAGCCCGGCTGAGAAGCCCGACAGCCACGAGTTCAAGCGCGACAAGAAGCTTTCGGTCGTGATCCGCCTGCCGGAGGCGACCAACAATAGCATCGCGCAGTTCAAGAAGCTGCTCGAGTTTGTGTTCTACCTGGTCGACTACATTCCCGAGGGCATTAACCTGCGCCCCGAGTCTGTTAAGAAGCTGACTAAGACGCGCGACGAGGCCTTCAAGGAGTTTTCGCGCATGGTAGAGCAGGATAAGCAGGAGGCCCTGGCCAAGGCCTTGTCCGAGAAGCGCCGTATTGAGCTCGAGCAGGTTGACAAGATGTCGCCCGAGCAGCGCCGCAAGTGGGAGGAAAAGGACCGCAAGAAGCAGCTCAAGAAGGAGCAGAGCAAGCGCGTTCGCCGCGTCAAGTAGCTTGAACAGATCAATACATACGCCAGCAGAATAGAAAATAAAGACAGCCTTTGTGATGGCGATGAGAAATTATCAGATTAGGCTGTGTTGCTTTTGGTGTGCGCCAGAAACAGAAAAAATCATTTCGCGCTTGTTTGCTGTCAGCCTCAAGCGAAAAGAAAAGGGCGATCAGCACCTGTCGGTCTGGCAACTAGTCGCATTACATTTTATCTTTAGTTCAAGTGTTTTAGTGTATTGTAACATTTTCAAACCTAATTAGACTGTTTCGCGCACTTTAAACTTTAATTTTTCGTTCCGGCGTATCGAACTACCTTACAATCTTGCAATATAAAGCCATAGCCACGGCCACAGCCACGGCCACAGTCACCATTCATCACCCATCGCGCGCAGTGCAGCTGGCGCCTTGCTGAGAATTAAAAGAGAAAACGAGCAATATATTTACACATATATATATATACACATCGAAATCCATCATAGCTGCCGTGTTTAAAGGTAAAATCGGCGTTGTGACCTTGTTATCCACGACACATCGCTGCTGTTGGCGCGTGCCAGAGTAATGCGCGAGCGAATTCGGAGTTAGTGAGTGTGGACGCGACTCAATCGTTGGGGTACTGCTTAATGGATTCATCAATATCACCGGGTTTATTGAGATAGAAGCGCCGCCTGGTGCGCGTCCGGTTCAAATTGAAATTGCTCCGGTGGAATGGAAAATACGTAAACTCGTCGAGAGCGCGCTGTCTGCCTTTACTAACTCGATCTTAATCTCGATCTCGACCTCGCTGCGTGTATTTTTACTATTAGAATCCAGGCCGGTGGACACGCAGCAATAGTTTATTCAGGCACTTTACTTGCAAAGGTAAAGCAACCTCAGCAGATCAAAAGCAGACACACAATGGTGGGAAGACGCCCTGGTGGACGCAAGCCGGTCAACAAGGCCGGTGGCAATGCCAGCGACTCTGGAGACAACAACGATATCTCTGCGGCCGAGAGCGACAGCTACGGCGGCGAGAACAGGCAGATCAGCGCGCAGGAGGAGGCTGATCTCAGCAGCGCGCTTATAGCCAAGCTGCTTGCTGAGGACAGCGGCGGTGGCAGCCACTATAGGGGTTACTATGACGATTATAGCAATGGGGCAGCACTTGGCGAGACTTACGACGACGGCGCGTCGGGAAGTGAGGCCGACGACGATTGGGATCCTAGCCGGAAGAAACAGCGCGTGCCGCGGGCTGGAAGGCCTCGCAAGCTTCCGGCAGGCAGATCGGCGGGAAGATCGGGCAATAGCAGCGGCAGTGGCAGCGAGCTGTCTGATGGCGAGTCAAAGAAGAAGCCAAAGCGCCCGAAGAAGAGTGCTGCCGCCGCCGCACCCAAAAAGGAACGGCCGCCGCCGCTGCCCGTGGCGCCTGGGCAATACCGCTCCGGTGCCTACACTGACGAGGAAGAGCTAAAGTTCAACGAGGGCCTCGAGCTGTATGGGCGCTCGTGGGGTGAGATATCAACACACGTTGTCACACGCGATGCAAAGTCGATCAGGTCGCACGCCCAGAAATATTTTATCAAGCTGTTCAGGGACAGCATCCCGCTTCCGGCCAAGGTCAGGGAGTCCGGAGAGGGCTACACTCTTTCGGGCAGGCCACTGGATCCGAACAGCGCGGCTGCTCGCCCGTACCTCCAGCATGTCATGCAGCTCGATCCGGCGCCTCTGAGAGCGCCAAAGCCAGCGACCACTCCCGCATGCAAGCTGGAAACCGAGGCAGAGTCCGCCCATACGTCCGATTCCACGGCCGAGCACAGCGTGTCTGCCGCCCACGCCCCAACCACACTGGCTTCTGATAGCTCGGAGGAAAGCAGGCCCGCCGAGAACCTCAACACAGTCAGCAATAGCGACGAAGGCGCTTCTGCGAGCACTGAGGTCACTGAGACCACTGACCAAGGCCCTGCGACTTTAGATAACACAGCGGCCCCTGAGCCCCCGCTGCCAAAGTCGCCGGTGCGCACCGAGTATGCAATGAGTCGTCCGCAGCGCAACCACGCACGACCAGTAACGCTGCACTACGAAGACCCGCACCAGATGGTCCGCTGCACTCCGTTCCTGGGGCAGCCGCTGTCGGGCGCAACCGGCAGCCAACCGTTCAAGCTGGTGGTCCATACGAACGCGCAGCTGCAAATGGACTTTCACGCACACCTCATGCTCTCTGAGGTCATCGGGCTTCTCGGCGGCATCTGGGACGCTGGGAAGAAGGTGCTGACTGTCACCCGCGCCTTTCCGTGCGAGGCGCTGGAGTCCGAGGACGCGCATACCAACGTCGAGATGGATCCCGGCAGCGAACTTGTTGTAAGGCACCAGATCATGGATGCTGGCCTGCGCGTGGTCGGCTGGTACCATTCGCACCCGACATTTCGGCCGGATCCCTCGATCATCGATATTGAGAACCAGACAGCATACCAGGCTCTTTTCCGCGACAACGAGAGCTCCGAAGAGCCATTTGTTGGCGCTATAGTCGGGCCATACGACTCGGAGCTGCCGGGTCCCGTGTCGGTATTCAACTGGTTCTATGTCGGCAAGTCGGCGGTCGACCGTGGGCACCCCAAACGGCTGATGGTTGAGACCATGCCTGACAAGGGGCTCCCTGCGACGGAGCAGCACATCCTATTGCAGCTGCTCGACAACGCGCGCGAGCTCAAAAACCATGCGGTCCTCGAGGAGGCGTGGCGGCCGTCGTCGACGGAGCTGCGGTCATTGAAAATGGCGGTGTCGCTGGCGCACCGCATGCCTTGGCTCGCCGCGGCGCCCAGGTGTGACTCTGGACCCGGAACGCCAACCGTGCTGGCCGGCCACACTGCCATAGAGGCGAAGCTGCCCCCCGAGCTCAGCGCCGAAGCTGCGCTTGCCGACAGTGCCTCGGACTGCACGGCTGCTGGCGGCAGCGATCACCTGGACATTGAAAAGCGCATTTCGCCAGCGTGCCTGCTGGCGGGACAGTGCGCCATGCAGGACCAGTTCCTGGCCGCGCTGAGCAGCCGGTTCGCTGTCGGTGTCTTTAAGACGGGTCCTGACGGCAGGGTGGCCGATCCCCTGGGCCTGAAGCGCGTGTACGCAGCGTATTTTATGCAGTGGTCGGCTTGATGGGCGCCCAGTGTGTGAGCTGGTCTCGTTTAGAAAGCGCCGCGCTTGTGCCTGGCTGCGGGGCATTAGCTCAGACGTTACATACTCAAAGATTTCCCACGCTGTGAGCAGCCAACACGCACCAGCCGGCGCTTTCTCACGCCCCTTGTTTATTTAAGATGACAAACCCCTGCCACACCTGCCACCTCGCTGCGCCTTGCCATCCCACGCACTGCATTCATATTTTGGCCGAGGGCGCGGTGTGCTGCAGGTGTGCCTTTCAATTGTTGAAGAGCCTACATTTTTTTAAATAAACCGCAACCAACATTGGCATTATTCAATACAAATGGACCAGCAACAACGCCCAGTCTTGTATACCTACTTCCGGTCGTCATCGGCGGCGCGCGTACGAATTGCGCTCAACTACAAGGGCATAGACTATGAGTCGCGTGCAGTCAACATTCTCAAGGGAGAGCACCATTCGGCCGAGTACACGCGTCTGAATCCCAGCGGCCTAGTGCCCTACCTTGTCATTGACGGCCACGAGTTCAGCCAGTCGGTGGCCATTCTCGAGTACATTGAGGAGACGCGGCCCGGCAGGCGCCTGCTGCCAAGCGACCCGGCCCGGCGTGCCTGCGTGCGTGCGATCGTTGGTGCCATCTGCTGCGACATCCAGCCGCTGCAAAACCTGCGGGTGTTGAAAGCGCTTCCCGAGAGCCAGAGGGCGGAGCATGCAGCCAAGGTCATCGGCAGCGGGCTGGCTGTGGTCGAGCGGATGCTTGAAAAAACTGCTGGCCTGTTCTGCGTCGGCGACGAAGTCTCGCTGGCTGACTGCTGCCTGATCCCGCAGCTTTACAACGCCCACCGGTACGCCGTGGATCTCGCGTGCTTCCCGCATATCAGGGCGATTGAGGAGAGGGCCGGTGCGCTGGGGGCCTTTCGTCGCGCGCATTGGAGCCGCCAGCATGACTGCCCCAAGGAGCTGCTTGCCAAGTGAAGGGCGAAAGGGAGAGATTGCAGGGCACACAGGTTCATCTCCTTTCTCCTCTTCGAAACTCGCATGACCCAGGCCAAAGGAGAACACGCCTTTGGCCGTGTCTCGCGCAGCCAGCCAAATTAATCTATAGCATTTTTCCTTTGCACACAAGGAAAGCTAAAGTATCCAAAAGACAAAGGCCTTTCTTTCAATCTTTTCATACTGAATATCTCGCTTTCTTTTGCGCTCGACAATTTAACATTGTCCAATCATTCATTTTGCTGAAATTCAAAAAAAGAAGTTACTCGCCTCACCACCCACCGAATGCAGTAGTAGCGACAGCCCGAGAGGATCACAGCAAACATACAAGACTTTTTTGCACTGCACCTGGTTGTTTTCACGAAGCGCAATTTGAAGCACTTTTCATTTCTCAATTTTTCATTTTTTCTTCTTATTTTTATATTTGGTCAAAAGACGTGCTTCATTCTTGGCGCTTGGCTTTACTTTTATTTTGCGCAAACAAGACCACTTTTACTTCTCAATTATCCTTGAACAGGATTTATACTCCCGTAACAGAATTTCTTTTATTTTCTAACAATTGCGCGGTCAGCGGAACAAGTGCGCGGGACTAATTCACACCTGTACTTTCAACTCACCCACAAGCCGCGCTTGCAGTTGAACGCACTACATGGCCATGTCTACAGAGCGAGGCTCGGAGCCACGGGACGTGGTGTTGCCTGACAAATACGTTTCTGACAGAGACCGCAATCAACCAGCTCCTGCGAGCGAGCGCGAGCCAGCCAGATATGCGAGCAACATTCAAGAATACACCTCCCGCGACAGCAGAGATCGCGACCAACGATCAAGCCGTCACTATCCCCCATCCGAGTATGATTACGACCGTCGCATCCGGCGCGAGGAGCCCGCCCGACGCGAAGAGTCCCGCCGACGCGAGGAGTCTACTCGGCGCGAAGAACCCAGCCGGCGCGAAGAACCCAGTCGGCGTGAAGAGCTCAGCCGGCGCGAAGAACCCAGCCGCCGAGAAGAGCCCAGCTCGCGCTATTCTCGGCAGTATCGGGATCATGCGAATGCCGACTACACCGATAGCTACTACGGTGGCGGTGGCGGCAACAGCAACAGCAGGGAAAGAGGGTATGAGCGCCAACGCACCAGGTATTCCGACTCTGGCTCCCGGAGAAACCTAAGTTACTCGGCTAAATACAGTCCAACACGCCAAGAGTACTCGCCGGTTTCTCGAAAGCCCGATGCACACGCCGAAAGGGGCGTTGCAGAAGAAAGACAGCGTGTGCCTCGCCCTGTCGATCGAGGGAATGAGGCGATCGAGGCCAGCTACCGGAATTCTGAGAATATGGATGACAGATACCACCCCACTAGCGACTATAACAGCAAATACCAGTCGTCCTCACGTGGCAACGGGGACTACAGATCTTATCGCAAGCGCTCCCGGTCTCGATCTGAATTGAAGCACCAGCCGAATTACAAGCGCCACCACGAAGATGCGGGCGCTAACGAGCGGCGCTCCCCACGCGCAGAGTACTCTCGTCGCGAGAGAGATGCACTGGCAGACGATCATTATGCCGACACGCGGTCGCGGCATCGGTTGAGGAACACTGGTTTTGGCAGCACCCGCGACGAGTCTCTGCGTAACAGTAGGCACAATGAGGGACGCAGGAGCAGGTCTCGGCAGTCGCCGTCAGATCGCGCGCCTTACGCGCATCCGCTTCCTCCTGCATCACCGCCCCCACCGCCGCCGCCGCCGCCACACCACCACCAGCATGCCCATTCAGCATTAACCGACACATCAGCTCGCCGGTCGGCCGGTCAAGCAACTGTCGCGAGTTCACCGCCGCCGCCTCCGCCAACATCGACACCACCGCCTCCGCCTCCACTGGCGCTGTCGCTGCCTCTGCCGCTGCACTCGATGATTCTGTCGAGCTCCAGCATATCCATAGACACACTGTTACAGTCCGGGTCTCGAGGGTTGGACTCACGCCGCTGGCCTGCCGCTGCGCCACTGGGAGCGGCTGGAAACCAGGTACAGGAGCCAAGGCGTGGCCAGCAGCAATACTCGTCAAAACACAGCAAGCTGTCTCCGAAGCACAGTCGCACGGCCACTGACACCGGAATTGTGCCAATGAGTGTTGGCACTGGTGATGGCGGGTTTGGAACACCGATGACGCCAGCCACGCCCAGGGCGCGCTGTCCACCTGAAGGAATTCAGCTTTACATACGTATTAGCATGGTCGGAGAGGGGACCTATGGCAAGGTATACAAGGCGCGGAATCGGGAAACAGGCCAGGTCGTGGCCCTCAAGCGCATGCGCATCGACTTGGACCGCGAGGGCTTCCCCATCACCGCCATGCGCGAGATCCGCCTGCTGAAGCAACTCCAGCACCCGAACATTACGCAGGTGCTTGACGTGGTGCCAGAGTCTGGCAATGCAGTGTACGTGGTCATGGAGTACATGGACTATGACCTGTCTGGACTGATCAGCCACCCGCAGTGGAACCCCGACCCGGCGCACAAAAAGTCACTTGTGCACCAGCTGCTCAATGGCCTGGAGTTTATGCACGCGCACGGTATCCTACACCGCGACATCAAGGGCTCAAACCTGCTTGTCAACCAGCAAGGCCAGGTCAAGTACGTTGACTTTGGCCTTGCCCGCTCCTTCCACCACACGCGCATGCAAGAGTTCACCAACCGCGTAATCACCCTGTGGTATCGACCGCCAGAGCTGCTGCTGGGTACTACTGTCTACGGCCCCGAGGTTGACATATGGTCTCTTGGCTGCGTACTCCTGGAGTTATATTTGAAGCGCCCGGCGTTCCAAGGTCAGAATGACATTGACCAGCTTGAGCAGATCTTCAAGCTGCTGGGCACGCCTTCGCCAGAGGTCTGGGAGTCGTTCAAAAAGCTGCCGTGGGCCTGCTATATGACGCCGAGCACACGCTACGAGAACGGCCTGCAGGCGGCGCTCACCTCCAAGATGTCCTTGGGCGCGGTGGAGCTGATCAGCTTGATGTTGTCACTTGACCCGAAAGCCCGCCCGTCCGCTGCGCAGTGCCTCGGCCACCGCTTCTTCGCAGAGGAGCCGGCACCTGTTCCGCCAACGACATTCCCAGTCACCGGCGATTGGCATGAATACGAGTCCAAGATTGAGCGCCGCAAGCGCAAGCAGGCGGCAAAGAGCCAGCACCAGCGACGCAGCAGCGGCACTATCAATTAAAAAAAGCACATGCATTTTTCGTATTCACGTGAGATATAGAATCAATTTCCCACAGGTGTGTCTGGAAATAGACAATGCTCGGTCGGAATGTACAAAAAATTTTACCCTTATTGAAGGCTGCGGCTCAAAAAACGCTTTTTCAACTTTTTGCTGTTTTTCTCAACAAAAAAGTACAGTTATTATTTATTTTGTCTTTTGCCTTTACTTTTTTATTTTACGATATACACCAGCTGCTCAGCTGCTCGAAATTAAATCATAGGCTTCCATTTGTGTTTGGACATGCTGGACGACAGCAGCGTCACTGTGTGGACGGCGCCGTTTGAAGCGTTTTTCCAAAGGGCTGAGCTACGGCAGACTCTCCGCGCTCTCCAAGTTGAGGCAATTGCATTCCCATTTGCCCCCGGTGCGGATTTTGACGATGCCCTGCGCAGCCTGTGCACCGATATCCACGGGTACTTGGCCAGCCGCGCTGAGCTTCTGAAGAAAGCTGCTCAGCCCGTCGTCGAGCACCCCTCCGCTGATAATGATGCAGTCAGAAAGGACGGGTCAAACATAGACGATGCGCGCGATCGCTACTCGCAAGACGTGGTGCAGAGCACGATAACCAGAGAGCAGACGCAGCAAATGATGGACGATTTTGTCGACAGGCAATGGGTAGAGATCAACAGCAACAACCGCGAGGAGTTTTTAATTCCAGCGGCCGGGCGTGAGACCACGTGTGCGCGCGCCGACGCGAAGGAAACGAACCGCGGGATGCAAATTCAACTGGACATCGTGCACAATGATAGGAACGCGTTGGAGCGGTCTACTAATACCCGTAGCACAACAGCTGCGGGTGCCGACACAAAGCCGGTCAATAGCGTGCTGTATGCAGGGCTTGAAGAGCGCGTTGAGAACATTCGTGACCATATGAATGTCAGATTTGTGCCAGAGTCGGCTGGCATCCATAGGCGAGTGTGTGCTCTGGAGGACCGGATTATGATGCTGGAAAGGGAGTTTCCGCCATGGGCGGCTGAGAACTTCAACCAGCCCGGAAGGAGACATACGCAACCGCCGCCAGTGACTGTGTACCGCATACTTCCTTCGGCAGAACCAGCAGCAGCAACAACGACCCTGAGCGGATCGACTGCTGCCGCTGCTCCAATTTTGCCACAAAGCGTGGCTGTGCCCAGGTCGCTCCCCGCTACTGCGTCGTCTGCTGGCTTGTCTGCGTCGAGGCCAATGGGCGCACACGTCAGTCAGTCGCACTCGTCATTCTCGTCTGCTGCGTATCAGCACCAAAAGTCGACCAAGCACCGGCGCGGGCCGTCTGGCAATCCCAGCGGGCGCTCATTATCGGCTCCAAAGCGGCGGAAGACCGGTGGCAATATCAACTCGCCGCTGGACCGGACGGGCAAACCTATTTTTCACGCATGTGGCCGCGGCGTGAATTCGTCGCTGACGAGATCCGTGCTTGCCCAGCTGCAGACACGGCACAAGCCGGCGTCAGATTCTGCCACTGCTGATGCTAATAATGCCGCAGCCTCGTCGCCACAGGCGCCCCATCTGTCCAACAAGTAGACCGTGGCCAGTGGTTCTGCATGCTTGTTAGTTTAGAATGAAGACATACGTTTTGTAAGCCATCGTTTAAAAGACCATCTGAATAATTTTATAGCTTATATTTATTTTTTACAGAAGAGATGGAGGGCATCGCCAGCAGTCGTCCTCCAACCGTTAATTTAAAACAAATCAAAGAACGGCTTCGATGTGGCCAGCAAACGTCAGGCTCTGCCCGTCGCGGGCGATGATGGGCATTCCGGGATATAAATAGTCGCAGACGCTGTCATCGAACTTTAGACGCACCAAAACACTATAGCAGCTGAAGGCTGCCGATTTCTCGGACGTGTCTGCATCAACCGGCGGGTCGCTTGTGATCTCGACGATGCGCGCAAGACGGTAGGCCGAGCGAATGTGGACGATGACGGAGTTCATGGTCGAGAATTCGGGGTCAAGAACGGCAATACGGGCCACAAACTCGTCGGAAACACAGCGCTTGCTGCCGTCGCGCAGGCGCTCGGCGTCGACAATCACCATGCCCTTTTGTATGCTCACTGGCTGCTGCGTCTGGATGGCCAGCGCCGCACTCGACCCGGCCTTGGCAGTCTCGGTCGGTACCCGCAGCGTGTGGATAGATGTGACTTCAACATCGGTAAACTTGCCCGTGCTGTCTGGGCCAACGACAAGCTTCCTGCCGAGCTCTGTTGCGGGCTTGGCCACACCCGCATGGACCCAGCCAGTGACCACCGTGCCCACAGCATCGAATGAGTACAGGTGCTCAATGTGGTACTCGAATAGACTGGGGCTGTTGCTAAGGCCGTCGCGGCCAGAGGCATGTACGGGGCGCGATTTTGACAACACTGTGGTTATCTCACCAAAGCCCACTATCCGCACGGCGGATGTGGTAAATATGGGCACGACGGCCAGCCCATCATGTCTTTGGCAAGGGACTCGTTTGCAGCAGATCCAGTCACAACACACTTGCTGCGACCGGGAATAGTAGTGTCCAGGGCGGCTAACAGGTTGTGCATCAGCATGCCAAACCCGGCCCTGGTGGCCAGATCCATTTTGCTGATCACCACCATTAAAGGCATGTTTAGCACTGCGGCTATTCGCAAGCGCTCACGCGTGGTCCCAGTGAGTGTTTCCGAGTCAGCAGCAATGATCACGCAAAAAACATGGGGCGAATGGCCAGTTATCGCCCGAGCGGTGGTCTTCAGGTGCTTGGAGTAGCCGCAAGTATCGATAAACGTCACAACATGTTGCGCCCGCCGGTAAATCTGCTCGGCGCTGTTGTTGTTGGCGTAGCTCAGAACCTGTCCGTCGCTGTCAAACCCAATGGTCCCGAGCGCTATAGAGCTTGTGCGCCCAGACTCTACTTCGTGGCGGTGCCGCAGCAGATTGAGCCTGGCTTTTCCACGACCATTGTCGGCCTCGCCGTACGTCAAGCACCCAAGCACAGTCGACTTTCCAGCGCTGTGGTCGCCGAGAACCGTCACCCGCAGCTCGGAGCGCTGGACGGCGTTTCGCTGCGTTATGCACACTTCGGCAACCACTCGGTTCTCTTTGTCTGCGAGCACGCGCCTGTTGATAGAAGATACGTGGGCGTTTCCCAGCTGGCCAGCCATGTCGTTGAGGATATCGAGGGTAAGTTGGAACTCCTTTTCAGTAATCCCAATTACCTCGCCGTCGTCGTGCACACCCACTACGTACACAGCTTGTCCGCAGCCCTCGGCGAGTCTAGATTCGATTCGTGCCGGATTCAAAGTGGAAATAGTATGGCATGGTTAGTAAAAATTCTTGCTTGTACAGTGTGAAACTAATATTACCAGATTTGTTGGATAATCATGCATAACCGCCAAAATACTGGTAACCATAGAGTTAGATAACTGCCATTATCTAGGTTAGAGCGTGTTTCAGATTGGGGGTAGAAACTAAAATTTGCATTGATGCCGGGGCGTCAATATCATCCATATTGGCACTCACCTCCACTGAAGCTGCGTCGCGAGGTGCGAGGTCCTGGTAATCGACGTGTTATTGAGCTTGGTCTAAAAGTGTGAATAATATTAATATGAACAGTTTAGTAATACATGCTACTAAGCCAAACAATTATTCGCTTCATATGGTGCAAAATGTATATTTGAGCAGCGCGTTTGCACTGCTAGCGCTGTGGGGGGCGTGTATGTACCTTGTATTCAATGTTTCCCGAGTTGTCGGTCTCTGGCGGCAGCCTTGTGACGCCCTCATCGAGCACTGATATTAGTTGCGAGCGGTTGCAGGACAGCACAATGTCCTCCGAGTACATGGTGTCGCGCGTGGTCATGGCTGGCAAAGTAAAACGCTAATAATGATTGCGAGAAAAATAGAATATGTCGGGTGTGTGTATATAGTGAGAAAATCAATAAAACAATAAAAAAAGTGACTGGTTGTGGAAGCAAAAAAAGCAACGTCGATTCGGGTAGACAGTGTTGTTTTAATAATGATACACAAAACCCAGTTTGATACTGAAATATATTTAGCAAAGAGGAAAAGTAAATATAAAGAGGAAAAGGGCAAATACAAAGCGCAGAGAGGATAAGAAAAAGAGAAGTGCTGAATAATTTTTTGCGTGGGGAAGTTTAAAAGGTGATGACGATGCTGCCAAGTCAGAAGCCAAGCAAGCCTGTATGTGCGCAGCATGCTTGAAAAGAAAAAAGGGGGGACGCAAAGGCAAATAAAAGGGGGGAATGCTCTGAAATATAAATTTGGCGCTCCCATTATTCTTTGCGCATGTTAGCACTCGGTGCCATTGCTGCGGTGTGCGCTGCGGTTTTTAGTGTTTGTGACTGACTAAAATAGTATTCTTGTAGCGCTATTTTTACACCCTGTTCATTTGACATTGCATAGCATATCCCACACCTAGTCATTCGACGGCCTTGCATCACCAACCTCACTGCCACCACCACTACCACAATCCTACGAGCCTTGACCGTCTTTTGACAGATCCTGTTTAGCACGAATAATGGCCGAATCGCCAGATAACAACCGCAAGCGGAAGCGCATCGTGCCGCGTCGGCGACTTTCAAAGGAAACATCGCCATCCGCAGGCGCAATGACCACTAGGTCGCGGTCGCAGTCAATAGCGCAGCTGGCGGCGAAGACGGCCAAGACGGGAGAAGGACTATCGGCGGGCGAGCAACAGCGCAAATTGGTCAGAGGCACCAGTACCGGCATCGGCATTGGCACGGCGTACTCCTCTCGCGCTAAGGCCTCGACAGCAGATGGCGACGACAAGCACACAGATGGAGTCGAAGAAGGCAGCGAGTCCGAGGAAAAGGCAGACTCGCCTCGGGGCCGCTTTGTGCGGACCAGCACGCTTCTTGGCGAACTTAGGGGGGACCATGAAGTTGTGGCCAAGCTTAAGCAGATGTTTTCCGACCCATGCACGCTGGCCCGCAGCTTTCCGCAGACCGACGCCGCACTGGCCTCCAGATGCCCGGTTGATGTTTGCGATGTGCGCATGACATACTCCTTGCTCTTTGGGCGCAGCTCTGACAAGATATTAGCCGAACTGCGTGCATTGACGATCGGCATTGTCACGACGCTTTGCTCCGAGTCCTGTGACGAGCACAACAACCAGATGAGTGCCGTACTCATACTGCTTCTCAATCCGAAGATTACAGAGTACAAGCTGGCGAGCGGTGCCTGTATGTTTCCCGAACTGTGTAATGCCATCATGGGCCAGCCTCCTGCGCAGCGCAATGTCCTCATGCAATACTTCACTATTTCTGATGGCACCTCAAGCCTGAGCCCGGCCAGCGCGGCGGAAAACACGCATGGATTTACGCTGAGTGCAAAACCATCCAAAGTGACGCTGGCATTGCAGGACAGCGACAGCGACAGCAATGATAAGAGCGCGTCATTCGGGCGCTATATCGATGTGTTTCAGTCGTACATAAGCCGCGAGACGAACAAAGCCGCCCGCCGCACTCTGCCAGCGACAGCTACCGCAGCTGCCACTGAAGCAGCGCCGCAAAAAGTCAGCTTGCATGTGCTGAACAGCTGTTTGCTGCCTGTCGTCGCGCAGTGCCTGGCGCTGATGAACAAATACAACAACACACACGACATTGTGCCGTATGCCTTCTTTTACAACAGCGTAGTCAACGAGCATATTGACATCAAGGAAGATGTGCCGCGTTTTCGGCTGCCTGACGGCGTGTCCTTTTGCAGCTACCCATTTTTGCTGTCACCGACCACGAAGAGCGAAATCATCCGCATAGAGAGCGTGATTCTCATGCGCACGGAGCTGCAAGACTCATTCTTTCGCGCCATGTTCACTGGCGTCACCTGCCCGTACCTGGTCCTTGAGGTTCGCCGCGACAGTCTGGTGCGCGATACACTGTACCAGCTGGACCTGAAACTGAGCCAAGATTTGCGAAAGCAGCTCAAGGTGCGGTTCGTGGGCGAGGAAGGCGTGGACGAGGGCGGCGTGCAGAAAGAGTTTTTCCAGCTGATTGTGCGCGATGTTTTTGCTGCGAAGTACGGCATATTCAGAGCCAACGACGAGTCGCAGTACCACTGGTTCAGCCCGCAGGACGACCCGTCAAAGGACGCGCTGGAGGAGATGCGGCTGACCGGGCAGCTCATTGGCCTGGCTGTGTACAACGCAGTCATCCTTGACATCCACCTGCCGCCGGCTATGTACAAGAAGCTGCTGGGAGTGCCGGTGACCAGGGACGATTTACACGAGGTCGATCCAGCTCTGCACCACGGGCTGATGCAGCTTCTCAAGATGACAGCCGAGGAGCTAGAGTTTTTGGACCGCACATTCGAGGTCGAGTCCACCAGCCTCGGCGAGCTGCGCACATTCGAGCTGCTTCCGGGCGGCGCACAGATTCCGCTCACTGTGGACAACCGGGAACAATTCATCGACCAATACGTGGACTTTGTGTTCAACACTTCGTGCGCCAAGCAATTTTCAGAGTTCAAAGCCGGCTTTGACCGCATCTGTGGGACGTCGTACGTGCGTTTTATGCGGCCCCAAGAGCTAGAGCTGCTTGTGTGTGGGTGTTCGGATCTGGATTTTGGTGCCCTAGAAGGCTCGACCATCTACGACGGCGGGTACTCCAAGAGCACCAAGGTCATTCAGCATTTCTGGCAGGTGGTCAGCGAGTTCACTGACGAGCTCAAGCGCAAGTTGCTTTTCTTTGCCACTAGCAGCGACCGCGTGCCCATTGGCGGGCTCAGCAAGCTCCACTTTGTCATTGCCAAGAACGGAGGTGACTCGGACCGCCTGCCCACTTCACACACATGCTTCAATGTGCTACTGCTGCCAGAGTACACTACACTAGAGAAACTCCGCGAGCGGCTTTTGACTGCCATTCACAACTCTGAAGGGTTTGGCATGATATAGTGTTTTTTCAAATAAATTATTTTGCCTCGTGTTTGAGCAATATTTACATGCGCCCGCGTGCGCTCTGAGATAAAGGCATGCGATTATCTGTTTCACACCCAGGGAACCTGGCTATTCAATATGTGCCTCGGCCATGCTGATGAGCGAGTGGAGAGGAATAATGTGTGCGTATTTTAAATTCACTTTCGACATGCCGTATTTTGATGTGGAGATAATTTATACAAACCTTGCATGTGTTAGGGTACACATGGCTGCTGTTGTGTTTGAAAAATAAAAATAATTGCAGCATCCTTGTGGACAAAATTTATTGCTTATAGTCCAGGCCAGCGTCCTTCTGTCGTCAAATTTTTACATTTATCAAGCCAACCATCGCCACATTACCAATATACAAAGAACATTGGCATTCTATTCTGTTTTCTTTCTTCATTTTTTTGTAGCACACATCATTTACGGACAAAATAACAACACAATACAAAACTTTGCATTTTGTTACTTTGCCATATATATATACATACATATATTGCACGCGAACCTAACACTAATCAATTAGTATTCATTCACTTGACACATCCATTTGCCATGTTGTTCTTTAGCAAATTGAATCCCGCCGGCTACGTCATAGTGGCAGCTCTCGCAAGCCATGCCGCCGGTTCCAAGTGGTCACTTACACAAATGACCGCTGAAGAACGTGGGCGCACCTGCCACGAACAAGTCAGCTTCTGTTACAACTCTTGCGGGTCGGTCGCCAACACATCAGTAAACTTTTGCAATATGCGGACCATGGGCTGGAACTGCGCTTGCGTTGACGGATCGGGAGAAAAGAGGGTGCCGCACTTTGAGTGGCCCATTGAGGTCGCTGAATGCGGCGCTGCACTGAAAGTCTGCAATAAGGGCTGCATCGAACGACCAAATGATAATAATAGAGGCGCGTGCTTTACCACATGCGCAACAGATTATCCCTGCAACACAATCGAGGCCCCGTTCAGCAGCCTACGCGTCCAGAATATCAATGACAAGCCCGCTGGATACATGCCGCCAACCGATGACAAGGACATTGAGCTGACTATTGGCATGAAGTTTGGCGCCAACACGCCCGGGATGGACGAGGCCGACAAGCGCCTGCAGAAAGCCACAGACCCAGGAACCCTGCCCAAGATTGCTCCTAGAGTTGACGACAACGCAGGCGCTGCTAAGGGCGGCAAGGGCAACAAGGATAATAGCCACGTCAAGGGAGCAGGTGCCAACGGTAGCGGCAAAGACGGCGACTACAAGAAGGGAGCTCATCCCGAAAGCGGCAACGACGGAGTGTTGGTTTCCGCCGGGGCAGTCAATGGGCTGCCATTTGCCCACACGCTTGCTGTCGCTGCAGCTCTGGTCCTGATGCAAGTGACAATATAGTTACATATACACATACAACGCGTCACGCGATGCGGTTTCGATGCGGGTTTCAATTTAGTTATCAAACGCGAGGCGTTAAAAATTTCTGGGAAATAAAATAAAAATATTTTAATGTCCGACAAGTTTAGCATTTTCCAAACACACACACAACGCAACTGTTGATTATAGCGAATTTGATGTGACGAAACAACAAAAGAATGCTAGGAAAGCTTCAAAAAAGAAAGATAGTCAAGGATAGCGTGCGGAGCACTGCCAATATCGAGTCTGCTTAGTACTCGGTGTCCATCTCATCGTCGGCGGGGGAATCCATGCCAACCTCCTCGTAATCCTTCTCGAGGGCAGCAAGGTCCTCGCGGGCCTCGGAGAACTCACCCTCCTCCATGCCCTCACCGACGTACCAGTGTACAAAGGCGCGCTTGGCGTACATAAGATCGAACTTGTGGTCCAGACGCGACCAGGCCTCGGCAATGGCGGTGGTGTTGCTGAGCAGGCAGACGGCACGGTCAACCTTGGCGAGGTCACCGTCGGGCACACAGTGGGGAGCCTGCTTGTTGATGCCGAGTTTGAAGCCGGTGGGGCACCAGTCGACAAAGGAGACGGTCTTCCGGGTCTTGAGCTGGGAGATGATGTTGTTGGCCTCCTTGGGAGTGACGTCGCCACGGTACAGAAGGCAGCATGCCATGTACTTGCCGTTGCGGGGGTCGCACTTGACCATCTGGTTGTTGGGCTCGAAGCACGCGTTGGTGATCTCGGCAACGGTCATGGACTCGTGCTGGGCCTTGATGGCCGAGGTGATCGGGGCGTAGGTGACCAGGGGGAAGTGGATACGGGGGTAGGGCACCAGGTTGGTCTGGAACTCGGTCAAGTCGACGTTGAGCGAGCCGGCGAAGCGCAGGGACGCGGTGATCGACGACACGATCTGGGCAATCAGACGGTTGAGGTTGCTGAATGTGGGGCGGGTAATGCCGAGGTTGCGGTGGCAGATGTCGTAGATGGCCTCGTTGTCGACCATGAACGAGCAGTCGGCGTGCTCGAGCGTGGTGTGCGTGGTCAGGATCGAGTTGTAGGGCTCAACGACGGCGTTGGCAATCTTGGGCGCGGGGTAGACGGTAAACTCGAGCTTGGACTTCTTGCCGTAGTCGACCGAGAGGCGCTCCAGGAGGAGGGCACCAAAACCGGAACCGGTTCCACCACCGAACGAGTGGAAGACCAGGAAGCCCTGGAGGCCGTCGCACTTGTCGGATAGCTTACGGATCTGATCGAGGGTGCGGTCAATCTGCTCCTTTCCGACAGTGTAGTGGCCACGAGCGTAGTTGTTGGCAGCGTCCTCCTTACCGGTGATCAGCTGGCCGGGGTTGTACAGATCGCGGTACTTGCCGTTGCGGACCTCGTCAACAACAGTGGGCTCGAGGTCGACAAAGATGGTGCGGGGAACGTGCTTGCCGTTGCTGGCCTCGTAGAAGAAGGTCGAGTACGAGTCGTCGGAGCCGGCGGAGACGCTGGGGTCCTTGAAGCCGTCAGCCATGATGCCGTGCTCCAGGCAGTAGAGCTCCCAGCAGGCATTACCAATCTGGACACCAGCCTGGCCAACGTGAATCGAGATGACTTCGCGCATTTTAACTATTGTTGTTTATGAGTTTTGAAGTGGCAAAGAGTTAGCTGGAAAGCAATAAAAAGAACAGTAGGGCGGAGATTGGGAATTAAAAAATAAAGCAGATTTAGCAATAAAAACAAACAAAAAAGGGGAAATATTAAAGTATGAAAAAATACGCGGGTTTGGATGATAGTGTCACAGCGACTAGCAATTTTTTTTGCAAGAGCTGACAGCGAGAATAAGAATAGTGCGCAATACAAGCAGCAGCAGAAGCGGGTGAGGGAAAGGGGGATAAGGGAATCTCTTTATGTCAACAACATGAAAACCAGTTGTTGTGGCTCGTCCAAAAAGGACAGTAACAGGGAAATCTAAACCGCGGGCGCTGGCTGGCTTGCAAACCGCCGTTGGCGAATGAGCGTGCTCCAAAGCGCAGAACGGCGCGGTTTGCGCGCCAGCAGGCATTGGCTATAGGCGCGTTGGGCAACGGGAGAGCACAGAACAAAAAGAATAAACAATAAAAACAAACAAAAGCAATGGAACAGCAAAAACAAATCACATGCGGTTGAGGTCACCAATAAGCAGAGCGGAACAGGCAAAGCACGCGTAGAGCCAGATGAAAAGCCGCTCACAGTTCTGCCCAGAGGCACACATATACTCAGGATAGCCAAAGCGCGCTGGCGTAGCATTCTCGGCGCAAATAGACTAAACATCATAATCTGGACCAGCTAGAAAGACATGTTCAGTCCAGCATTACTGTGTGGGCCAAACATGCAAAAAGACAGAAAGTTGCATAAAAGGAGCTTTGCCCCCCCCACCCCCACCCAACCAAGCTCGCACATCGCAACTCGCTGGTACTCAGCAACGCAGGCGACGGGCAGAAAGCAGGGCAAAACAAAGGCAAGGCGCGCGTGGCAAGAATGCCCACAGGGGTCTTGATATATGAGGATCGAAGTTCCCCCCACCGAGAAAAAGTAAAAGATAATTGGCGGCCACCATGGTCGCATTGGCCCAGCTGCGGCTAGGCGTAGACACGTATGCAAACACAAAAACAAGGTCTCTAAGCAGACATGGTTGGTCAACACTGGCGCTGAATCGCACCGGCATCTGCCGCACAAAACTCAAATTCGTAAACGGAGTTTGCGCCTGGATACCTCCTCGGGGACACCCGTCTACAGCGTGCTGGCTGCGGTCAGCCTGGCCCTAGTGTCGATTGCGTGGATTGTCTTACCTGTGGAATTAATGAAAAGTGGATTGTGTGGAAAAGATGTCCCAGGTCAAATTAAAGATTTCCAAATAACAAAAAGGAACAAAGAGTTGGCTCTTTTTTGGACGATGACAGCTGCCTTCCTCAGAACATCTGCGGGCATCAGCCTCGTACGCAAGCGCAAGCGCAGACAGCGAATGAGGCGGCGGTTCTTTGTTTACTCGCTGCACGCAGAAGCCAAAAACAACGCGAGCTTCAAACGATGCCTGGGCCCCAACCCGCCAGAATATCGACGAACGCGGCTTGAGCCACCCCAACTCAGATTGGATCGCAGCTGCTGATCACGCGCTGATTTAAGTTTATAATTAAAGCATATGATCTGATTACCAACCCAGCCCTACAGTTTTTTAGTGGCTTGCTCACGTGAATGTAAATTTTTCCAAAAAAATTAAAGTGCAAAAATCGATCAAGCAACTTGCGTATTTTTCCTGAGATCCAAGTGCTATTTTTTCTGCGGCTAATTTTTCGCTCAGTTTTTCGCTCGATTTTTCTCGTTGTTTCCCAGAGGTGAAGTCGATTAAAAGGGCTGCCAAAGCCCGCATGCCTTACTGTAGCTCTTTCTCTTCCGAACAACACTAGGTTTGCGCATATAAAACATTTTTGATACTCTTAGTCATGTCCAGGTACGTCTTGTAAATTTTTTGATGCAAGCTGTGCGGCCCTCGAGCGGGTCGGCTAGCTTCGAGCATCGTAGGAGAAAGGGAGGATGATGATACTAGTCACAGCCTTGCTTGCAATCTTGTTGCTGCAGATTCAGCGACATTATTGCACGCGAGGTCTGCCGGCAAACGGAATCCAAAAGGCTGGCGAGCAAGCACAGGTGCGGTACTTTAGCTATTGTGGCTGGAACAGTTGGCAAAAATCCCGTATGCTTGTTTTCATGCTGCGTGTAGGAATGTGTGCTGCTCTTTGCAGTATATTTTTTTGCTGCTGTTCTGGCTTGGCCTTGCCGCCAGCTAGACGACATTGCGAAGGGCTTTTTTGATTTGGTGTGCACGCTGTGCGCATTAGTCGGGCGGCCCCCTTGCGAGTTGTCGGTTTTTGTGCGTCGGTACTCTTGTGAGGCAGAGCGTGTATTCTAGGCACATGGTCCCTGATGTGCCTATGGTACATGGCTCGCTTGCAAACCTTTCTCCGGTTGCTTGCTGCACGTGATGCAGCGGCGCTGTGATTTGGTCAACTGAGTAACCGGCGCTTTTTTAACTAAATATGTTTTGCAAGTATTCCATCTATTTTCAATGTCTAGCGATAAGGTTCTTGCCCCCGAGACTGTCCTCAAGCAGCGTAAGAACGCTGAGAAGTCCGCCGTTGAGTCGGCCGCCGCCGCCGCCACCACCAAGAAGGTACGACACGGTTATAATTTTACACCGCTGTTTTAATGTTGCTGCAAGTGTTGTGTTGTGGACTTTTGTGATGATGATAAACATAGCTTACAGCAGTGAAGGTTGCACCCTCATGATTGTGCTTAACATTTAACCATCTTTCGGGGCTGAGCAAATACATACACACAAACACATTTGCGCGCACATGCACTCGTCATAGTTGACACTACTGTACACCTTTGTCGTGTATTACCAGCAAGCTTGCTAATTTTTTTACATCCCTTGTTTTTAATCGGTCTTGATATTAAGTAGGAGCGTCGCCAGAAGCGTCAGGTCATCTTCAAGCGTGCTGAGCAGTACGTCAAGGAGTACCGCCAGCTTGAGCGCTCGGAGATCCGTCTCCGTCGCCAGGCCAAGCAGAACGGTAACTTCTACGTTGCTGCCCAGCCCAAGCTTGCTCTTGTCATCCGTACCAAGGGTATCAACAAGATTGCCCCCAAGCCCCGCAAGGTGCTCCAGCTCCTGCGTCTGCTCCAGATCAACAACAGTATCTTTGTTCGTCTGACCTACGCCACCACCCAGATGCTCCAGATCATCACTCCCTACGCCGCCTGGGGTACTCCCAACCTTAAGACCGTCAAGGAGCTGATCTACAAGCGCGGATACGCCAAGATCAACAAGCAGCGCATCCCCATCTCTGACAACAGCATCATCGAGCAGAACCTCGGCCGCTACGGCATCATCTGCATTGAGGATCTTATCCACGAGATTTTCACTGTTGGCCCCAACTTCAAGATCGCCAACAACTTCCTGTGGCCCTTCAAGCTCTCCAACCCTACCGGTGGATGGTCTGGCCGCAAGGTCCGTCACTTCATCGAGGGTGGTGATGCCGGCAACCGCGAGGAGTTCATCAACGCTCTTGTCCGCCAGATGAACTAAGAGATTTTTCTCTTTTTCTAGCCCGCTAGCTCTTTAATTTTTCAATTTTAATTGACAAAGTTTTAGAAAATGTTTTGTTTTATAACTATTCGATGTAAATACGAAGTGAATAATTGCTTTTTGCATACTAAGTGAGAGCGCAGCGCGCTTTCAAATCAGCCGTAGCTTTGAGAAAACCAGCGATGCGTTGGTGCCGCCAAAGCCGAACGAGTTGGTCAGGGCGGCGTTGATCGTGCGCTCCTGCGGCGTGTGCGGGACATAGTTCAGATCGAAGCCAGCCTCGGTGTCGGCAGCGTCCAAGTTGAGCGTAGGCGGGGCGACGTCGTTCTTGACGGCGAGCACCGAGAAGATCGCCTCGACAGCGCCGGCGGCACCCAGCAGGTGGCCGGTCGCGCTCTTTGTCGACGACACCATCGGCAGCTCGGCGACGTTGGCAAAGACAGCCTTCAGCGCGGCGTTCTCGATCTGGTCGCCCAGCGGCGTGGATGTGGCGTGGGCGTTGACATAGGCGATTTCACCCAGGCTGATCTGCGCCGACCTGATCGCGCTGCGCATCGCGCGCTGGGCGCCAGCCCCGCCAGGTGACGGGCCGTGATGTGGAAGCCGTCGCCCGACAGCCCGTAGCCGCTGACCTCTGCGTATATGTGCGCACCACGCGCCCGGGCGTGCTCCAGCTCCTCGAGCACAAGCGCGCCGGCGCCCTCGCCGATGACAAAGCCTGCGCGGTCGCGGTCAAACGGCCTGGACGCCTGCTCCGGGCGGTCGTTGTAGCCGAGCGCCAGCGCCTTGATTTTGGAGAAGCCGGCGAGCGCCAGCGGGTGCAGCGGGCACTCGCTCGCACCGGCCAGCATGACGTCAGCGTCGCCAAAGCGAATGAAGCGCATTGCATCGCCAATGGCGTGCGCGCCCGTGGTGCAGGCGGTGGACACGGCGTGGTTGGGGCCATAGAAGCCGTACCGGATGCTAATGCTGCCAGCTGCCATGTTGCACAGTATCTTGGGCACGAACATCGGGCTGACCTTGCGCAGCCCGCCTGTGCGGAACTGGTCGTAGTTCGCGATGATGTCTTCCAGCGACCCGATCCCTGTGCCGAAGCACACGCCAGTGCGCTCGCGCTGCTCGTCCGACGGCGCAGTCCACTCGGCGTCTGCCAGCGCCTGCTGCGCCGCGCACATGGCGTACTGCGTGAACCCGGCCATCCGGTTGGTGTCGCCGGCTGCCAGCCACTCCTTGGCGTCGAACGTGCCTGGCTGCTGGTCGGTGGAGCGCGGCACGATGCCCGCTACCTGCGATGGCAGCCGCTCGTAGCCCGCGTCCCGATACTCGGCGACCAGCGACCGGATGCCCGATCTGCCCTCGAGGATGTTGCGCCAGGCGTGCTTGACGCCCACGCCGACCGGGGAGACGATCCCTAGCCCGGTCACAACGACCCTGCGTGTGGCGCCATGATGTGTGTGTGTGCTGTGGCTGTAAGCGTGTTGAATTCGGAGAAAATAAAAAGAAGAGAAAAATTATTTTTGGCGGTGTTGACAAAAAAAGTGAAAATTTCCGGGGGCCGACTGCTTTTGCTGAAGAGAAAAGAGAGCTTGAAAAAAACATCTTATCGGCACACGATCAGCAGTCGTCCGATCCGCCCTTTCTGCGGTTAGATTTGCGCATCGACAGGCGCTTCTTGTTCTCCTTATTGCGAAACTTCTCAGCCTTCTGCAGGCCCTCGACGCGCTTGATGGTCTCCTCGTCGGGGCCCTTGGGCAGTTCGGCAGCGGCGCTGATGGCTTCCCACAGCCGGTCGAGGCAGTCCTCGAGGTTGAGCCGCTGCATGCGCGTCTTTTCCGACGTAATCAGGTACTCGCCGCGCCCGTTGACCCGCTTGGCGTCCAGCTCCTGCATGCGCCGCCGCACATACTTGGGCAGCCACGCCTGCTGCTCCAGACTGAACCGCATGTACACCTTGGTGTTGAGCTTATTGACATTCTGGCCGCCGGCGCCGCTGCTGCGCTGGAAAGTCACCTCGAACGTCTTGTACGGAATCTTGTCGCGCGAAAACTTTGCCATAAAGCGCTCGACCGCCTCGACGTCCTCGGCCGCAATGTCGTTGATGTCTGGGTATGTCGAGTAGAGCCGCTGGAATTGCGCGTCTCGTGGCAGTATGTGCCGTGTGTTTATCAGGCCAAGTGTTGTCGTTGACGATATCTTTGCTGGCATTCTGACGACCTGGATGATCCTAGCGCCAGCAGGCACTTTGCATTGCCTGCAGAGTCGGGCGGTGAGCGACGGTGCGCGCAACATGCTATTATTTATTTTTATCTGCTTGGCTCGGCTGCTGTTCGCACCTACCAAGGGATATAAGCGAGTGCCAAAGCGATAAAGATCAAAGAGCCGAGAGCCGAGAGCTGAAAGCCGAGAGTCGTCTGCGTATTGCGAAAGGTATAGTTATGTGTGCGGTTCCGATCTGCACCAGATATCGTCCAGTTTTTTGCTCAAGGCTTGAGGGTGCGCAGCGCACCCGGATTTACCGCCTAGACACCCGCGCAGCGCCTGAGGAGATATGGGCCGAGCAGTGCAGCCAATCACTGCCCGCCGAATCACCAGGCACATGAGCAAATCACGCTGATAATTTGGCAAGGCCATCACTTCCAGTGAGCAACAGCTCAACTTGCAAAATTTCATGCAGCGGCACGATGCGTTGTTTATTTTTTTTCCCCTCCGCCCAACCCGACTTACTGTCTTTTCGAGACAGCGACGTTATTTCTCGAGCAGCTTCTTTTTTATTTTTTCCACCGCACCTATTTTTTTATAATATATAATTTGCTCGCAATTTGCCTTCTATTTTGCACTCCTTTTCCATCCTTTAACACATTTATTATATAACACGCGCCCAGAAATACTAAATCACACAAGGTATGGACTAAATGTTTTCTGCAATGGACCAATTCAACCGGCAGATGATGCTGATTTGAACGCTTACCAATAATTAATATTAAAAACGCAGGCCACCGAACTCACACAGCGCGCACACAGTTCACTGCCGGCAGCAAGGCGCACGCTGCGCTACTATCCCGCGTTTTTCTTTTGCAATCCACGCGCTCATCTGACAAAATTCAACAAACGCGCTGCCCAAGCACTCTAAACTTTCCAGTCTCTGAATACTAACTTAAAAACCCACTGCAAAAAATCGTTCATTTATTCCTCCCGCAATACTCTGCCCTGTAGTTACGAAAATGGGTATGTCTTTTTCAGCACTGTTCTCCTTCATGGGTAAGAGAGAGATGCGTATTCTCATGGTCGGTCTCGATGCCGCTGGTAAGACCACCATTCTGTACAAGCTGAAGCTGGGCGAGATTGTCACCACTATTCCGACCATCGGCTTCAACGTCGAGACTGTCGAGTACGGCAGCATTAGCTTCACCGTGTGGGATGTCGGAGGTCAGGACAAGATCAGGCCTCTGTGGCGCCACTACTTCCAGAACACGCAGGGTATCATCTTTGTCGTCGACAGCAACGATCGCGACCGTATCGTCGAGGCACGCGATGAGCTCCAGCGCATGCTCAACGAGGATGAGCTGCGCGACGCCAAGCTGCTTATCTTCGCCAACAAGCAGGATCTGCCCAACGCCATGACCGCCGCCGAAATCACAGAAAAGCTGGGCATTGCCTCGATGTCGCAGTCGCAGTCGTCACCTCGCCAATGGTTCATCCAGTCCACTTGCGCTACGACCGGAGACGGTCTGTACGAGGGTCTCGAGTGGCTGAAAAACAACCTCAACAACTAAGTTTTTTTGGCAAGCTCTATCTTTTGTCAGAGGGCATGGACCAGAAGGTTTTTTTTAATATTTCTTTGCTGCGCCTCTACAAGGGCGCGGCTTGTGTGTTCCCGTTTTACCTCTACATTTTATTTCCAGCAAATTAATTTGCTTGGCTACTTTAAAGAATTTTTTATCATCAAAAAAACAACTGGTCTGAACTGAACTGAACTGAATTGGATATGTATGCTCTGGAACATATGCGCGGCTGGCCCTGCTATGCTCGGGGAAAGGAACTTGTGTAAATTTGAAACGCGCTTCTTGAGACGGGTCGAACTGGCTGCGACATGAGCTGCCGCCGCCTTCATCATCTTGTCTCTGCTTATGTATATGCCAAACTCGCACAACACTCCTCTACACAATAATCATAACGATGATGACGATAATGCGCCACGCAATGCCGCTGCGCCAAATATGCCGCGCTCACTACCATCACCATAGCGTGGCAGCATATTTAGCGACTTTAGCAGCCTCAGCGCCCCAAACCTCTTCTCTCTTTTTCACTTCCAAATTTAGTTATCAATTTAAACAGCAAGGGCAGCAGCAATATTGCAATTACACCACTATCCCAAACTCGACAATGACGCAGAAACCGCTCGGCAAAGCGTCTCCCTCCGCCCAAGTGCACGAGCTCGACAGGACTGATGTCGAATCCTACGCTATTAGCGGCGGCCGAGTGTACGAGCGCTTCTTTAACTGTCCTCTGGATTACTCGCAGCCCGACAGCGACCAGCGGGTGCGGGTATTTGTCCGCCATATCGTGCCCCTAGGCAAAGAAGGAAAGGTGCACGAGCTGCCATTCATTCTCTACCTTCAGGGTGGGCCTGGCTACGAGTGCCAGCTGCCTGCCTCGGTCAAGGGCGGATGGCATGCTTTGGCAATCAAGGAGGGCTACCAGATCCTCCTTATCGACCAGCGCGGCACCGGGCTGTCCTCGCCCATCAACGCCGACAGCCTCGAGGCGCGTTTCACAACGACCAATGAGAAGGCAGAGTACATTAGCCATTTCCGCGCCGACAACATTGTGCGGGACTGCGAGTTTGTGCGCAAGGTCCTCTGCGAGGGCCGTGCTGACGGAGAGGCTAAAAAGCTGGCGCTGCTCGGCCAGTCGTTTGGCGGCTTCTGCATTACAACATACCTTTCACTGTTCCCTAACAGTATCTCCAAGGCCTTCATCACCGGTGGCGTCCCCCCACTGGTTGACAGCCCTGATGCCGTGTACCAGGCGACGTACCAGCGCATGCTTTCGCGAAACAAGCAGTATTATGATAAGTACCCGCGCGATATCCAGCGCGTGCGCACCATCATTAAGCATTTGAATATGACTGACGTGAAACTTCCCGATAGCGGCACTTTGTCTCCGCGCAGGTTCCAGCAACTAGGCATTTTCTTTGGCTTTACCGGCGGATTTGACAAAGTGCACCAGCTGGTATTCAAGGCCGCCGACGACCTTGCGACTACGGGCAAACTGACCACGCACACATTGACGGCAATTGCAGACTCGCAAAGCTTTGACACCAACCCGCTGTACTGCATTTTGCACGAGTCCATTTATTGCCAGGAGGGTAATGCGAGCCTGTGGTCTGCTCACCGCGTGCGCGAAAAGCAATTTGCCGCTGAGTTTGAGCACTCCTGGGATATAATCTCCACTCGCGAGGATTCCTCGTCGCCTGTGTACTTTACCGGCGAGTCCGTGTACCCGTGGATGCTTGAAGACTATGCGCAGCTGCGTCGGTTGAAGGACGTCGGACATGCGCTGGCGGAGCGCTCTGGCTGGGGCCAGCTTTATGACACCTCGGTCCTGGCACGCAACACTGTCCCAGTTGCCGGAGTTACGTATTACAACGATATGTTTGTTGATTTCAATCTCAGCGAGCAGACTGCAAACAGCATTCAGGGCTTCAAGCAGTGGGTCACGAATGAGTATCACCACAATGGACTGCGCGCCGACTCGCGCGTCATGTCATATCTGGTTGACCTACTGCGCGGGGATATTACGGATCTTTAAATATTTTTTGTTTTCTATCCCGACAAGCAATAATATATTATTTATGCCAATTGAGTCGCTTTATACACAAAACAAAAAAACAAAAAAAACATGTGCTTGCACTACACTAGTTGGCCCAGGTTGTTCTGGCTGATGAGCATGGCGTAGGTAATGAGCCACTGGACGCGGGGGTCAGATATATCAAACATATTTTGTCCATTTTCATACGTTGGATACGGGTACTGGGTCGCTGCCGGTTGCTGCTGCTGCTCTTTCGGTGGAGACGCTTTACCTGTATCAGGGGAACCCGGCTGTTCTGATGGGCGTTGTTGCCTATTCTGACCGCCACCGCCGCTGCCACCACGGCCGCCGTTGCTGTTATTGTTGATAATCACAGTGACCGGAGCGTTGATGATAGGCGATATTTCGTTGTTGTTGCCGCTGATAGCCGTCCCTGAATTGCCTAACAACTGTGCCTCGTCCGGATAGTCAATACTGGCATCAACAATGTTTATGCTGTCATCAATCTGCGTCAGTGAATTTCCAGCTAAATTGTTGGTGGTTTCCCCGGCTGGTACAAAGTTGCTATCAGCTGCAGCGGAAGTGTCACTTTGGATACCAGTGTCAGAAACCTCGGGGTTTGTTTGGCGCTTGTATATCAGAACGCTTGGCGTGGCATGAACGCCTACAGCCAGGGCAGCAACAAACACTGCAATGACAATGTGATGATGCATGCGAGATAATAAAATAAAAAGATAAATATTTATAGCGCGAAACTGATAAATTATTAGCAATATAGGTAACTGTAACTGTAACTAGAGTGTAATCGTGAATAATAAGGTGCGGAATTAGAGGAATATACGCAGCGATGTCGTGCTAGCGCTGATTATTCTTGGGCTGAAACCAAGCCAACTGTAAGAATAGAAAAGAGTAAGGAAAGGAATAGGCGGAGTAATATATAGGGAAGAAATTTCGGAAGGAGAAAAGTTACAGAGGAAGAGGAAGAGGAAGAGGAAGAAGAAAAGACACAAATTGCTTTATATTCCGTTCAGCATGAATAGTCAAAAGGCTTTCAAAAATAGGGTGCCTTTGTTATAGCGTACAAGATGAAAAATGTCAATAGAGCAAAATACCTTGTAAACATTAGCATTCTTCTTATTCCGAATATACAAAGTATTCCCTTTGGAGGATTTTGGCATGGTGGCGCAAGCCAGTTAATGAGTTTACCATCATTGTTTATTTTTTTGACCATTGTTGGACTTGAATTATTATTTTTTGCATTCACTTATTCAAAGGATTGTTTGAAAAAAAACAGGGATAGGCCTGCTGACAGTCTGAATGCAAAATGTGGACCGTATACAGTAACAATAATGAGAGTACAAAAAGGACGCCTGATAAGCAAAGCAACTAAAAATTTGATGCGCTGGATAAAAAAAACGTCCACGCTTTGCCCAGAGAAAATAGATCTATAGATCCATTTGCTCACTTGACAAAGCCCTGTCCTGTGTTATACAACTGACGGCTATAACCGCCATGATGTGTAGGTAAGACAATTTATGCGTTGCTTGTGGGGATGGGTAGCCGCAGCAGAGGGTTATCTCTTTTGCTTTGCGCCCAGCTGCTGCTGCTAAGTCTCTACCAAATGATTGCGCTCAATTCCCTACCTCTGGCAAAAGAGGTCAACACATTTTACCTTTTAATAAAATGTAAAGATAAGCGCATAAACACAATCTCGAAGGTTACTCCCCGCAGGTTAGGGCTTTGTTACAGCATATTTGATAATCTTGTCATCGTTAAGCGGTCCTTAAAAATTAAGCGGGTTAGTGGGGGAAGGCAAAGGTTAAATACACGTGATAGAGCTTTTTGGCCAATGATAGTAAACTTGAAAAATATTTGCGAAATTCAAATTCAAACTCACATCACCCCACCTATTTTCGCGTTTTTTTTTCTTTTCCAATTTTTTTTAAGCTTCCTGAAATATAAAAAAAATCGTTTTGATTTTCAACTTGTTTTTAGGCACACTTTTCTTCAATAAAAAAAAATATATTTTTCTATCACTATCACTATCACTATCACTATTATTTTATTATTATTATTATTACATTAATTTTACTCAGAATAAATCGCGCACGATTTGAACAAAAAAATTCCCTGGGACGAATCTCGCGCATTACCCCTCCTCGAACTCTCCACAGAACAACGCTCGCATTGATAAAAAGCACACTCCAAGTTTCTTAGTTCATTCGAGGTTTAAACTTCCCAACCCATTCACTCACTTCACATTTTCAAGGTCGACAATAAGAACACGCGTGCATTTCAATTACTAGTAAAAATGCGTAAGAAGGACAAGACCAAGTTCCCAGTAGTAAGTTTTTCTTCTTCTTCCCTCCCCTCGTTGTATTCGACACGGAACAAATGCAAAATTCAAATGGTTCCATGTAGTTTAGTCAAAGACACAAACACACAAGTTTATTAACATGGTTTTCGTTCAGACACAACATCAAACAACTCCTCTTCTCTCTTGCGTTCTAAGTAAAAAAACAACCAACCTGATTTGTTCACTTCTCCAATGCGCTAATAGGCACGTATCAAAAAGATTATGCAAATGGACGAAGAGGTTGGCAAAATGGCACAAGCAACGCCTGTTCTGATATCAAAATCACTCGAGCTCTTCATGCAATCCATCGTCGACGACGTCAGCAAACACGCAAGAGCATGTAATGCGCGGAAAATCTCACCAACACATTTGAAGAGATGCGTGGAAAGCACTGAATGCTATGATTTTCTCAAGGATATTGTTGAATCCGTGGTGGATGACGGTGATGGTGGTGGCGTAGAAGTTTGTGTTGCAAAGGTTGCCGAAATGGAGGAGGCCGGTGTGGAGGCGCAGATTAAATCGGAGGGTCTAGGCGGCGGTGGAGGTGGTGCTCCGTTATCGATGATATTGCTGGATGTGCCACAGCAACCACAGCAGCAACAGGGCGCATCGTATGGCAGCAATAGCGATCAATCCGCAGAGGGTGAGGACAATGCAAGTGATCCGTCGTATGAGCCCAAAGTCGGTTCCAACACGCGAGGTCGCGGAAAAGGAAGGGGCCGAGCCCGAGGGCGAGGTGCTACGGGCAGAGGCCGTGGGCGTCCAAGAAATAACACATCAGTACAGGCCAGTGAGCTTGGGTCTGAATGAAAGGAATGGACGACGGGTAGAATAGGATTGGATTGGATCGACGAATGACGATGACTACAAATGGTTCTTTATATTTATTTATTACTTTATCATATACAAACAGTTACAGTACATACCACCACCCCCACTTTTAACATTATGTTAATGTGTTTTTTTTGTGCGTCTTGTTTCTGTTCGCGCGCAAAAATAAAAAAAACAGATTTTTGAATCGCAGTAAGTGTCAGTTGGGATCATCGTACAATCCAGAGTCAAAGTCATGCCTGTATTGCTGGCTGTTGTGGCTATGGTTCGGGCACATGCGGTGGCTGGGAAGCCGATGGTCCTGCTGTGGTCGTGGGTGTGGGAGCAGGACCAGGCGCTGGTGCCGGTGGAGTACTTGGGGTGCTGGTGGACGCAGTTGTTGCCGCTCCATCAGTGCGTGGCATTTCTGGGACAGGTCCAGGCTGTGGCTCAGGCGGATCCTGGTGTTGAGCAGCATTGGCAGTGTTGCCATTGTTATTGTTGTCAGTATTGGTGACTCTCCACCCATGGCCAAAAACCCCGCCGAGGAGTCTGCCAAACAAAGGTACACCTTCATTGGTGGTCACCCAGCCTGGCTCATCTTCAACCACATGGTTGTCATTCGGGCGATTGGCATTTGCAATGTGCTCATGCTGTATCAGAGGACCCGGCATAAACATGTGTTGCATGCCAATTGCATCGCCTCCACGACCAAAGTGACCACGCCCAAAGTGACCACGACCAAAGTCATTGTCATTGTCATCGTCATCGCTATGGCCATCATCATCGGGTCCAAACCCAACAGGGAATTCATTGTGCAAGTGCGGGTGATGGTTATTATCAAGATGCGGGGGAGTAGTGTCCAGAGCGAGCGCACAGAAGGGCTCAGTGGGACCAGTCCTAATACTGTGCTCCTGTATGGCAACCGGATAGTAGTGCTTAATACGATCCAGCGCATCAGCCAGCTCCTGCGCGCCATTCTCATTGGCAATATCCACCAGATAATTGAAGAACTCCTCGTCAGGAAACTCGCATGGGATCTGGCACCGAGAGACAAAATCAGCTGGGTCGCAAGAATACCGGGAATGATCATCCAAATTCCCATTGCTCGCAGTAGAGCTGCTGCCGCTGCTATTGTTGTTCTTCAGAGCCGCTCTTGACAATGCCAAGCTATTTTCCTGTATGCTGGTAATAGCTGCCTGAAGTATGCGCAGCTGGCATATCTGGTGGAGCCTTGGGATCGAAAGACGGGCGGCGACACCCAACAGGCTAATCCAGTCGTCGAGATCACGTAGGACAGCGTCAGGAACCTCTCCAGTATACAAAAAATTGATTGCCACACGGACAGCGCCATAGGCCATGTTGTCGAGCATAACCTGCTTGGACGCTGACTCGGCCATTGACGACGCGAGCAGCGCAGCAAAGTACTCGCTCCCCGCAGCCAGCACGCGTTCATGCGCCCTAATCGGCGGCTGCAAACAACCAACTGTATTTTCGGGGTCATTGACGCTAATGGTAAAGTCAGCCGTACGCGGGTCATCCATTTGAGGTTTAACCTGCACTCCCCCTTGGTCTAGGGGCAGAAGAGCGGTCGAGAGTGGGTCTGACACTGGCGGAACCTCGATATCGGCGCGCAGCTTGATGCGGAAATCAAGCCCGCAGCGCGCCAGCGCATCGTCGTTATCGCGGGTACGACCACCGACGCCCAGCAAAAGCGGCTGGCGGGCAATCTGCACCTTCTGCCACCTGTTGGTGCCCTCTGTGGCTGGGCACAACTGCACCCAAATCTCAAAACCGTACTCGTTCTCGACGTACTGCGACAGGTCGGCAGCAAATCCCGGGACAGAGTGGACTGCGTAGGTGTGCAGCTCATTGGGCGGCTCCCTGTAGGCCAACAGGTGCCCACGATGCTGCTGGACGATGCGAGCGCGTGCTTCAATAGGCGATGTAATCTCTTTGGCGCCAGGCGGCTTTGGAACCTCAGGGAAAGCAAGAGCCTCTTCGGCGGTCAGCACATGTATGGGGATTAAGCTGAATTCTTTGTGAGTGAGCGGGCGAATATACCACTGGATGGCCGCAGTTTCCGCAAACAACGAAAAGTTGAGCACGGCATGGAAGCGGGCAATAATGCTCTTTGACTCGGCGTAATTGAAGCGCCAGGCAAGCATAGACTGCAAGTTTTGGTTTTCGTGGTTCGAGGCGAGGTACACCATGCCCCAGTCATGCTCGGTCTTGCAAAAGACGTTCTTGGTGTACAGCGTGCCATTATACCACGTCTTAATGAATGGCAGGACAAGGCCGTTCTGGTAGTACTCGTCGTCGGCCGAGCTGTACGAAATGCGACTGTCCCATTTGCAGATGCCCGGCTGCGAAGAGTCGGCGGTGGCGTCACCGCTGGTGAATTTGAACGGAAGGTAGTGGGCGAGCCGGTCAGCTGGTCGTGTGGAGCTGTCGTGCAGCGGGCGCCAAATGTTGAAGTAGCCGCAGGGCAGGGCCACGTCGACTTTGGCGGTTACCTTTGATGTGCGCGAGCCGGAGGCTGTGCGCGCAGCAGCTTGCTCGGCCGAGGACATTGACACGGAGGGCTCGTAGAGGTCGACCTCGTTGGGGAAGCACATGGGCCGGTGGTATTGGGGAATCAGCCCTGCAAAATCAACCGGGGATTTGCGCGGATAGTCCAGCGGCGAGGGTCTTCTCTCATTGTTTGTGGTTGCTGCGGGGATTGGCGGCAGTGGTGGAGCCATTGTAGATAAATAAATAAACAAATAAAATAAATAGTGTATTTTTTAGGTGCAGAGAAAATAAAGCAAAGGTAAAGAAAAGAAAAGAAAAGATGAAGAAAAGAAAAGTGGATTTATATATGATTTATATATGCCAGCTTAAAAAACGAACATGCCTCCCCCTCCCTTTTCGTTTCAAACTGCAGCGAAAAGCCCAAGCGTGATGATGACGTCGTCAGGTCGCATAAACAAACAATAAATTTTTTTTTTGGAAAGTGGCGGCGCAGCATCATCACACACGCCGAATAATAATTAAATCACTTGCATTTAGTAAGCAACCTGTTGGCGCACACCACCAGCTCCATCCTGTCCGTTCTCCTCATTTCGCCGCGCCGGCATGTTCGTCTCGGCAACAGGTGCAAACACACGGGCCAAAGTGGCCACCCCGCGCTTGCAAACCCGATTGCAAGCAAATGCCCAAACAGCCACGCTAACCGACCCCATGGGCGCACCAGGCAACGACAAAAACCACAAAACCGGATAAAACCAATTCGCCGGCACGTAAAACACAGCCGTACGATAATTATAAACACTCAACACAGTCCTCGATCCATAAATGAAAACGCGCATAAGCAAGTTAATATACAGCTCAAAGGCAGTTTTCTCCAAGGCCAGGTCGCCGGATACGCGCTCAAAGGAGGATGAGGCGGCGTCGAGCTTGCGGCGTAGCTTGGCCCATTTGGCAAACTCATCGACGGAGCTGATTGTGCTCAGCTGCGAGCGGAGATCCGTGATTGATTTACGCAGGGTCAGCCGTTGGTTCGCCTTTTGGTTGTTTGTCAGCTGCGTGTACGTTGACCAAAGGTACGAGGCTAGGGCGCCGTAGCCGATGGCGTCGAGTGCCGCCGAGGCGAGCTCGAGCAGGAATATGGACGTCAGCAAGAATGCAGCGGGCATAGCTCTTCTCGAATTAGTAAAGGATTGAAAAAAGACAGATTGAACGGAGAGAAGCGTTTAAAGCAAAAAAAAACAAAATAAGAGCAGGGGGGGGAAAGAACTGGAATTACACGAGAGAAAGAAAAGGAGAAAGAGAGAGGAGCCAAAACCGACAGTATGCCAAAAAAAAAATCGAACGTAAAATGCAAGCTGATCCACACACAGTTTCGCAGAGCACCTTGATCGTGTTAATCGGAAACTAATCTTTACGGGCGCAGGATCGCAAACGGGCGCACAGGCTGCGACGTCTCGAGATCCAGCGCATACGCAGTATACGCAAGGGCGCGGCGCAGCATGGGCAGGTCGACATCAACGGCATTGTCCTCGGCGGCCAGCTCGCGCTCCAAGCGGCCCAGCCAGTACCAGGCCTCCGGATCCGACCACCCATGCGCCCTGGTGATGTTCTTCAACAGCCCCAGCGCAACGTCCTTGCGCGCAAGCAGATACTCGGCGCGCGCAAGGCACACGGACGCCCGGATATGCGTGGGCTCCAGCGACACGGCCGCGTGGAAGTCGTTAAGCGCCGACAAATGGCTGTTGCGCGCCAGGTGCAGCTGGCCGCGCAGCGTCAGCGCCTCGGGCGAGTCAGGACACGCGGCCAGCGCCTCGGCCACGGCGTTGGCCGCGTCGTCCAGCCGCTGCAGCGCCACAAAGGCCGACGCCGATGTCAGCCACAGCAGACACAGCGCGCGCTGCGCCAGCCGCTTGTGGTGCGCGCGCCGCGTAGCCACCGGCGAAAAGTACGCGGACGCCGAGGCGCCGTCGTTCTCGACGAGCGCGCAGCGGGAGACACCGGCCGGGAGCGAGTCGAAGAAGGCCTCGGGCGTCGGCGCCGGCGCCGCATCGCTGCTGAGGCTGGCGCGCAGGTGCGGCATCGAGCGGCGGCGCACAGGCGAGGCCACAGCGCCGTCGGCATCAAGCGGAGGCAGTGGCGGCACGGGCGGCCGCGCGTCGTGGGGCATGGCGCCGTGCGAGTTGACGCGGCTGTGGTGCGAAAAGATCGAGCGCGAAAGGACCGAGCGCGAGATGGCCGACCGCGACAGCAGCGAGCGCGCCAGCGACCGGCGCCCCGAGCTATGCGACCGGGCGGCCGCAGCCGCATTGGCCGCGCCGGCCGATGCGGCATCGCCGTCGCCGTCGCCGTCGCCGTCGCCATCGCCGGCAAGCACGCCGCCGAACACGCAGCCGTACAGCGCAAACAGCTGCGGCTGCGCAGCCAGGCTGGCCTCGTGGCCGCGCAGCCGCGCCTCGACGGCCATGCGCGTCACGGCAACGTCGAAGAACTGCGCGCCGGCATCGACGTCGGCCGGGAACTGCGGCGGCGGCTCGCACCCGGCGGCCACGGCATCGAGCACGCCGGCCCACGCGCTCTGGCGCATCGCCACGTCGCACACGCGCAGCGCCTGCGCGTCGTCCTTGCGCGCCGACGACAGCAGCGCCAGCAGGTGCCACGCGTCCAGCCGCCGCGCGTCCAGCGCCACGGCGCGCTTGGCAGCGACGGTCGCGCCCGCCACGTCGCGCGCGCCCAGCGCCAGCTCCAGCGCCAGGTGGAAGTGCGCGTCGGCCGCCGCGTCGTCGTCGGCGGCCGCCTGGCGCAGCAGCTGCACGGCGGCCGCGTGGTGGTCGGCGCGGTTGCCGGGCTCGCGGCTGCGCTGGGCCAGCCGCGCGTGCGCCGCGCCCTTCCACAGCGCCAGCGGCGCCCGCGTCGCGCGCACGGCGGCGGCGAGCTCGGGGTGCGCGCCGGCGCCGGCGCCGACGCCGGCCACGGCCGCCTGCGCAAAGTGCACCAGCGCCAGCGCGCCGTGCGCGTCGTCCAGCCGCAGCAGCCGCAGCCGCGCGCCGTCGGCGCAGGCGGCCAGCACGTCGGCCACCAGGCGCACGGTGTCGGCGTCGGCGTCAGCGTCGGCGGCGGCCGCCGCCGCGCGCTTGCTGGCCTTCTTGACCTGGCGCTCGGCCACCTGCTCGTACGTGCGCAGCGCCAGCGCCGCCTCGTGGAAGTCGCCGGCGCGCTCCAGCGCCGCCACCAGGTGCCGCAGCACGCGCGGCGCATTGAACGTCAGCTCGACGGCCGCGCCCAGCAGCCCGGCCAGCACGCGCGGCGCCGTGCCCAGCAGATCGCCGGCGGCGGCGTCGACGGCCGCCAGCACCTCGCCGTGCGTCTCGTCGGCGCGCGGGAACGCGAACGCCGCGCGCAGCAGCGCCATCTGTCGCGAGTGCACGCGCACGCGCTCGTCCACCGGCGCGCCGCCGCCGGCGCGCAGCCCGTCGCCGTAGACGCGGTTGGCGCGCAGCCGCCGCATGGCGCGGAACGCGTGCGGCGCCGCCGCGTCCATCTGCCGCAGGTACCCGCCCAGGTCGGCCAGCGCGCCGGGCTCGCCCAGCGACACGCCGGCCATGGCGCGCCGGTACAGCGCCTCCTCGGGCCAGTTGACCAGCTCCTCGTGCGCCCCGCTGCTGCGCGGCACGACGACCACCGCGCAGCCGGCATCGTCGATGCACGCTGAAAACTCGCGCACGCCCTGTGCGTACTCGGCGCGCGCCGCCGCCAGCTCGCCGCGCCTCTCGAGCGCCACGCCGCGCATGACGCGCCGCGCAACCGCCAGCTGCTTCCCGTACGCGGGCGACAGCACAAACGTCGGCGGCTCGCGCGAGCCGGGCTCTTCGTCCGCGCCGGCGTCGGTGTCGGCGTCGTAGTGGCCTCCGTAGAAGCGGATCTTGGCGGCAATCACCTGCTGCTGGAACCGCTCCTCGTCGTTCAGCGCCATGCCCGCAATGCCGCGCACCTCCTTCTCCAGAGGCTCCAGCGCCGCCGATGGCGCCGACAGGTGCTTGGGAAAGTGCATGCGCAGCCTGTTTGCGCTGCCCTCGACGGGCGCCGCCTCGTCGTGCCAGTGCGCGCGCGTGTCCCACGGGATGTCCAGCAGCAGCTCCTCGAGCCGCGCCTCGCAGGCGACGATGCTGGCAAACCCTACACGCGAAATAAGAAAATACAACGATTGCAATTGGCTGTGGAATTAGCTGTGAAATAGGCTGTGAAATAGCTCGTGGTTGCTGCTGCTGCTGCTGCTGCTGCTGCTGCCGCTGTGCGCGCCTTACCCTGGCCTGCCGAGTTGTGCTTGGCGTACTTTGCTGCCAGCGCCGCCAGCGCCTGCCACCGCCCTACGCAGCGCGCCGTGTCAATTTCCTTGAGGAGGGCGGCATGGTTGCGCGATAGTGACATTGTAATTTGAATTGTATTTGGTGTGTGAGAGAATGAAGGAATTAAACGTGAATATGCGACTGTATGCGTGGACAAAAGGGGGAATAACAACAATTTCGACATGCAAAACAAAAGTTGATTTTAAAGGGGACCCCCGCAGATCATATCGCCACACCACTGCCATCAAGCAGCATGAGAAAAGAATGATCGCATCTCCGCCACCAAGCAACTTGAAAAAATGAAGGACCATATCTTCGCCCTCCTCATACGCTCACAAAGTGGCCGTAGACGATCGACCGAATCGCATAGTACTCAGGAGACGGCGTGCCTAGCAGCCGGATTCCAGCGCTGCCGCTGCCTGTCCCGCCAGGCCTGCGCTGCACGGCGACGTTAGGCCCACAGACCAGCGTGCCCTCGGCATCAAAGTGTGCGGCGATGCTGTGCGCGGCCAGCACAGCGCGCAGCGCACTGAGCCGCGCGTCGCCGACCGTTGTGGCCGGCTGCCACGCGGCATCGCGCGCACCGCCTGCATCGACGTCCAGCACCGGCACGCCGTCGTCGCTGGCATAGCGCACGCGCCCAGCCACAAAGCCCAGCGCACTGGCGCCGACCGCATGCATGCGCACCTGGCGCAGCAGCGCGTCGGTCAGCCGCAGCCGGTAGGCGTTGAGCCCCGACGCCACGTTGAGCGTCTCGCCCAGCCCCGGCGTGTAGATCTCCTTGGTCACCGGCACCTGTGGGTCGCGGCAGTGCTCGGCCAGCGCCTGCGTGGCCGCCGCCGACCCGTGCACGATCACCACGCGCTTGGGCATCAGCTGCACCAGAATGTTACTGGCCGACGTGCCGTCAGCGCGGCCCTCAAGGTCGACGAACGCCAGCTGGCAGTTGATCGCCACGCGCCGCTCCTCGCGAATGGCCTTGGTCGGCCGCCCGCCAAACTCATCGTCTGAGCCGCCGCCGTCTGAGCCCGCGTCTGACCCCCCTGGGTGCGCCAGGTTGGTCGAGTCGTCGGGCTCGGGCGCCAGCTCAAACGCCGCTGTGTCAAAGATCTCGCCGTACTCGTCGGCGCGCCGCAGCTTCTCCTGGAACGGAAACGTGCAGCGTGCATCGCGCAGCCCGCCGATATGCAGATCGTAGCTCAGCCCACTGCGCAGTCGCTCCATTGCCAGGTCCAGCTCGGACAGTGGCGCCGCAAGATCAACGGCTGCAGCATCCGCCTCACCATCGCTGTCGCCGTCGCCGTCCGAGTCGGCGTCCGAGCCCACAGCGTCGCTGTCAGCCATTGTGCGCTCGCGCCGCAGCATGGCCTCGCGCGCCGCAGCCTCCTCGCAGCGCCGCCGCTCCTGCGCCTGCCACGCCTCGAGCTCGGCGCCCTGCAGAGCCACGCGCCGCCGCAGCGTCACGGCAATGTCCGACCCAACTGGCAGCCGCGCCGGCCGCACCAGCTCGGCCTCGGCGGCGCCATTGCGCACGTCCTTGCGCTGCGTGTGCTTGAGCCAGCGTGTGTACAGCCGCCGCGCCAGCGACCCGGGCGGCCCGCGCTGCGGCATCACCACAGCGTTGTTGCGTGCCCCAGCCCACCGCACAAACAGATCCTGCGCAAACCCCAGCGACATGCTGTCCAGCGACGCTAGCACGACGGCATGGCGCGCTCGTTGCTGCTGCTGCCGCCGGCCGCCGCCGCCGCGCCGGTCCTGATCAGCTTGGCCCATGCGGCGGTCCAGCTCGGCCAGGCTCTGCACGGCCACGACGTGCCGCAGGTCAAACGGCTTGGTATCTGCAGAGCCCGCTCCCGGTGTGGCACTGCCCAGCCCGTCGGCCATCCACCCGACCAGCGACTGCGCAAAGGCGCGCGCCTTGCGGCTGCACCGGCCCAGCAGGTACAGCGTGTGCGATTCGCGGCGCGCACGATCGCGGCCCCACCACTCGTTGAGCACGTACGCGATCTCCAGCACGCGCGCGGCCGAGTCGACCGGCACAAGCACATTGCCGCCGCGCCGCACAGCCTGTCCAACAGCATCAACAAACGCCTCAACGCGCCGGCGCCGTGGCGGCAGCCGGTACTGCGCGTTGTACGCGTCGGTGATCAGCAGCGACGGCCGCGCAAGCCGCTCGTTGACACGTCCCTGGCCGCCGACCAGCAGGCTGCTGCCGCCCAGGTGCGCCTCGCGCATGTGATTGTAGTCCATTGCGTACAACACAGTCTCGGCGCCATTGCTGATCGTCCACACGGCGCCGCCCACTGAGTGGCCCGCCGCGTGCGCCGTCACCGTGATGCCGCTGTGCCGCCCGCCCAATGACACCGGCTGCGAGTACTGCAGCGCCGTGACGTTGTCAAACGCCCGATCAACCGCGCGCTCGTCAAACAGCTCAAAATCCTCGCGCGCACGCAGTGCCTTGGTCACGTCGTGCATGCACACGCGCCCCATCATAGCCACCGCCTGTGTCGCGTACGCTGCGCACGTTAGCCCCCACCGCTCAAACGCCACCGGGTAGGCGCCGACGTGCGCCGCATCGGCATGCGACAGCAGCACTGCATCTACCTGCCGCGCCACGCGCTGCAGCTGCGCCAGGCCCTCGCCGCTGTACTCCTCGAAGCTGCCACAGTCCAGCAATATCTTGGCCTCGTCAATTTCAAGCAGATAGCAGACTGCATCCTCGTTGTTGGCCCCCGAGATTGCTGTAAACTGGATTGAATTGGCAGACATGAAATACAAGGAAAAAAAGAGTGGAATTAAAAAGAGTTGAATTTTTTGCGGAACTGAAATGTCAAAAAAAAAATTGTTGCGAGACAGCACTAATGAAACACCTGCTTGCCTGCATCAGGGCTGAATGCGCTGCCGATGAAAAGCGCAAGCATTCGGGTTAAATGCGTGATTGTGCCCACCGCGATCAGCCCCTTAATTGATCTCTCCGTAGATCTCGCCCACGCGCTCGAGCGCCGCCTTGTACTGGCCACGCAGGCCCTCCAGCACGTCCTTGGCTGGGTCGACGCGCCGCAGCACGCCGTCCCAGTGGCCGTTTTCCTTCATCATCTTCTTGAAGTGGAACGCCTGCGCCGACCCAACCAGTGTGTACGCCGCGCCCTCGCGCCCGGCACGCGCCGTGCGCCCCACGCGGTGCGTGTACTGGCTCATATGCACCGGCACATCATAATTGACCACAGCGCTGATCTGGTCAACGTCCATGCCGCGCGCAATCAGATCAGAGCAGATCAGCATGCTGATCTCGCCAGCGCGGAACATGCGCATAATGCGCGCGCGCTCGCCGGCCGCCAAGTCGCTCGAGTACTCGGCCACGACAACCGCTGGCCGGCCCTCAGGCCAGTCGGTGACGGCCGCCGCCCATGCCTGCATGACCTGCGCCAGTCGGTGCGCCGTCTCGAGGGACTTTGTGAAGCACACCCCGTGCCGCACGCCCTCGGTCCACAGCAGCCACATGAGCCACAGCGGCTTCTCGTCCGCCGCGCACATCGCGTAGAACTCGCGCAGCGACGCCGGGAACGCGTACCGCGCTGTGCCGTCCGCCTGGCTGTCCGCCTGCGGCTGCGTGACCGCCACGTACAGCGGCCGCACCAGCTTGAGCCGCGCAATCTTTCCTGGGTCGCGCGTCAGCGTGGCTGAGAATAGCAGCTTCTGCACGCGCGGCGCCGGCGGCGCCAGCGGATCCAGCCTCGCCAGCGCGCTGCGCCGCGTGCACGCGTCGGCCGTCGGCACACCGTGCTCACCCAGGCCAGTGCCAGCCTCAGCCTCGGGCTCGGCTTCCGCCTCGATCGCAGCCTGTACCTTGGGCAGCCACTCCTGGTATGCCTCGCCCAGCAGCCGGTCGGCCTCGTCCATCACCCAGAACTCCAGGTGCTGCAGCGTGAACCCGCGCGTCATTGCCAGGTGGTCCAGCAGCCGCCCTGGCGTGCACACCAAAATATCGACGCGGCTGCTGCCGCCGCTCGCCGCGCTGCCGCTGCCGCCGACCACCAGCGCCGCCTGCTCCTTGCCCAGCGACATGTCACCCGTCGCCAGGCCCACGCGCAGATCCGTGCCGACGCAGAAAAAGTCAAAGCTCTCCTTCACTTGCTGCGCCAGCTCCTTTGTCGGCAGCACAACCAGTGCGCGCAGCCGCACGACTACGCGCGCCCGCAGCTTCTCCACAATCGGGATCACAAACGCCAGCGTCTTGCCGCTTCCCGTGGGCGCCGACACGCAGACGTCGCGCACGTGTTGCCGCAGCCGCGACAGCGAGTGCGCCGCGCGCAGAACCGGGATCACTGCCGATTGCACTGCAAACAGCTGGTCGATGCCTGCCTTGCTGCACTGCCCCAGGATGTGCCCCGAAAGACCAAAACGTGGGTCGTTGGCCGGTGCTGTCACGTCACGATCTACTGTCGTCGGCTGTGCCAGCCATTGTGGGATTCCCATGCGCGCGGCCTCCTGCGCGGCCGAGGATGAAATCGTCGCCTCCTGCGAAAAGTCGGGGAAGCGTTGCAGACCATCGGGAACAGGCTCGTCCTCGCTGTGTTGTGTTGGCTGCTCGGCTGTCGAGGAATTGTCGCTGCCCTCCATCTCTGCGTCCACAGCTATATCCGCATCTGCGTCTGCGTCTGCGTCTGAACCTGGCTCTGAACCTGACTGTGTATCTGTGTCTGCCGATTGCTTTTTGGACTTTTTATCCTTTTTTGATTTCTTCTTGTCCTTCTTTTCTTTCTTGTCCTTGGATTTGGCCGATTTGTCCTTCTCAGTCTTGTCCTTCTTATTGGCCTTGTCCTTCTTGCCCTTGTCGGCACTGCCCGCCGCCTCAGACTTCCTCTTCTTCGTCTTACGCTCGCTGATCTGTTCCTCAGCCGATGACTCAACAATGTCCATCGCCTGGCTTCTCTTTGTTTTTTTGCTTGCCTCCTCAGACGACCGCTTCTCTTTGGATGCCTTCTTGTCCTTTGTTGACCCCATTTAGATACAGTGATGCAATGTGAGTTTTAAAAGCTCCTTTGTTGGACTTTGAATTCAATAATGTAAAAAAGTGACAAACAAATGAACAAACATACCACAGCACACAGCGCAACTGAAGCTGCGTGTGCCGCGAGGAAGTTTGATCTCGATGGTTAGAAAAAAACAAGAGGCTTGAACCGCCCAAAAAAGAAAAAACTGGCCCAAAAAAACAAAAATTATAATCACTTGATTTTACAAACAAAAATCAACAGCTATCCGATCACTTGCTGCCGCCCATCATGCCCAGCCCCTGCTCGCGACTCTTCAGCGCCATTGCTCGTAGCAGCTCGACCTTGCTGCGCTCCTTGTCCATCTGCTCCTGCAGCCTGGAGCCGCGCTCCGCCTCACCCTCCCCACTGCGCAGCTGTCTCCGCTCCAGCCGTCTCTTCTCCCTCACCTCGCGATCCCGCTTCAATGCAGCCAAATCAGACCCCGAATCAACATAAAGCTCCTCATCGGGGATCTCCACATCCAAGGTTTTCCCCACCTTGCGCATCGCATTGAGTGTTCGCTTCTTGGCCAGCAAAGCCGATCGTCCAGTTTCCTTTGGCGCCACTTCGTCGAGAATCAGCTCCTCTCGCTCCTTGGCCCGCCACCTCTCCCGCCTGTGGCTCAAATGGTCGCGCTCCCTTTGCTCCTCATTAAACAACTGCTCGCTCTCCGCAGGTCTCTCCCTCTGCTGGGCATCGTGGGCCGTGTGTTTCGACCTTTGTCCGGCCAACTGCAGCCTGGTTGGCACTGGCATTACCACCCGAATGCGTCGACCTGTACACTTCCTCCTTGATTCCACTGATTAACTCCTGATCCAGTTTTTTGGCAAATCCCCAGCTATGCTTAGTCACCACGCTTTTGGACAGATTCGCCAGCTCGCCGTCCTGCTTGTAGTACTTGGACCTCAATCGACCGTCATTCCAGGCGCGCACAAATGATGCAAAATACCGCCGCGCCTTTTCTGTATCCATGTCTTCAAAGTATCGATCTTTCTCCTTGAGGAGCCACAGTCGGAAGGACGCGTTGAGCTTGAAATAATCGTCTTGCGAGATCGGGATGATATCGCGCTTTTCGTTTTGATCACGCTCGCGCCGCGATCTCACTGGCGATCTTGACCGCGATCTGTCTTTTCTAGATTTGGAGCCCATCTTCGATATATCTTGAAAGCTTTTAATTTTTTAAATGATAAAAAAGATATATGCCAAAATAAAATCAAATTTCTTGCGCGCCAAAAGAATTGTGCGAAATATAGCCCAATTTTATACACGCGGACTCGTATGGGGGAGCAGACTATTGGCACATGTTTTTTTAATTTTTAATTTCTATATTTCAGCCTAGATCTTGCACCAGGACGGGAAAAATATAGATGGACATCTAGGCCACACTAAGATAAATGCGAGGCTACAACATAACACCAGCCAAATGAATAATTTAAGCTTGATTTATCCAGACCAACCTCGTAGTTATAAAACAATATTCACCACGCCATAAAAAGTTGAGATGTTAATACTTTTCTTTCCCAAAGCATTTAATAAATATCCACTTTTTTGCATTCAGAATTTTCTAATATTTTCATTACACTGCAATGGCCACATCGCTTTCTTTTTTAAATGTGCACGCTGTGGATAAAATCCCCGTATGGCTGGACTGCGATGTGGGACATGACGATGCGATGGCACTCATTCTTGCAGCCTACCACCCGAGTATCAGCCTGCTTGGTGTGTCGACAGTAGCAGGAAACTCCTCGCTTGAAAACACTACGGCCAACGCCATCAGTGTCATGCAAGCAGCCGGAATCAAGGGTATCGGAGTTTACAAGGGTGCCTCCAGACCGTTGGTAAAGCCCGCTGCATATGCTGGCGACATTCACGGTGCATCCGGGCTGGCTGGAACTACGTTGCTGCCTGAGCCTGACTTTGCCACTTACCTTTCTGAGGACACCAACGCAGTCAATGCAATGTACCGGGCAATAATAAGCAACCAGGTCCCAGTGTGCGTGGTGGCTGTGGGACCGCTGACCAACATTGCACTTCTAATCAGCATGTACCCGCAAATTATTCCCAAGATCAGGACACTGTCCATCATGGGAGGTGCTGTGGCGCTGGGCAATGTTACAGCAGCCGCCGAGTTCAACATACACTTTGATCCCGAAGCCGCCCACATTGTTCTAAACTCTGGCATTGCGCATATATCCATTGTTCCGCTCGATGTAACCCACACGGTTCTGACAAATAAAAACGTTATTCGGCGCATTGCCGAGTCCGTGCTGGTGCCCAGGTTTTCACAGTTAATCACCGATCTGCTTTTATATTTCAGCAGCACATATGGGGACGTGTTTGGAATGGGCGACGGTGCACCGCTTCACGACCCGGTTGCAGTGGCGTATCTGTTTATGCGCAATGCTTTTGTTGAAAGATATGTTCGGGTAGACGTTGATTGCAGTGCAGGGCATGGCCAGGGCCGTACATACTGCGACATGTTTGGCCGCACTGGTAAGCCGCCAAATTGTTGGGTAGCTACGTCCGTTAATGTTGAGCAGTTCTGGAACACTATGCTCGAGGCGCTGGTGGCTGCGTCCAAGGAATCACCACTAAAAAACAACGGGTAAATAATGTATCTGCAGTACACTCACGGCTTTTTGCGGGGCAGTATGTCAGCGCAGACTGTGTTTACACTCAGCATGTATTTTATTATTTTGGTTTATTTGGTACCTTAAATTAATGGAACTGCTATCTCTAGTGTTGACAACAAAGAATGCAATTCTCCTTTGTTTTATTATGGCCACAGAGGAGAACGTAATTAAAGGGGCAGAATGTAATATTTCTCCAAGATTTTAACTTTTCACATATTGTCCAATGTTCTATATCGTTCAAAGTTTCAGCAAGTTGCTCATTAAAGTAAACACTTGTTATAATAAGAGGGGGTGTGAGGAGCACTAGTTGTCTAGTGTTAAAAAAAGTTGGGGTGATTTTATAAAATATTTTATTACTGATGTTTCTAAAATACTACTAGTGCCGGCCTCACCTTATATATGTACCTCGTCGCCTTTGTTGTGCACATTGTCAATTGTGCGCTCCGTTGGTGAGAACTGGTTCTTCTGCGAGCAGACTGGTATCTTGGCAAGTCAATGTTATGGTTTTCGCGTGTGTGCGCTCATGCGTGTGCATTGCAAAATGGGGAGCATGTTTGAGCATCGATATATTGGCTCCCTAATTTACACCTGCATAATCCAATTAGCGTCCTATCAATCGGCACGCAGGTGGAAACCTGTTTTGCGATTCTCAACCTCAACATCCGCTTCCATATCTTCAGTCTGTGCAACAAGTATATTCTGAAAAATTGTAAAAAAATAAAACTTCAAAATTTTTATTTTTAAGGAGATGAAAAGAAGTCTTCCATCTCGTTCGTCTCTATATATTTTTCTCTGTGGCCAAAACAAAACAAATAAGCATTGCTTTTTTCGCTGCCAATACTCAAAACAGCTGAGCATTTGACAAAGCCAATATGTCTTGATCAAAACCTGACTGTAATATATTTTTTTTTAACTTAAATCAAATAAAAAGTGTGCAGCCGGCTCATACTTGACGGCCTCGCAATTCCAATCGAGACAATCAGCAAACATAATTGAAAACGGGTGTGAAAATAAAATATTAATTTAATCAAAGATTAGATCAATTATTGCTTTGATATTTATTTTATCACATGGGCTATCATGTGTTGTGAATTCTGTCAAACAAGGCAAAAATATGTAAAGCATTTCCGCTTTGCTAAGCCATATAAAATGAAGATTCAGTCTTTTCCTCCTCAATTTATCTTCAGTTTATTTTTAACCACATTGCTTTTACTTTGTATTTCAAAATAAGAATATTCCATTCGACACCCTACTTACTATTTATTATATTCACTTATTTACACCAATGAGCACTTCCAGAATCAAACCCGCTGGCAGACCAGCTGGGAATCAATTTGAAAAGCCATACGGAACGGCTGGAAGAAGAATGCAGGTGGTTTCCAACTACGTCGAGGTTTCGAGATACCCAAAAGGCGAGATCTACCAGTACAACGTTGAGTTGAAGCCGGAGCGTGGTGCATTTGCGCGTCTGCCGCCGCCTGCCTACACGCGTGCCATCTTTGAACAGGCAATGCGCATGCATCACAATAGCACGCTGAAGGGTATCCTGATGGTGTACGATGCGCGCAAATTGCATACGCGGCCAAGCAGGTGTGCGAGCCTGGACAGACGCTTACGCTTGATGTGACGCACACTGAGGACGGGCGCTCTGAGAAGTTTGCCATTGAAATCCGTCAGTCAGCTGTCATTAGCGCCAATCTTCTGACCGAGTTTATGCGCGGGTCGAAAGGCGTCGAGATTCCGACATTCAGCCCATATTGAATGCTTTTGATCTCACGATCGGGTCGGTGATCCACGCCGAGATGGTCGGCTTTGGACGGTCATTCTTCACTCGCACGCAGTCGAAGGCCACATCGGGTGGGCTGGAGCTGTGGCGCGGGTTCTCGTTCAGTTTCCGCCCTGGAGTTGACCGGCTGTATCTTAACACTAACACGGCAGTCACAGCCATGTACACGCCAGGGTCGCTGCTGGAGGTACTGGTAAAAATATTGAATTTGCGCGACATTAACCAACTGCGCGGCAAGATTGCGCCAGACATGGTACGCACAATCGGGGCTTACCTGCGCGGAGTAACGCTGTACATTCACCACCGCGGCATTCCTGGTAGGCGCAAGCTGACCAGCAAGGGCATGACGAGACAGCCCCTGGACCAGGAGTCGTTTGACTGGGAGGATCCCAATAATCCTGGCGCCTCGGAGAATATTACAATTTCCAAGTACTACAGCAAAAGGTACAACATTACGCTGCGCTACCCATTTTTGCCTGGACTGGTTGGCCGCAAGAATGCCGTGTTCCCCATCGAGCTGTGCGAGATTGCTGACAACCAGCGCTACCGCGGCAAGCTCGACGAAAGGCAGACTGCTGACATGGTGACATTTGCGTGTCAGCGCCCGAGCAACAACATGGATCAGATTGTTCAAGTCTTGGGCAAACTTGACCTCAGCAACTCGCTGGTGGTTAAGTCGTTTGACCTCGCAATGCCCAACGTTCTGTCGCGTGTTGAGTCGCGCGTGTTGCCCGCACCCACCCTCAAGTATGGCGAAGCATCACGCCCTCCTCAGGTGACGCCTGTCGGCGGTGCGTGGAACATGCGTGACAAGTCTGTACTGACTGGTGGCACTCCGCTAAAGTACTGGGGCGTGTTAGTCCTTGCCAACCGCAACATGCTGCCCGAGGGCAAGGTGTACAGTTTTGTTACCTCTCTGGTCAACATGTGCAACCAGACCGGCTACCAGGTGCAGGAGGCGCGGCCTGTAATTATGTACGGAAACCTCAATGCCAATATTGGTGACGAAATGAGAAGAGTATACGAGGCCATCAAGCCACCGCCACAACAGCTGCCGCAGCTGCTGCTTGTTGTGCTTCCAACCACTAACACGCAAGTGTACCAGACTGTCAAGAACTGCGCCTACACCACGCTTGGAATCCATACCCAATGCATGCAAGCCAAACACATGCAACGCCCCAACCCGCAGTACTGTGCCAACCTGTGCCTCAAGATCAACGTCAAGATGGGCGGCACCAACCAGGGCCTGCCTGCCGCTGATCTACAGAATATGCTGCACCGCAAACCGACGCTATTCATGGGCTGCGACGTGACCCATCCGGCGCCTGGCGAGCAGTACAAGCCCTCCATTGCGGCGGTCGTTGGCTCGACAGATTTCATGGGCTTGCGCTATGCTGCCACTCTGATCCAGCTGCCATCGCGCCAGGAGCTGGTTAGTCTGCTTAGAGAGACTGTCATCCGCCACTTGAAGCTGTTTTTTAAGAGCACGCGCACCAAACCTCAGCACATTATTTTTTACCGCGATGGTGTCAGTGAGACGCAGTTCAACCAGGTCAGAGACCACGAGCTTCTTGAAATCCAGCGTGCCTGCGCATCCCTTGAGGCCGGCTACAAGCCAGAAATCACTTTTGTAGCTGTGCTGAAGCGGCACAATACGCGTTTCTTTCCACTGGGCCACGATGGTGACCGCACTGGCAACTGTGTTCCTGGCACTGTTGTCGACCGCTCGATCACTATCCCGACTATGTTTGACTTCTACTTGTTTGCGCATGGAGCCATCCAGGGCACCTCGCGTCCGACTCACTATTATGTGCTGCACAATGATGCCAATTTTACGGCCGATCAGATCCAGCAGCTCACGTACCACCTGTGCTACACTTACTCCATCTGCACGCGCTCAGTATCCATTGTGCCTCCTGTCTACTATGCTCACCGTGTCGCTGACCGCGCGCGCTGCCACTTGGTTGACTTTGGCATTGGTTTTGAGGAAGCAGCGTCCAGTGGCTACTACAGCGCGGCAACCACTCGCGCGGCGGCTCCCGCCGATTCAAATATGGTTACCCGTATCATCGCAATTCATGAAAGGCTTGCGAATTCGGCGTACTTTATGTGAGTTCGAGTTCAGAGCAACAGCTTTTCTGTGTCTGCATCATCGCAAAGCTGGCATTTGAGCATCAGTTTCCCGTTCTTATTTGATCAGATCATGATTATTTTCTGGAAATTGAACAGAAAATAACGAATATAACTTCTAGCAAATGTTATATTATTTCCTGATTGTGTTTTATTTTCATAAATAAATCAATTTGTAACCAATCGCTCACCAATAATTATCATCGGAAAGAGAAACATTTACTTGTAACCATTTTATATAAATATTATGTTGTTTGTGGAGGGATAATAAAATTTTGAAGTGGCAATTTATTAGAAATTATTTATTTATAAAATCACTAAAACTATAATAAATGGTTTGTATCTAATAGAGCTTTTTGTATGTTTTAAGCCAAAAGCTCTCGTGAGCGTATGTGTAATGAGATTCGGACTAGCTATAATATATATTAATGAAAATGAGACTACGGAAAGAGCTCAAGAGCTCACTATTCAGAATTCGCCGTACGCGTAAAATATCAAACATATTTTACGCGTCTGCGCTGTCACGTGACTCGGCCCCCATTTCTGATGTCACAGTATGGCTGCTCTTATGCGCTTGGACATTGAATGTGCTAAATTTTTTATAGTAGTAGCTGGAATATTTGCCTAATAAGTCTGTGCTCGCCTGAATAGCTTAACAATGTTTTTCGGATGACTGTCATAGTTACAAAGATGGGTTTTCAGCAGGGCCCAAATGTTTTTGATAGGATTGAGATTGGAAGATTGTGATGTCCAGGGCAAGATGTTGGTATCGTAATTCTATAGCCAGCCTCGAGTTTCGCGGGCTGTGTGCTTAGGGCCATTGTCCTGCTAAAAGATAGCACTGACACCATTTGTAGGATTAATGCTCTTCAAAGCGGGCACCAAATTTATGTCCAGTATTTGAACGTACATGGCACTGTTCATATTTCCCTCAATACGAGCCAAGGGAACTGGGCAATTAGCGTGGAAAGCACCCCACACCATCGAATATCCACCACCATATTTCATAGTGGGCTGAATATATTTGGCCTTTATCTCGTCGTTGTCTCCCTTAATCGCAAACCTCCTGTGGCTAGTATCAAAGCACATAAGCTTAAACTTGTCTGTCCAAAAAACCTGCTCCCAACTGGATTCGGTTCACTCCTCGTGTTTGTGGTGCCCAACACACATTTCAAGCCACTATCTTCCCTTTTCAAGAATCAAGATCGCCCTCATGACCACTATACATATTTCTGTTATTGCTGGCTGACATCAAGGAACACCATGATGTTTACAGCGCTGCCCACACAGCGCTGCTCCCTTTTTCAGTTAAGTAATTTTTAAGACTTGAATATATCGATTTAGACCCATATTTTTATAGAGCACGAGTGTTCTTTTGCCCATCTGTACTGCAACTTTTGGTTGTTTTTGGTGACAAATGGGGTTTGCTTCACAAAACAAGAGTGATTCTGAATGTGAATAAGATATCTCTGAATAGTCTGCCTATTTAGTTGAAGCATTCTCTCCTCTGACAGCTTTTCGGTAAGTTTAGCAATGTCGATCCCTTCCCTATGATGGATAAATCTTTGAATAAAGATATCATCACCCTTGGTCAAAACCATAGAACAACCTCCTTTGGGCCTTTCGCTGTAGATGCAGTTCCGATTAAAATACGTTTTAATTGTGCTTGGCTTGATGCGTATTCTGTTGCTAATTTCTGTAGAAGTGAAGCCGTTGTGATTCATTGACTTCATGATGCTGGCCTTGTCGCAAGTGATGACTATGACTTCAAAATTGTAATTTTATGAAGAATTGTTGTAATTGCTACAATAGTTTAACTATACTCTTGGTAATACATAATAAAACAAAAAGACAGCTATAATTAAACATTGGTTTGTTGTCAGTAGGCCGCCTCTAAGCCAAATCTTCAATTTCTAAAGTTTAGGCTTCAAATATTATTTACAATTTTTCAATTTTTTATACAAGAATCCATGCATAAGTTCTAAAATGTTCATATTTAATATTAATTTGTACAACAAAAAACTAGCAAGCAATCACGCAAATCACACTGGTATATGCTATGAGACTAGGTTATATCGATAATACAACTGAGATAACATTTGTGCCATCGGGGTAGAAGATAGAGCAAATACAAAAGGTAATCTTTCAAATGATGAGACAATTTTTAAAATAGGTTGTAGATATGAGTCAGGAGGTGTTCAACTAGTAAACATGGATGTAAATGGTATTACAAAAATAATAATTTTAAATTAAACAATGAAAAATGAAATCTGCGATAAAATTACATAGGGATAGACGCAGTTAGCCAAGCAACTGACTTATTTGACACGCCAAACTGTGCGCATATATTAAAGTTAATACATGGCAAAGCGCACACTTTTGCTGTTGGATTTGTGGTTCGAGCGGCTGGCGCTGACGTTGGAGCTCCCATCAGTAGGATAATCCTCAGCACGCGCGCGAGGGGCGGTGTGGCCACAGCTGGGCTTATTGCGCACCAGCGAGTCGGCCATAGCCACATATCGCAAGTGCTACTTTAATTCAGAGGCACGCACAGGGTTGTCAGCTGGCGACTCCATGGATGTGTCCGGCGTATCGATGGGGAATTCCAAATATGTTCCTTTCACAGACTGCTTTGGACCAAGACACCCGCCCATTGGTCCACTTCCAAATGGTTGGTCGGCCAACTTTCCAATCAGTGTCATAATCTCCCGCTCCTTAACCTCAAGACATTCTTTCATTTTCTCCAACTGGCGAGTGCTGTGCACCTGCGCGCGGTCCGCCTTGGTCAGTTTGCTGTTCAAACAAGCGATCTCGTTCTGGTGGTTGTAGTTGCCTTTGACGTCTGGCGCTACCGAATATCTGTTGGCCTGGGTGCCAGAAGTAGCATGTCGAGTGCGCGTGCCGCCATTAGACCCAGTCTCAGTGCAAGCCTGAGCCTTGAGGCTAGCAATGTGGGCATCTTTGCATGCAAGCAAGTTGTTGGCTTGGGTCAGCTGCTTGGTTAAACTGAAGGTTTCCTCTTTAAGGCGCTGTTTGTCATCTGCCAGCGCTGCCATATCTTCCTGAGCATCCGCAAGTTAGGCTGTAATTTAAGCTTTTTTGTCGGATGTTCTCTTCTTGAATGACTGTATGTACTCAGTCGCGTCGTGTGGAGCATCGGTGTAAGTGCGCCTCCTCTTGGCATCGGCGTGCAACTGCTAGATCTCCACATACTTGGACAGAAACAAACTGTAGAGAGCCCTGTGTGTCTTCTGGGTGGTCGTGTCGTTTCTCTGAAGCTCTTTGTTCTCGCTCCACATCCTGTTCCTCTCGCTCCGCAACCTCTCATTTTCGCTCTGCAGCCACTCGTTCTCTCTGCACATAGCCTCTGCGTATTTGGTCATCTTGTCAAATGCCAAAAAGTTGTAGTTGTTGTGATAAAAAGCTCTGCCTTCTTCTAGTTTGCTGTGGAAGGGCCTGTTCTCATTTTCAAGAGCACTGATCTCAGCATCTTTTCCGTTGTCCTCGGCAAGCATATTCTCAATGTGGGATTTGGCTTTGTCAATCCTGGCGCGCATTTCCTTGTTTCCGGCATCCACCTACGCCAGCATACTCTTCAGCGACTGGATCTGGGACTCTGTGGTCAAGGAGAGTAAGTAGGATAAACGGGGTTATAGAAGTTCATTTTGTAATAAAAAGAAAACTAGAGATGAAAATATAGAAAAAAAGTATAGGTGGCCGAGTGAAAAAAATGAATGGTTGTAAATTGGTCGTTGGAAGTGAATTTGTGGCTTTGTTGTGGTAGCTAATGAATTGTGAGATGATTATAACCACTTGAAAAGCTTTGAAAGCTCGGTGGATGGATAAGTGTGCAAAAAAGTCGAATGAAAAAGTACTTGAGAGAATAAGAAGAAAAGCAAAACAAAATATGAGCTGTGGATGCCTTTTTGTTTTATTCATAATATTTGAGGGTCAGAAAATAAATTATTTAATTGGCTGGATTTGTGGATCTGCGAATATCAGCTTGTCAACCAGTCATTTATTGTCGCCTTATTGGTGGGTTGGCGCTTTTGTAAACACAGATTGCCTCGATAGATCGGCCGTCACTAAAGTTATAAAAGCGGCGAGTGAATCCAGAACCTGGGCTGGTGTCAGAACCAAACATAAATATTAAACAGTAGCGTGAATACGGTTATATTGTATTTGGAGCATAGTAACCACCCAGTCATCAACATACAGCGTTGGAATAAACGAGATACCCTCATATCTTAATGTGACTTGCTTATAGCTTAGTACCCGTCTACCATTCATCAATTACCACCTTCTAGTTACTACCGGTGCTCTCCCATACCAATTGGACAGTAAAATAGCCTTTTGGGGATTGTATGAGTCTCTATCGTTAGCAAAAACTACTTACTGTACACTAACAACACTATTTTAATATCTATAGACCAAACTGCCGCATGTTCAACACCGGCGAGAATCAGTAAACATTAAAAATTATATTGATATCGAAAACATGAAATTAGCGGATCTTTGTCTTTTGCGCAACCAGCGCCTGGACATTACCGACAGTAAGACCAATTCTGAGAATGCGCACGACGGCAAACCCAACCGCGATTACAAGCACAATTACTGTCGATACGAGAACCACGGGTGCTGCAAACATAAACCGAGGGGCAAATATCTTCCAGACCATCAGATGCCGGCGGAACCACGCGGCAAATATAGCCGAGCTGGTGGCAATCAAAAGGTGGTAGGCAGTGAATGCAGCGGCAGCACCTGTGATCCTAGCGACATAGCTGTCCGGGGCTAGGCGGAGAATCTGAGATCCAAGCGACTCGTTCCACAGAACAACCATCGGAACACAAGCGGCGGTCAACACAAAGGAACCCAGAGTGTTGATCGCGACGATAACTCCGCATACAACAAGCTGCATCTCTCTGATGCCAATAAATGCGGTACTCCACTGAATCGAAACTAGAGTAAACTGGTGCCCGGTGGAGAAGTAGTCCAGGTACGCCAGCATGGCCATCATGGTCATTTGCACAGGAACAAGCGAATTCGTAGTATCTAGAGCCAGTGCGTCGCGCATAGAGTCAAAGAGCTCGGCGCAAAGAATAATTTTGATAAACAGCAGCGACAGCATGATTCCGCCCATCGGCTGCTGAACCAGGTAGAGAGTGCTGAACACAACTGTCGCAAATATCAAATATGCAGCGCCGTAAGCGTTTCCATAGCCAAGGATAACTGCGGTTTGCTGCGGAGGCTGAGCACCAGGGGTGGATTTTGCCTTTTTGGCGGCAGGCGCGTCGGTTATTGCCACATCGAGGCAGAACGGGCTGGAATACCATGCGGCAAATCCTCCGCCAAGTGCAATACCAATGGCCATACGCGCCAGGACAATGCGCAACTCGCCCCAATCTGAGCTCGCAGAACCCGTAGAAGAGGTGGCCATAGGTTGAGCAGCAGCAGTGGTCGTAGCCAAAGTGCCGTCGATCGAATCCAAGACCCAGTACGCAGCTGACATGCCCATGCTTACACGCATGCCAATGCTGACCCACAGTTTTGCGACCATGGCCCGGTCACTGCGCGAGCGCCGCAGAACCCACTGTACGACAAAGGGGACCAACCACACCATAATCCCGTTAACCGCAGCAAGGTAGATGTTGCTAATAGACGCTGATGGCAGACCATAGAACGTCGGCGTGCAGCCCGGCAGTTGCTCCTCGCGGCACACAGTTGAGTACGACGAAATGCGATTGAGACCAAGAATAATCAGTGCGCATACGAGGGCACGCTGTCCGGCAGCCTTCTGTGTATCTGTCGCCGAGGACCTCAGTGACTTGGCCGCGCTCAGCAAGTTAATCACTGTCAGTGTTTGCAGCAAGTAAAGCACAATGCTATCCTCGTTAAATGTAAAGCTATTTGACGTGAATGCCAGGCAATGCATGAGCGCCAATATGCAGGCGGCTCCGTTGAGGACACTGTCTGTTCGCAACAGGGTGTGCATCCTGGCCCCAATACTGCTCTCAACAGATGATGTTGCTGATTTCGCCAGTGCCTGAAGCGCGCTGACGCTGAAAGTGCAGACTGATCCAATCGCGAATCCGGCAATTGTCGATTCCAATTGCGATATGTGGGTTACCGATCCGGCATTGAGCGCGGTGCCCAGTGCCCGAGCCGCAACGGCACCAGCAACACCACCACCAATGCTAGACATCAACGCGCTGTCGATAATACGTTCCAGAGTTATCTTTCTCGAGCAAATGTAAAGCACCACCAGGGCTGCAAGTACCGAAAGCAATGTGACAAGTCCGGTAATAATAAGCACGGGGTCGAACTGCGCCCACATCTGGCGCAGAGTGCCCAAGACAACACGGAGAAAGGCAAAATACTGGGCGGCAACGGCCTCCTCCAGCATCATAATGTCTGACTGCCGGTGCGCATTGGGATTGTGGGCAACGAGGTCAGATAGCTCTCGGTAGCTGGTCTCAGCGCGCTCGTACATGTCTCTCCACGCGAGCACAGCTTCTTCAGAAAAGCCGTGCGACTTGGAGCTACGTATGTATGTCTCCAAGTACTTCATAACCTGGGCGGTGTTCAAGCGCAGAGCACGCAGCAGGCCCCATTCGTTTCTAGGGCCACTATAGTCGGAAGCAAAAAACTCGGGAATGACAGCACCGAGGTTGTTGAAGGGGATATGAAGACCCAAAGACAGCGACAGTGTGGAGACCAGGTCAATTTGGGGCACGCTGCGCAGCTTCACAGGGTCTACAATGCGTGCACCGTCCTTCTTTCCGTAGTCGTCACTGAGATGTGTATTGAGCCACCAGCTGCTGCGCAGGTCTTCGTCGAAAGCCGCGCCCATTGTAATGTTGTCCAGAATCGACGATGTGGCCTCCAGCACCCGGTTAATGCGCTCGCCGGCATCCTTGGTGTTCCACTTTTTGTTCGAGTACACCCACAGCGCGGCATCCACCTCGCGAGGGCTGTCGCCGCCGTGGTCGCCCTTAGGGTCCATCCCGTGGTCGCCAAAAACATAGAGTGAAGTAGGCTTGTCTGAGCGGTTGATTGCCCGCACGATCAACTCTATGGCCTGGTTCATCTGTGCCAGCTTATGGCTGATCGCGTGGTGATCAGGGCCAAAGCGGTGTCCACAGTGGTCTACTCCCAGAGTATGCGCAACAATGACGTCCCAGTTGCGGTGAAGCTGCTCGGCGCCAACCTTGTCACTGATCATCTTGTTTTCCGGGGCCCCCATCGGGCCAAAGTCAGAGTGCGCAAGCATGTTGGTCTGCTTGACCAGCTGCCTCCACTGCTCGCGCTCGGTGCGAATCTCCTCAGAGTCTGCGGCACCACTGGAATGCTCTGGGGGAAGCAAGAAGAAAGGTAGGCGGCTGAGGACGCCATCATCAACAGTGTCCAGGTCCCAAACATTAAGGCTGGGAAACGGCCGCACACGCGCCCACCCACGGCGGCCCTCGACACCAGCCTCCGATGCCTCGTTCCACAGAGTATCGTTTTGCTCCAGCAACTGAGTGTCGCTGAGCTCTTCAGGGAACAGGCTGATCCACGTGTCGTCTCCCAGGAACACCAAGTTGCGCTTGAACCCATTGCCCTGTGTCTCGCCGGGGATCCCTGTACCAGTGCACGCGTAAAGGGACTTCCAGCGCATGGCTTGTAGCCAGTTGTCCTCGCTGATTGCACTGCCGGCAAAGTTGCTCCCGGCGTCAATAAATGTCGGCAGCTGGCCAGTCGTCAGGCCCTTCAGCCGCTGCAGTGTGGTCGTCGGTGGATCAGCGCGGAATCGGTAAAGCATCGTCTGCTCGGGATACTCCTTGTTGAGGGAGTTGATCACCGGCATCTTATTGTGGTAGGGTCTCCGGCGCCTCTGGTGCTGTGTCGTGGCAGTAGCCTCGCCCTCTCCGAATTCTGTCGAGTTGAGCTGATCGCTCCAGGTGGCAAAGTCCGCCCGCATGGCGTCAACAACCAAAACTATTGTTCGCTCAAACTTTGCCGGGTACCACTCACACGCAGGCCCCGACCTCCCTGACTGCGCGTCAGTAAATGGAAGGGCTGCTGCCTGTGAGTGGTCGGGAAGAACCATTCGCGAAAGCAGGAATCCGTTGGAAAACAGCCAAAAGCCAGCCGTGCTCGCCGCAATCAGCATGAATGATAGAAGCCAGTGGCCTCGCATAGAGATGGTTGGTTTGGAGGGCGCTGTGCCCTGGCCACCGCTAGCCGCAGCCCCGGGGCCTCGCTTGACGTTGTGCCGGAAATTGGGCTCGTCCATTACAATCCAAAAAGTTCGAATTCGAGCGAGGGAAATGGAAAAATATGTGAATTTTTAATGTGCGGAGATAAAAAAAGAGGCAAGACCAAGGGGCGGTCTTTTTATCAAAGCATTTCGAGAATGTATCTTTTGGTCTGCAAACAACTGAAGTAAACCGGTCCAACTCCATGCAGCAATTCGTCAAGTGATTTTCACAGCGGGATTAAATTATAATAACTATTCTTTGCACGGGCGCCGAGCGTCTGTGTGTGTAAAAAGGATATAAAAAGCAGGCGAGCTGCAGGAGCCTAGTAAGAACTAATTCAAGTTGTTCGCGTACGACTTTATCTGCTGCATAGTGAGGTTGTAATCCTCGTTCGACATCAGCGAAAACACAATGGGGCAGTCGCCAGGTGGCGGCCTGTACAGTATTTCGGGCGTCCTTGACTTCATCGCATCGACCCGCGCATACTCGCGGAAATGAGGCAGGTCGTTTTTAAACTTCATGTACGCACCGATATTATGGCAGTCCTGCGGCTGCAGTTGCTTCAGGACGCGGTTCTTGAATGAGTTTTTGAGATAGTGCAGCGCGTGGAATATGTAATCACTGTACGGTGTCCACTGAGGGAACTGCTGCTCCAGGGCAAATTTCCCGTCGTCCTGGCGCACAAGTGGGTGCACGACGGATGTGGCCAATGTGATTATTGGGTGTGTCCGTGGGTACTCGCGGGGAATATCTATGCGGAACCGCACGACGGCGTCCCGCCAGTACCCACGCTTGATAAACATGACGCCGTACCAGACGTTAATCGACTTTAGCGATGGCATCACGTATACACCCCTAGGCATGTGTCCCAGGGTGCTCAGTCCCATCAGCTCAATCCGCAGCTCGCAGCGCCGCATGTGCTCCGAGTAGAACCGCCCCGTGGTGTTGATTGCCAGCGGGACTGCAGGCCCCTTCAAATCGTCCTCAGTCATTGGAGCGTCTGCCAGAATGTCCTTTGCAGCCGACTGTGTGTTGTTTGCGGCCGGCACATCAACGTCCATAGAGTCGTCTGCTTCTCCCATGCGGTCGTCCTGATCTGCCAGCTTTGCTGATGACGACGGCTTCTTTGTCGGTGTCTGCAAGACAGAGCTTGTGAGGAAGCTGCTGCTCCGCTGTGACGTCTGCGGGTCGATGCCGCTGGTATAGGTGGCAAAAAACAGGTCCTTTAGGCGCTGCGACGGCGACATTGTATTTGAAATGGGCGAGGCCCTCACCCCTCCGTCTGCGCCTTCTCTGCTATTGAACCGCGACGTGGCGTTGCGTGTCGGCGTTTCAAACATTGAATTGTGCCCGCTCATAAGTGCGAATGCTTCAGAGGTTATGTCGAATTGGAGGAGGAAATAAGTTTAAATTGGCCGTCAAGAAATAGGAAAATTTAAAAGTCGTGGTAAAGAAGCGAAATTCGATTCGTGCAAAGTTCAAGAACAAGGACAAATACAAATACAAATACAAACACAAAGAAACAATCAAAGAGCTGAGACAAAAAATCGTAAACAAACCTCCAACAATAATCACGTATTTCGTGATATTATCTTCTCGATTAGGAAGTTTTGGACAAAGGCTCTAACATCGAAGAAAAGAATCAGACTATAGATATCTGAAAAAGTCAAGTATTCTGCAAATCGACATCTTTCGCATCCAGATCACATAGTAACCCGGCATGTGCTTAGAAACCAGAGGCAATGGCCCACTATGGTTGAAAACATTAATCATTGTGCCGCTTCTTGCAAAGAGAAGCTTGGGCCTGGACTTTGGCTTGGACAAAATCTCGGATAAAGTCCCGGGTGTCACTGTAGACTCGGGTTCAGCCGACTGGAACAGTGCCTTTTTGCGAAAAAAAATGAGAAGACCACTTGCTTGTAATTAGGGCATTAATGATGCAAAAGTTAAGCACCGCAGCCATGTCACAATTCCACCTCCGTCTGTCTGATGGTACTACTTTTTCGCCATCCTTGATCTGCTGCTAAATGCTTATGAATGGTTCACATGTGTGTACTGCCTTTGTCCTACCTTTGGCAAAAGATATTAACGTACTTACCTTTAACGAAATGTAAAGTGCGTAAACACTTTCAAAGTTTTCTCAATGGTCGGGGATTTGTTACAGTGTATTTTTCTCATGTTTTTTGTTTGAGCCATTTACAAATCACACGATAGTCCCACAAAGCCCAATCTGCAATGTATCAAAAATCCAGAGTCTAAATATTTTTTTGTTATTTTTTTCAATAAAATTTTGCCCTAATCTTTCACTATTTTTTATTGATTTGCGAATTTTTCAGTCCTTTCCACAAGCGAAAAAGGAAAAAAAAGAATGGCACACACACCCTCAGAAAATATAGACAACTCTCGTCAGAACTTTATGCTCAATGCCTCGCGTGCAGCGTTCAACATATGTCCACAGCTAGCAGCATACTTTGGCAACGAGTTTCAGACATCGTCCAAGGACCAGCACATTGGCGTCAACATACTGCGGCACATGTGCCAGTACTGTGGAGTTCCCCTAATCGATGGCCGGAGTGTATCTCGGGTTTCCATAGTCAGAACAGCGACTCGTGCAGGAAAGAGTAGCACCACCAAAATGGCCAGCACAGCAAAAGTCAAGGCCAAAACTAGGTCAAATTCCAAACGCAAACGTGCACAACAGCCTATTCCCGCAACTCCTATCGGCCGTCGCGTAGTCAACGTTGGATTGAACGACACTTTGTTTGCCGGCAAGCCCAAGCCGACCGGCGAACAGCGGCTGGCTGCGTTGCGGGATCAGAAGAACTCGGTCGAGTATGTTTGTGGTCTCTGCGATTCGCGGGTTGTGTATCCTGGCGCGACAAAGTCCAACTTGCGCGCAGCCGGGCTGGATGACGAAGCCTGCCGTGCGACGGTGAAATTAGAAACGCTCAACCTGAACTCGCCAAAGGTTGCTCTGCCATCTGCCAAACCAGTCAAAGCTGCCGCTTCCCTGAAAGATACTGCTTCGAAGAAGCAGGAATATTTTACATCTACTTGTATTGTTTCCCCTGGCCCCCAAGGTGCCACTATCAACGCCCCAAAGCCCACTGCTTTGCCTGTCAAGTTACAAGGAACACCAGCAGCACCATCACCATCACCATCACCAGCAGCTGTAGTAGTGACAGCTGTCGCCCCAAAGGCAGTTGGAAAGGCTGATAAGCCAACGGCGGCGTCATTTGATCCACAGGCGATGAAGCGCAAGCGCCACAAAAGCAATTTAATGGCGGCTGTTGCTGCCAACAAGAAAAAGGTCGAGGCCAAAAAGGCGGCCGATAGCGGGGCATTTAGTCTGAACAACTTTTTGTCCAATCTTTGATGTTTAGCTATTAAAATAAAGGTGTTTATATATTTGTTTCTTATACCAAATTTTCGCATCTTGAATGTGGGGGACTTGAGGGTTGTGAGGGAGCGCGGGGAATGTGATATATCAACATTTGGTGGGCAATTTTTACTACTATTCAACAGTTGATTTGGCTTGGTCTGGCTTATCAAAAGCAGTGCAAACCGCCATCCCTCCCTCCCTCCCTCCCTCCACATTCTTCATACTCATCCACGCGACAGCCTGCTCAAGCAAACAAACAAACAAACATTTGAATGATGAAAATTGTTCTTGAGCCTCGAGCACAAAAGCGCGGCGCTTTTCCAAACTCTATTATATTCCATGTGTTTTTGTCTCCTCAAACATTTTTTAGTCTATTAATACATTTACAATGTCAACAGTTATACAGGATATCGACGGTGCCGACACCAATACCGGCAAACGAATGTCGAAGGAGTTGGATTCGCTGCCCATGCCTTCGACCACTCCGGCGTCTCGAAATGACAGATCAATGGCCAATAACAAGTTCGTTCTCTTTTTACAGTATCTGAACCCCCTCTTCTACGCTCGTCTCGCGCAGTCCTTCATATACTCGGTCCTCGAGTCGTACAGGGGAGACAGATCCAGCAACTTTAACTCGCGAATCACTGCCGGCGAAATGGTCCCTGCACAGGGACTGGTCCCGGCAGATGCCAGCGCCATTGATTGTGGTATGCCTACGATGACCGAGTTTGACATTAACGACCAGTTTACAACGATTTCTCCCGAGTTTGAGTTTTTGCCGCAGCTCAATATCGATTCGATGAGGCCCGGCTTTATAATGAAAGAGCAGCACGTGGAGATGGTTGGCGGCAATGCTGAGCTGGGCATTCATATAGCCGACGACGAGGAGCATGAAGAAGCTGTGAAAGCAAAGGTGCAGCCTTCGTTAATGGAACCTACTGTGGTGGAACAAGTCTCAAAGAGCATTGAGGCTCCTCACGTCAATAAGGTGGTTGAGCAAGAGCAGGAGCAAAGACTGGAACAGGAAGTGAATGCAGAAAATGTCGAAGTTTCTGTTGTGGACATCGTGATCGAACAAGAGAAATACCAGGAACATGATGTCGCTGGGCTCGCTTTGAACGCAAACCCTGAGTCAAAGATAAGCAAAAAGAGCAAGCGTGCCAAGAACAGGGCAAAGGGCAAAAACTAGGCAGACCAGAACTAACGTTGACAATTTATATTCATAATATTCATAAAATAATAATTTCAAGTCCAACATTTACATATCACCTTTTCTGATGCCAATATTTGTATAGGATACATACATGCCTGCGTTAATTTTTAATATCAAAACAGCTTCAATATCAAATTAATTAAAGCCGCCGATAATCTCTTCGAGGCCGGTGACGCCCTGCGGCGACTCCAGAGAGTCGAGGTTCAGCTGGCGGTTGACTAGATCGCGCGCATGGACAATGCACTGGGGCACAGCGGGCCCGCCATATGCAGCGCCAACAACACTCATGCGGCCGCCAAGCTGGCCCTGAACCCACTCATGCATGGCCTTCAGCTTGTCAACGTAACCAACAGTGTAGGACGGAATGCAGTTCTCGCCAACAGTCGCATCAATGTCCGCAGGGGTGGTTTTAATCCCCAGGTGTGCACGGATGGTATCGATAGCCACATCTTCGAGCGCGCTCTTGCTCGCGCTCCCAGGCGCCCCAAAGAGCTCGCGGAAGCGAGATCCGCCGAGCATCACGCTGAGACGTGAGATATCAGCGCCGCCGTCCTGCGCGGGCAACGTGCATGAGTCAAAAACCACGCCCAGGGCCTTTGAGCTGCCGGAGGATGCGCGAGGGACCAGGTATCCAAATCCATCGACCGGCGTGATGCCCTTCTTGGGGTAAGTAACGTTGACCACAGCCACGCTCGCATAAGGCGTATCGTCCAGCAGCGCGTTCGACGGTCCGCCGGCAAACAGTGACCGCACGTGATGTAGCGGCAAAGTATTGATGACGTGCTGAGCGCGAACAACTGTACTGTCGGCCAGCTGGATTTCGGCATTCCCATCCTCCCCCAAGCGGGCCTCCATTGCCGGCTGGCCCGTGATAATCTCAACGTTCGGGAAAGCGGAGAGACGGCTGGCCAGGCGGTCTGTCAGGGTCTGCATCCCGTCGCGGAACGAGTACATGCTCGCGTCGTTGATAGATTCCCAGAACTCGGGGTTCTGCATACGGCGCTTCGTTATCAAGTACCTCTCCTCCGCATCACGCACAGCAAATTGTGCGTTACGTGCCCGGGACAGCTTGGCCACCCGGCGCAAGCCGCGCAGCACGCCAGTCTTCCCCGTATGATCGGCAAGCCAGAACGGGTATAGCAGCGCGCGGGCGCTCAGCTCCTTGGTGTCAGTGGCATAGATGCCATGCATCACAGCCGACGACAGGTTGTCATCGACCTGCTGGCCAAAGCGCCTGCTGACAAAATCGTGGATCGACTCGTCAGACGAATCTGCCGGCGCATTCTTCTTCGTCGTCAGGTCGTGCCAAATGCCCTTTGGAAGACACCGCACTGCCGGTGGAAGTCCAGTTATCAGCGACCCCAAGCCGGTTGGCATGCAGTTGAGCTCGCCGCCGTAGTATATGTAGCGGTTGCGCGCGGCAGCTGAAAGCTTTGGTGCCATTACGACGTCGGATCTCAGTCCTAGGTCATCGACCAGCTCCAGCACAGCCAGCGCCTCGCGCGAGTGGCCTGTGCGCAGCGTGCGCGGGCCCTTTTCTGCTATAAAAGAAGTGCCGCCGGACTGCCGCTTGTCTGTCCGCACCCAGCCGCCAAGGCGCGATGAGCCCTCGATAAGCCTTATCGCTACCGTCGACGGAAGGCGCTGCGCTAAGTACCACGCTGTGCTGAGGCCGGTGACTCCGCCTCCGAGTACAGTAATTGCCATTGACATTTGTGCTGTGTTGCGCGCTATCAGTAATACTGTGAGCTGGGCAAAATTGCACTGGCAAATTGCGGAATTAAAAATCGAACAAAATGAGTACGAGAAGCAAAAATGAAAACCGATCATCTGCGATTATCTCGCTATTTAAGCACCAGCCCGTCAAATCAGATTTATTTTGCTTGGTTTGGTTTGGTTTGGTTTGATCTAGGCAGCTTGGTAAAAAAATGATTTAGAGCGAGTTGCGCCTCAAATTTACACAGTTGTGATGGGAGTCGGGGGTTTTTTTCGTACGATGCCACGCGTTGGTCCCGAGACCTTTTCGCCATCACCTTACAACAAGCTACATTGCTTCAGGAAAGACCCCCCACAAAGTCTTGTGAAAAGAAACCCCTTTTAATCGGCCACCTGGATCACGGAGAGCTGTCATCAAAGTTATCGCTCCCGTTTACAGACAGGGTTTCCGAAATGTTTCCATCATATTCATTCAGTTCACTTGAAAATTATTATTTTGCGTGCGCAGCATTAAGGTTTTTCGAAAATTAGACAAACTCACTGAAAAAAATTTGTTTGTGCCCTACTGCTTTTCTTTTCATATTTTCTATTGTACTGTATATTTGTCCCTTACATATTTATAACTGCTAGCAACCGGACTGACATTTGCTGCAGTCCATTCCTAATTGCGTGTTTGCAATTCGCGTAGAAATGAAATAACCCGTCGGAAAAAAATATTTTGCGGCCAATAAATAGTGCCCTCCATGAAGGGAAGGGCTGCTATTCTTGCGAAATATCTCTTGGAAAAAATCCCGCACTTAATTCTTTGTGTGCTTCAACATCGCTTCAATTTTTTTCTTCTTTCTCAACTCTATTTTTCTTTGAAACCTTTTGAATTCCCCAATTTACTCCAACTTTTATTCTGCAAAAAGTCAACACTTTTATTTCAACACACCATTTACAAACAACTAGTGTCACCACTGCTATTGATCTCTGGTCTCCCATTTATACATGAGGCCTGGCAAGCAGGCTCAACCATCATCGATAACCTCTCCGCAGGCAATGAGGGACGTCAAACAGGACGCACCGCATCCTACGGAGGAGCCAAAAAACGCACATGTACCAGTACAGCGAGCAGCGAACGGCTCCGCTGGGGATGAAGAGGACGAAATCTCGAGAATGATTGAGGCGTGGTGGGATCAGATCCTTGCATTTTTTGTGCGACACCGGGCGACATCAGCGGTTGCGGTTTGGCTCGGTGTTTACATTTTCGACACAATGGATCTGCACATGCCAGCAGAATGGCTGGTGTTTACGTTTTTCTCATTCTCAGTGTTTGTGCAGGCATTCGGCATGTCCGTTCTCCTGTTTACAGCGCTGACGGCAGCCATGACAGCGCTGAACGTGGTAATTTACTACTTTGTGCCATTCGCCACAACGTCGCTGCTCTCAACCATTGTCGTATGCATGTTGTTGGTGCGCGGGGTCCACGGGCTGGATGCCAAGGGCTGGGCGGTGACCATTCTGATGAGCATGAGTCGCATGCACACGCCGTGGTGCGAGATTTTGCCGGATTACTTGCAAGCGCCAATTGCTGCGTACTGCACGTCGTTTGGCATTATATGGCTGGCCTATCACCATGCCTGTGGGCTCGAGCGCCTGTTGGACCCGCTTTGCATGGCGCTGGGAATCATCCCACCGCTGCCGCCGCGTGTGAGTGTGGTTGAAATCCACAGCGATAGTGTGCTAATCAGCTGGTTCGCACCCTTCAGCGGCGGCGCTCCTGAAATTGCAAGGCCGGATACGGCGGTCGCAGCACAAGATGCTCCGACACTCACAACTCAGCTGTCCACTAATGGCATATCCCCGACCACTTCTACGTTCGACACGTCTCCGGCATGCCGAGGCACGCTGTCTGCCAGCGGCTTCAGCAATCCGGGGCCCTCTCCAATGCTGAGCATTGGTCGCCTAATTACAATCGATCGGCGGTTGCTCCCAGAGGCCCGTGTATCAAAGTTTGACGTGGAGGTCAACGGGAACATTGTCGGAAGCTGCAAATCATCCGAAAGCTACACCAAGATCGATGGTTTGAAGCCGGCAGCCATGTACCAGCTGCGAGTGTGGGCCGTTTCTGAGAGCAGGGGCCGCGCGCCATCCTTGCCTGTTTTTGTGACCACCCTGGCAGCCAGCGAGCCGCAGTCTCGTGAGAAAGACGCATCAGCAAAGAACAAGGCCATGGACAGCGCGCCCGTTGACATTGAGCAAATGCAAAGAGAGATTCGCGAGAAGCAGCAAGAGCTGCTGAGCAAGGAGCAGACCATAGCCGAGCTCAAAGCCAAGGCAGACAGCGAGCGCAACCAGCACCAACAGGCGATCGCCGAGCTGCGGGCCCAGCGCAAGGCTGAAGAGAAGGCCAGCACCGAGCAGCGCGAGGTAATCCGCGAAATGGAGATCCAGAAACGCCGGCTCGACAAGGAAAAATCCAAGCTGGCCAAAGCCATTTTGGACACACAGGCGCAAAAGAAGCAGGCACTCGATAAGCTCCGCGATAGAGAGAGGCAGGCTGAAGAACATGCGCGCAATGCAAAGTCGCTGGCGGACACCGTGGAGCGGGAGCGCAAAGACCACAACCAACAGCAGGCCGAGCTCAACACGACGATTTCCACGCTAAAGTCTGAGGTCCAGAAGGCCACGCAAAAGCTGGATAGCTTGAATTGCGAGCAGTCCGAGCTTGCAGAGAAACTCAAGCAGAAGCGCAGGGAGCTGGCATCCCAGGAGAAGCGCAACGGCGAGATGGGTTCGCAGCTCAACGACACGCTGCAGAAGCAGCGTCAGATAGAGGAGAGCCAGGTAGAGAACTCCAGAGTGTCTGCGAAGCTCCGCGCCGAGATCGACTGTCTGACTGCCCAGCACAACTCGGTTAGTACGCAGCGCCAGAAACTTGAGAAGATGGCCGCGGGTCGTAGACTCTCGCCGGCAGCGAGTGCAGTGAGTGCAGCGTTGACTCCGACACTCAACTTCCCGACTAACGCGCTTTCGTCGCGGCATATTGATGCGTTTAGCAGTGCTGACTCTTTGAGGCACGGACGGTCGTCTTCGTTTGCTGATATTGTCTTTCCGAACCACAAATCAGCAGATAACTTTGCTGGATACGGCGTGCACGAGTCCCAACGCTCTCAGATGCGTGCCAATAATACCCAAATGTCGATGTTTTCAACACCAGCAGAGGCAAACAATGATGCGATTGGTCCCAGATACACAGGCCCGACTTCAAGGCGCAGCGCTGATCTTGGCGACTTGTTTGGGTTCTGGGACCGCGGTAGCTCGTTTATGTCGACCTCTTCGGCAGCAACAGCGACATCGGCGGCCATCGATTCGATCAGCCTGCGGAACGCAAGCAGTGTGACTAACCCCAGCTCTGCAGGCTTTGGATTATCGGCTGCTGCCGTGGGCGCACTTGGCGGTGCTGATTTTGGGTTTTCGCGCTGCCTGAGCCCGATCTCTGGGGGTCTTGACCAGGGTGAGCATTTGAGCCATATGCCGTTTTGGGGTGCTACGGGCTCGCTGCCGTCACCGCAGTCAACCACAACAGCCGAGGCCAGCGCGCTGAGCATACTGAAGGACACGGATCTCGCCTATCCAACGCCTGTGCAGTCCGACCACAGGGCAATTGGACATTATGGAAGCATGCTGCCCCAGCTCCATGAATACAAGCCACCCCAGGCGCCGCCGCCGATATACTCTGTGTTTGGGGCCAATACGCCGGGGCTTCACCAGCAGGCACTGGCCAGAGTGCTGAATGGCTCACTCGAGAGTCTCGATCAGCCACAGCAGCAGCAACAAAGAGGCGGGTTTGGCGGAGCTGGCGACAGCTCGCACTTTAGGTTCAACTCGCTTGACCTGCGCGCAAACGGCAACTGGACTGATCGCGAATTTAGGGAGTCCGGACGCAGTAGCATAGTCAGCGACAGCCGCGCATCGCCGTGCACTGATGGTATTTCGGTTGAAAGCAGAAATTCGTTTTCACTTTGCAGTGTCACCCCCGTGGAGCAGCCGGCGCTGGTGCTTTCGAGTGACCTGGTGGGTGCGCACAGGCCGTTGGGCGGTACAGCAACAGCGATCGGCGAGCAGCGGCCGCACGTGGAGCCGATCGGTGCGCCTATTAGACGGCGCGTTGGTGGGCTGCTGTCACCAAATGTGCCGACATACAGTGTTCAGGCACCCTCGCTGACATTGCCGTCGCCGTCGCCGTCGATGGACCATTATCCGGTCAAGTACCCGATTGGACGCGAGATCTCTCACCCGTCGTCCTTTGGCGAATCTCTTTATCACGAGCGCTCTCTCTGGGATCTCGAACTGCAGTAGCGCCTGCTGGCAACGAGAAAGCACCTGACAATGGCTCATCGAGGTAATGCGGACACTGCATAACCGATTTTAACAACCAGCAACATATAACAAAGAAATAAAGTGAGATATCTGTATTCTATTGTCAAAATTCCGTAACAGTGTTGAAAAAGGGGGAGCAAATTATATATTAGAATGCGGCGGCGGCAGCGACCACGACGATCAGGGCCAGTCCGGTGGTTTTGAAGGTGGACGTGGCATCGGAGCTCGAGCTGTCCGAGTTCTTACCGCTGGAGGACTTTCGCTGGAGCTATTCTTGTTATCGCCATCACTCTGGCTCTTGGAGCTGCTGGAATCATCCAGATTGCTACGGTCGTTGCCGTCGTTCAGGTCATCAAGCTTCTCACCCTTGTAGGAGACAGAGGGACCAACGTAGTCGGGCACAATGGCAATGTCAGCAGTATCAGTGTATGAAACCGGCGCAAATTCGGTGTTGCACTTATGAGTGTCCTGGCACTTGATAAAGCATCCGGAGCGGTCGCCCTCACCAGTATTGCAGTTAGCAACGCAGGCATCGTTGGAGCCCTTGCAATCAGCAGTGGGGACGGGCCAGTCCACGTTTTAAAGTCAGAGGACTTCAGCAGGCAGCCGCAGCCCCAGGCGATGGTGGTCTCATTGCAGAAAGCCATGGGAGCCTTGGAGGGTCCGCCGCAGTTGTTCTGGCAGGTTTGAATCTGCAGGGCGCAGAGGTTCGCGCGTACACCTTCGTCCAGATCTTTGGCAATGTTCCAGCTCTTGGCGCTGACGGTGGCCACGGCGGTGGCGAGGAAAATAGTGAAGGCGGTGAACTTCATTATCGAAGTTATATTGTTTTTAGCGGGTGTGGAATATGAGGAAGCGGCGGTAACAGCGGAGAAATGAAAGTATTCTGAGCGGACAGGCGGGAGAGAGAAGGTGGACAAAGGTTAAAATGGAAGGGGATAGGACAGGAAAAGGAAGGATAGGACCAGAAAGGGGGAATTATAATATTACCAGTGGAAAAAAAACATACAAAAAGAGAAGAGAAGAGAAGAGAAGAAAAAGAGAAGAGAGGAAGCCCGGACAACTAGCTGAGCAAAACCAAACAACCAAACAATGGATGTATGCGCGCATGCGAAAACAAAGGGTTTTTTATTTTAAGGCGAGATTGAAGGATCTTTTTGGGCGTTTAACTCGGCCCTTTTCTTGCTTTACTTTCAGGAATAGAGCCGGATTTTTCTCTTGCTATTCGAATTGTCTTTTTTTTAGCAGCGGTGGTTTGTCCAAAAGATCAACAATAGCTTTTTTCTCACCAACTCTGAGGTGTTTACAGGATGGCCCGCATTCTGCAAATACAGTTATTTCTTTTACTTTGCCACGATCGCTATCGCTGACGTGCTGATGCGTATGCGTATGTGAATGCGAATTTGAATGTAAAGGTGAATGCTCATATACACAATATAAACACAGGGCAGCATATTTGCTCAGTCAATGCCAAATGGTCTTAACAGACCGCCACTGATGCATTCACTGATGCCATTGATCTGAGTGCAAATTGATCAAGCACCAGAATTCTGGAAAAGTAAAAAAAGCCGTCAATTTAGTCACACAAAATAATAGTTTACGCGCCCATCTCCACGTCGTCGTCGTCCTCGTTTTCGCTGACAATGTCGTCCCACTCCTCCGCACCGTTGGCTCCAGCGACAGGATCCTGGTCATTGTCAATGTTCTCGTCGTCGGCCGATGATGGCACAACCAAGTCAATGGTAGCAACCAGCTCCCGCGCATGGTCGATCAGACCGTCATTCTCGAACTCAAAGATGGCAGCCAGCTTAATGGCCTGCTTGAAGCACTCGCGAGCCGAGCTAAGCAGTTCAACCTTCTCCTCGGCGCCGGCAGATGGCTCCTCGCTTTGGAGATAGTATGTCCATCCATAAAGATACCACATGTCGATGTTCTCATCGTCCTCCTTTTGCAGCCGCTCGAGAAGAGCCAGTGTGCGCTCCTTGTCGTCCAGCTCAAGAAGCAAGCGCACGAGAGCCAGGCGGTTCTCATAAGAGGGAATCTGCGTGGGGTCGTTGAGGTCCTTGTCGGCCCACAGCGACATGCTCTTGGTTACACACTCGCGGGCGTCTTCCTGGCGATCCTGGCTGAGACGCACTGACGCCATTGTCTGGTAAACCTCGGGACACTCGGGATCGATCGCAACACCCTGCTGCAAAAGCTGCTCGCACTTCTGTTCGGCGTCCTCCTCAAAGCAGCAGTCGGTCAGGTAGATCTCGGTCATGGCAACGTAGGCCTCGGCCATCTTTCGTCTCAAAATAATGGACTGTTCGGAATTTCCGGGCAACTCGTTCAAATCCCGTTGCATTGCGTCGACGCCGAGTTGGAAGTATTTAACGGCCTCGAGCTCGATGGCAAACTGACCCAGGTACATGTACTTTTCAAAGCCGCGGTCGGGGGAGATCTCCACACAGCGCATGAGGCAGTTGAGCGCCGGGTCCATTTCGCCGGATTCCAGTTGGATGATTGCTGCTAGGAGCAGGGCCTGTGTGTTGCACTCGTCGAGTTCGATTGCCTTGGCTACAGATTGGAGCGCTGCCTCGTAGTTGTTATCATCCATGAGCTCCTGTGTCTTTGTCAGTAGCTCGTCGAGGGTGTATTCAACGGGGGCCGCTGCCTTCTTTTTGTTCTTGTCCTTTTTAACCATGCTGATGTTCTTTCCGCGTCTGGGTTGGCCCATTGTCGACTGTGTTTTTTTGGTTCTGGCTCCTTGGTATAGACCTTGATGTGTATGTGCGTGTAAGAAGAAGAAAAATAGAGGTCCGGTGTAAATATCTACAAGGTACACGCGCGTCGCTGTTTTGTCTCTGGGTTGTACTTTGTCTTGGTTTATTAAAAGGCTGTGTTGTTGGAGTATGTGTAACCAAAATTTAATTAAAAAATATTTATAGTTGAAGCAATGCACAAGCAAACAGAGAATAAAAAGGACAAGTCACACTCACAGCTCATTTTGCATTTCGACAAACATAGTTTAGAAATTTTTGGCTTGACCCAACCAACCCTTTCTTCCAATTCGACACAATTCAATTTTTTCCTTGGACTATTTTTTTGGGTTGGGTAAAAAGATCGCTTGATTTGATCCATATGGTAGTTTCTCGATTTGAGATCGATCAAGGTAGCTGACGAGAGAGAGCGAAGCGCCAAGAAAAAAGCTTGGAACTCATGGGCTGACCGATGAACAGTATTTTTTTATCTTTTTTGTTGTTGGTTGCGCAATACAAAAAAATAAGTGTTAATTTGTTTTATCCACATTCAACAGCTTTTACTTGTAACACAATGTTGCGCCTTGGTCTTTGGAGCAGGCAATTCGCAGGTGTGGCAGCCTCTTCAAAAGCACTCACTACTAGTCCCTTGATGGCAGGCAGCAAGGCATGGACAGCACCCAAGGCGGCAGCAATATATCTATCGACGAATCGCGGCTACTCGCAGTATAACGGCCGCAGATACAACAATTACCAGCAGCACAATGATGACCCGCATCTCAGCAGCCAGCAGTTCAGCAACCAGCAACACTATGACCCGCAGCACAACAGCAACCAGCAGTACCATGGTGAGCAGCAATGGGAGTACCGACCGGACGGGCCCGAGGACAGCGGCGTGCGTCTGCTGAGGCCGACACTGTGGGCTCTGGGATTCACAGCAGGCACGTTCTACCTGTGCTCCAGCTCGTTTGCCGACCATCGGGAAAGACTGCGGGTGCAGTCTGGCGGCATCCTGGCGGCCATCGGACTGCGCACGCAGCAGTACGACGAGGAAGAGCGCGTATGGGCGCTGATGAGCGATGGCCACGTGCGGCAGCTCGTGGGCAGAGCACACACGGTGAGCGGAGAGAAGCACGCACGGGCGATCCGGCGGATAGCACACTTGCCGGCGTGGGTGCCGCTGGAGCTCAAGCGCACGGGCGTGATGCTGGCCGACAAATGGTACCGGCTGAGCGCCGGCGAGCGGTGCGTGTACACGATTGTGGGGCTGAACGCCGTGGTCTTTGGCATGTGGCAGATCCCGCGGCTGCTGCCATTCATGGCGCGCAATTTCCTGCATGATCCGCGGTCTGGGCGCTCGTTCACTTTGCTGACCAGTACGTTCAGCCACCGCGAGCTGTTCCACTTCGCCTTCAACACCATTGCCCTGGTGTCGTTTGGCACGTCGGTGGCCGACATCATGGGCGTCGAGCACTTCACAGCGTTTTATCTGTCGGCCGGCGTCGTGTCCAGCCTGGCCAGCCATCTGCTGATGCCCCTGCGCCCGGCGCTGATGCTGCCGTCGCTCGGCGCCAGCGGCGCAGTCTACAGCGTGGTGGGGGCCACGATGATGATGTTTCCGCATGCCAAGATTGCACTGATCTTCCTGCCATTCCTGCCCTTCACCATTTCGCAGGCGTTCCCAGCGTTGCTGGCGTACGATCTAGCGGGCGCCGTGCTCGGCTGGCGGTCGTTTAATCACGTGGCTCATTTGGCTGGCGGGCTGTATGGCATAGCGTACATGGAGTGGGGTGCCAAGCAGTGGGCGCGACTGACGCTATACATCGAGGAGCGCCGCGCACGCAAGGCACTTAAGGACAACTAGATGTTTTTGATTCGATATTTTTTTGCTTGTAAAGAGAACCACGTTATAATATAATGTTCGGCAAAGCCGCTCATGCGGACCCAGCTACAGCGGCCACCTCCTTCTGGCACCGCCCACAGTTGCAGTCAAACATGTACCACTCGCGCAAAGCCTGCTGGCGGGCGGCAAGGTTGTCGCGCGGATTCACGTAGCTGATCAGCATCTCCTCTCCGGCCTTGATCGGGCGCAGCGTCTTTATGATCGCCCTGTACATGCCATCATTAGGGTGCATGACAACGCAGTTGGGATCGCAGCTATGGTTGAAGCAGCTCTGGAGCAGGTAAAACCCGCCGTTCTGATCGTTCAAGCTATACTTTCCAATCAGCCCCAGCCACTCATTGTACGAGAACATCTCGTTGAAGATTTTCTTCGGGATGCGATCAAACTGGGTCAGTCCGCAGGCATCCGGCGGCGGGCACAATGCGCGCTTCATCAGCTCATGGGTGGTCGCCCACTTGTGTTCGTAGTCCTGCTCGTACAGGAACCATGACGCGCCCTTGCGCCGCTTATCCATGACATCAGCGCGCACCGTGGCAAACGCCTTGATTGACTCCCAAGCCAGCTTACCGCGCTCCGCGCTCTGCTCGAACTCCAAAAGAACCCGCTCAATGGCGCGCGCCGCCGCCATAGGCGCGCCCCAGCTCCACTCCAGGCAGGCCTGGGCAAGGGGTGCAAAATGCGGGTTGCTCTTGGCGCACTCGATCTGATGGAACCGGGCATCGGCCTCCTTCCTGCACACATTGGAGCAGAACCATGCCGAGCACCTGTTGCATTTCACCGGCCGCAGTAGGTCGCGCGCAGAGTATCCGCTGCGGTGGATCGTGCGCGCACACAGCTGGCACTCGTCATTGCCCTTGGTATGGTACGTGTTGCTGACCGTGTCCCATCGCGGGTACCATGCAAAGGGAGTTTCCTCAAACACCTGCGTCTTCTCTGCAAAATCGCCCACTGCAAACACGCCCTTGCCCTTGGTCCCGTTGATGTACTTGACTTCCACCTGGCCCTTACCCACTGTGCGCACAAAATCGCCTGGTGCGAGGAAACTCTTGGGCACTGTTTCTGCCGCTTTACCCGTGGTGTTGGCAGATGATGGGTCGGTTTGGATCAGCCCCATTGTGCTCATGAACTTGCGCACGCGCTTTTCGCCCAGCTGCCATGTCGGGTTTGACTCGCGCAGCATTGCGCAGACACGGAGGACCCCGAGCTCGGGCTTGCTCTTCTTTAGTGAATCGATCGCTGCTTGCAGCTCGGCCTCTGAGGGCATCGTGATTCTCCTGTCGTCGGCCATTTGCAAGGTTTAAGAAATGGATTTTTTAGAAGAAAAAAGTCAAAGTGTGTGCGTCTAATTTTAATTTCGAATAGTGAGGAAATAGAAAAAATAAAGTTGATATTATAAAAAGAATTTACTAAATTTGGTTTTCATTTTGCGACCTTTTAAAATTTTTAAGGTACACAAGGCCACACCATCATTTAATCTGCTGGATCTGTTGATCTGAGCTGAGTTGAGCTGAGCTGATCAAAACAAGATAATAAAAAACAAGGATCTATGTACTGGTCTGTGCATACAAATTGCGTGATTTTTGCATTTTTTTGTTTGGGGAAGGGGTAATATCCATGTTTACAAATTTATCTTGGAAAATGCCGATGAATCTGATTGCGGGTTGAGCTGATAAATTTCTTTTTTCTGCACGGGTACCCAATGTTCAAAACAAATTTATAAGACAATGTCAAGTGTCTTGCCACCAGCACCATTGTCGTCATGAGATCTGAATCGGCACGCAATTTCAGTATGAATTCTCGCAGTTATGCAGAATAATAAAAAATAACAAGTTTTATTTGGTTTACCTCCAATTTTTCACATTAAGCTTGACCCATACCATTATTTCTATTTTTGGCTTCTCGCTATATTATAGTTTTCTCTCATGGCGAGAGACATTGAAGTGAGCACACACCATGTAAAACACTGTCACGCGTGCACATGATAGCTGCGAAAATGGTTTACGCGGATACCTAGAAGAGCTGATGTTTTTTAAATATAAAACATACGCTCATGTGTTTGTATTTTCCCGACATATATGAAAATTTCTTAATTATTTTGTCATTTGAGTACCACTCTTTCTTAAGAAGCAGCGATCCAATACACAGCGAAATGATCAAAATGATGTGCACATGCTTAAATGTGTATGTGTATGCAAGGAAGTAGACAAATGACAAATTGCTCGTGACGCCCGCCGAGCAAATAAGAAAATTTTAGTACAAGTAGCACGCAAGCAAAACCTTGCATGGTATACATGAATGAAGACAACGACGATACGCCTGAAAATGGCAATACCAACACCAGAACTTTATGTGAAAAATATGCAAAACCTTATCCTGATACTTGTCTATACGTGTTTGCATTCTCCACAATGTCTTATGTATTTAGCAGAACGTAAACATGGTGGATGCATGCGGGGGATATAAAAAGGAATGTTAAAAATAAATAGGCTGTCCTTCTCCAGAGCCAACATACACGTGCTCAACAAAACCACAGATGGTTGGTGGGCGCCTCTGGGTGCCAGAAATATCAGTCAGCCACTCGCGCAAGTAATACAAGGCATGTGGGTACACCTTTTTATGCATTCATGGTTATTTTTAATGTTGCTCTGTTTTGTGTCGGTGAGCGCTATAATGCAAAAAAATCGGGCACAAATCTTGTGGTCCAATCGCTGCACTGGGCCTGGGAACACGACAGGCCACGAATGAAATATATAAAAGAAGGTCCGTGCTCATTTTTTTACTTGCTCTGTTGATTTTGCGAAAAAAGGGAATATCAAACAGCTGTCATCTGGGCGAATCACACTAGGCAAAGCATCCCATGTTCCTGTTGAATACGCCTCTTTTGAACACCGCAAGATCAGACGAGACGGGCAATCATCAGGAAACAAACAAGCAAAATATTTACTCACGCGTTGTTTCAGCGGAAAATGCCAGGATAATATTTTTCACCGTATTTATTTTATTCTCAGTAAATACTGGCACGGCTCCCTCAGAGCTACATCTTTTTTCAGAGACTTGCTTGGCTGCTTATGCCCTGCTGACCATATTTTACCTATACCTCAACCCAAAAACAGGGGTGTGGTGATAAAGATATTGGTGCGATCGCAACAAAACAAAAAAGCTTAGGAAATACTTCCATCATTATTAGCTTGGCCACAATACCGACAAAGAAACTTGCAGCGGGCATTGTCTAATTTCCATTCCACTCCCACTCCAACTCCCTCTACCTCGAATTCCCTCCTCCCCCCTCTCTCCAGCCACTTGGCCTACCACCATATTGCATTCAAGGAAAATAAAAAATCGGGATTGCTTCTTGTGTACCTTTCTTTTTAATCTTTCTCCCCGCATAAAATCAATCGCTATCGCCAGCCATCGCCTGCTTGCAAAAAAACAAAAAAAAAACGCAAGGCAAAGGGAAAAATAATGATGAGCCACCAATTTTTCTTCACCCTCTCCCCCAAATCGAATTGTCAATCGTCGCCCCTATTTTTCTTGTTTTGGAAATTCTCCTTCCCATTTATTCTTTTACTTTTGCTCTTGAGCCCACAAAACTCGCTCAAAAAGCCATCGTGTGCTCCTCTCAAATATTTAGTCTCTTTCTCTCTCTCTATTAGTTGAGAGCATGAAACAGTCTTTAAATATATTTACTTTATCATCCTAGCAATACCTTTTTCATTCTTTTTTTGCCTGCCGGTCCACACTCATAGCGCCATTCTTAATAATAACTGTTGCGCCCTGCAGATAAATAGATTCCAGCGGCATCATTAACCGACGATTTTTTGTCTTTTTACTCCCTCGTGTCTTTAAAATTTCTATCTTTTTCCCACACAACCACGCGCACATTTTTCGGAGGTTTTCTCACTTATTTCTGCATTGGCTCAGTATTCTCAGTTTTTTCAGTGCCTTCAACCCTTTTTTATTTAAAAAATACAATCAGCCAAGCGCATCTGACCATATTGCTATCCAATTTTCTTATTTTAGCAAGTTTTATTTTTTATTTGCAAGTTTTTACTTTTGCATAACATCATCGTGCATCCAGCGGCAGTACACGGAGCTCTGAGCCTCCATCGCGCTATCATCCACTCACATTGACTCATCGCGCACGTGCTTAACACCAAGAAGTATATAAATAGGGCAATTGCCATCCGTATTATTTTTTTTATTTTTTTCCTCATCTTTTTTTCTCTCTCCCCATTTAATTTCCCCCAATTGTTTATTTGGTTTGTCGATTTTTATTTTTATCAATCACTTTTCTCTTTTGTATCATTTTTGATCTTTATCTTTCCAAGTATTCTCCCTCCTTTTTCTCTTTTTATTCTCCCTTTCCGTATTGTTCTTCCCACCCAACCTCTTATCCCCTTAAAACGCCGGACTCCTGAACAATTTATAAATACACCAAAAAATAATTGGCTTGCGCAGCTGTGGACCACGAAACCATATATTATGCGCCAACAATGCACTCGTTCCGTGTTCAGCTGGCTTCTACCGATCAATTAACTGGGCACACGCCGGTCTCGCACCGGGGCGGCCCATCATCGTCACCACCACACTCGCCCAAACAGGAGGACATCATTGCCGCCAATGAAGGGGCGAGTACACAGGTGCAGGCGGCCCAAAGGAGGCGTCGCCGGAGGACGCTGCAACGTTTTGAGCTGGATGCTGACATCAGCACTCTGCCGCACAGCGGCAACCACCGTTACATTCGCGGCCTGGGGGAGCAGCAACAACAGCAGCAGATACACAGCGGCACTGCTCGGCAGAGCAAATCTATGATTGAAACGTCACTGATGGCCTCCATGGCGGCCTTGTTGTCATCATCCCCTACACCGGCACCCACACCTCTCTACACGCCGTTCGCTGAGTTTTCGCCGAGCCTCGGCCAAATGCATCCCCAATCCCCGCCACTGTCGCTGTCGCCGACACAAGCCAAATTCCACTTGCATCACAACAACCCATCGCTCACGCTGCCGCCACCACCTGCATCGCTCGGCAACAACCACAATCACCATCACCGGGGTATCGGCAATGATGTGCATGATGCTGCAGCATTCACGGCCCAGCTCTCGTCAGCAGACACAGTTTATTCTGTCGGCGCAGCCCCCAAAAATTATCAGTTTATCCAAGACCGCGCTCATTACCGCCTGCGCACTGTTTCGCCGCCGCGCTCACACATCGAGCCGCCGGGCGTGTGGCTAGAAATTGAGGACGAGTTGGACGAAGACTCTACGCTGAGCACAGACGACGACGACAATAGCAGTTACTACGATATCGACTCGCTGCGGCTATCCGAGGACGAGGATGTGTTTGGCGTGTCGTCGTTGGACACCTCCGAATGGCTTGACGACAGGCGCTTGTTCCGCAGTGTTCAGAGCAGAGACAGCCCTGGGAGCGGGCAGACCAGCCGTGGAAGAGCCCTGAATAGCAGCCGGTACGGCGCCTCTAGCTCACACTGGCGCGAGGGCCAGATATCGCCACCGTCGCTGGCACTGACACCGTTCGTGAACCAGGTCGGTGGGCACACGCCCTTCCTCAAGTTTTCGGGCAGCGCAATCTGCAAGCCGATGAACGAGCGCGAGCGCCAGTTCTACGAGGCTGTCGACTACCTGCACCGGGATCTGTACAAGTTTGTGCCGAGCTGCCTGGGCGTCGTGAACGTCACGTACCGCAAGCCGCAAGACAGTGACGACCCGGTACCTGAGGTCGTGCTCGAGCAGAATTTGCACATTCTGCCCAGTTGCCTCGCGCGCCAGCTCGTTCCGTCACAGACCAGCAAGACGATGTGCACAGCGGCACCCGGCAGCTTTGGCGCGCGCAAAATGCACCTCAGCGGCGCTTGGCGCCAGATGCAGGAGCAGATTCTCAAGGAGGCTCTATCGCCGCGGGCCCTGAAGGCCAGGGCGCGGCAGCAAGCACGGACGCGCGCGCAGGGTCCTATCCGGCGCCGGCACTCGTCTACCGATTTGCAGCCGCTCTACGGCAAGCCGTCTGTGCCGGGGACCGAGAAGGTGCTTGCAGCGGAGAGCCCGGAAGAGGCGCACAGCTTGGATACTGAGCGCGGCATCATGATGCGCGACCTCGAGGGCCTCCGGATGAACCGCATATACAGCAACACCACGTCAAGGACATCTTCGTGCGACACTGACAGCACCACCAGCCCGGCAAGCATCGCCAGCCGCCGTACATCAGCGGATAGCGACATTGATGTCATGGACCTTGCTTTGTTGGACACTGCTGGCATCGGCACGCATAAAGCGGAGCAAGTGCTGGCTGCCGTTGTTGATTCTGAAATGGAAGTTGATGCCAGCGGGCTCGGTGTGCCGCCGCGCACCATTTCGTCGCGTCTGGTGTTTGGCGACAGCCGAGTGCGCAGCAGCAGCCTTCTTCGCCACCGCTCATTCCCTGAAGAGGCCAGCACCGCGGCCGACACTCTGGGAGAGCGGGTGCCGCACAAGCTGCCGACCATGCCGCTGACGCCAGACGTGACTGGTTCGGTGCGCAATGCCGACGGCCAGAGAACCGCCAAGGCCGGCCAGGGCGAGGGTGCCGACGATTTCGAGAACCTGTGGAAGAAGAAGTGCGCCAAGCACATGCCCACCGATGCTGACGCCATCGACGGCAGCACCCACCAGTTCATCTTGATGGCCGATCTGACAGCATCGACGCGGCGGCCATGCATCCTGGATCTCAAGATGGGCACACGGCAGCACGGCGTCAACGCCCCGCCAAAGAAGGTCATCTCGCAGACGATCAAGTGCGCGGCAACCACAAGCAAAGAGCTCGGTGTGCGTATGTGCGGCCTGCAGGTGTTCAAGGCCGACCGCAACCGCTACCTCTTCCAGGACAAGTACTACGGGCGGTCGCTGAATAAGTTCACGTTCCAGCGCTCGCTGCTTGAGTTTCTTGACAACGGTCAGGACGTCATGTTCTTTTTGATTCCCTCATTGCTGACGAAGCTGCGCAACCTGTATCGCACTGTGGAGCAGATGCATGGATTCAGGTTTTTCGGCTCGAGCCTTTTGCTCGTATACGATGGCTATGAGGCCACGCACATTGCTGAGCAGCAGTCGGCCGCGGCGCTGCCTGAAATTGTCAAAGGGTCAGCCAATGGCGCGATGAAGACACGGCGACCGACTATTACTAGCGCGTCTATTTCGCACAAGCCTGTCGCTACTACGGCAGCAGCTACGGCCCAGGCGGCCATTACATTGAAGGTTGAGAGCCTGTCAGCCGCTGCTTCTGCTTCTGCTTCTGTTGCCGAGTCGCACTGGCGAGAGCTAGCTTCGCCCAAGACGCCGTTGTTGCACAATTCGAAGACACCAGCGAACTCGTTCAGCGATCCGATGGACACACTGCCGATCAGCGCGCTGGGTGGCTCGGCCGCACAGCCGACATGGAGGTCCTCCTTCGACACCGCCTCTGAAAGTGGCAGCAGGGGTAACTCCAGTGCGATCAAAGGGTCGGCTCATCATGTCAAGAGAGCCCATTGCTCCGCTGCCACCACCTCTGCCAGGCCAGAGTCCGTCCAGATCGATCTGCGCATCATCGATTTTGTCAACTGCAGCTTTGCCGTCGACCCTGAAGTGTACTCGGAGCCGACCTTGGAGCGCCCCGAGGAATCCAACCACGAGGCGTGCCCGCCAGACACCGTTGCATCGTACTTCCACCAGCAGAGTGCCGACCAGGAAACTGTGTCTGAGGCGGAGAACAACAGGGTCTTCCGCGCGCCGCCTCTCAGTCATTCGCCCTCTAAGCAGCCGAGGAACGCGGATCGCCGGTGTTCTGACTTCAAGCAGCAGCAGCATGATCTGTTCCATGTGACCGAGGCCGACCCAACACCCACATGCACGTGCAACGAAAAGTGCGCCGGTCCTGACTACGGATACCTGCGCGGCGTGCGCACTCTGGTGCGCGAATTCGCGGATATTTGGCGCAGGTACGCGTCGGACGAGGCGCGCACATTGCACGACCAGTCGATCCTACGAGTGGCCAAGGACGTGGGCGTCACGCTCAAGTTTTTTGAGCGCCGCTACATGTAAAGTTTTTCATTATATTTTTTGTTTGCGTTGATAATCAATATTTTTCATGTTTTTTTGCTTTTTTGTTTTATATAATTTTATTCAATTTATTTTTGTAGTTTGTAGTTTTTGAGCTGCTGACAAAAAACGTGTCTATACATCGCCCAGAGAACCATTGTGTGAAAATCACACACATGGCTCCACTGTACCATTGCACTGCGCAGCTGCCAGAGCCACCCGTCATCTAAAACAACATCCAATGCCTGTTTTCCATTCGCAGAAACGACTCTGTCCAAACGACCACTTAAACAAGTGAATCTATTTTGTTTTCATTGAAAAATAAAAGTTAGGACTCGTTGACTGTCCGAATGACGCGATTGACCCGCTGGCGAACGCTGTCTTTGACCTGCATGTCGTCGGTGTCTGCGTCGGTTTGTCGCGAGGACGAAGATGGGTGCATAATATGGCTGCCAACCGTGCTGCCGGCGCCACTGCCGCCACTCGCCAGAGCAGAGGCCAGACCAGGTGTGTGCAAAAACGGGCCGTTGTTTCCTCCCAGCCGCGGCCTAGCGCTGATAATGCGCGAGTTAGTCATCATAGACGGGCCAAGCAGCGCGCTCGAGGACATGCCAACTATCGGGCGCATCTGCGGCGACAAGCCACCATACCCCGAAGACAAAGACGGAGACCACGCGCGCTGGAATCCCGGCTGCTGCGGCTGAGTCAGCGGCATTTGGGCGCCCACTGATGGCCGCAAAATGTGATTGCCCATCAGCGTCGGCTCCTCCGGCGTGTACATGCGTGGCGGGATGTCCATTGTCGGACTCGTGTTGGAATTGGCCGTTGCGCGGGACTGTAGGTTGCTGCGAAGCATCGGGTGTGGTGGGGCAGCTGTGTGTTGTAGTTTGGAGGCAGCTCGGCAACCATGGGTCCGATTTGCGACACGGGGCTGTTTGGATCCACTGTCGGCGACTGGGGTATATTTGAAGCAGTGGCGGCAGATGCATTGGTCGCTGCCGGTGCTCCCGGAACCGATGCCGATGCTGCAGCCGATGTTTGTGCTGTTGTGGTAGTGCCAGGGGCCTTTGGCGTGAACGGGTGCTTGATTTTGATGCGTTTTTCATTGGGCATAACCAGTTCCTTTGCAAAGGCGGCCTGGAGCTTCCGGCTGATGACAGATGTCAGCATGGGCAGGTTCTGTACCTTGGCCTTGCTGCCTATCAGGGTCTGCACATCAAACTCAAGCACGTAGTCGGGCAGGATTGTGACCGAAACCGAGGGCTCGGGCGACGCGCAGTCAAACTCGATAGCCACTGTGCCCACAAACTTAACGAGCGACACGACCATGGACACAGGGAGCGCGGCAACCGAAGGCCTGGGCCAGTTGACAAGCACTCGAGTATTGAATCCCAGTGTAATCTCATCGTGCAGCGCTAAGTCAAGCTCGGCGCGCATTCCCAGAGAGCCAGCCGACGGAACCATGCGGGCGCTGGTGACGCGCAAAAAGTCCGACCCCAACGAGAACTGCGTAATCCGCAGGTTGTCGATAACAGAGGGACGCAGCTCGCCGTTCAAAGCCTCGCTGATTACGCGCACCAGGCGGTCGTGGCGCTCGGCGTCCGCGCGAAACTTGGAGATAATCTGCGCCAGGAACACGGTCAGCCAGTCGCAGGACTCGGACCTGCGTGCGAGCAGATCGTATCCGGTGCGCGAGAGAATCTCCTTGTGCATTTTGGTCAGCTCCTCGGCCAAATCGTCAGGCGGCGGGTCCTTGGGCTTGCGCGAGAATATCATAAACTTGGACAGGCCAAAGCCGCCCTCCTGGATTATCGTCCGTCCCTTTGCCTCCACATCGCCCGCTGCAGCCGAAGCCATCGGCGAGAATGCCATTGGCTCTTCTTCTTCGTCCAGCGGCTTCTTTCCCAAGGGCTCCTCAAACAGAATATACTTTATCGCCATAATTAGAAGAACCAGCATGCTGAACTGGCCCAGAATGAATCCCTGCATGAACGTTGGTTGCCACGTCCACAGCTGCTGCACAAATGCGGGCAGCTGTATGGATATTAGGTGCCGGGTTTCAGCGACTACGGTTGACTGCACTGTCTCAACCAGCGATGACCCGGCGGCGGCGGCGGCGGCCGTGGCGGTCTCTGCTACTGTCGACAACGTTGCTGACACAGCCGCGGTGATCATGTCCTGTACTACGCTGTTACTGCCGATTCCGCCTCTGCCGGGGGCTGACACACTTACAGCAGCCACGAACGCGGTTCCTGCCACTATGTTGACTGCTGTTGATAACGTCGGGCCCGAGGTGGGCGATACGGTTGTTGCTGTGGCTGATAGTAGTTGGGACGCGTCCTCCATTTGTGTAGTTGTCGCAATTATAATGGCATTAGTGGGGTGGAATGGTGGAATCAGAATCACGAGCCGGAGAGGAAGTAGAAAAGGGGGAGGGAAGAGCGTGTCTGTTGTACTCGATTCAAATATCAAATTTGTGTTCAACCGATAAAATAAAGAAATTCAATAAAAAACAGCAGGTGCACCATTAAGTCTTTTTTGTGGCTGGCTCAAAAAAAGCACAAATAAAATTAGCTTCACGTGAGCAATGGAAAATCGCTCTAATTTTTTTAATCAGACCGCGATAAAAAATATAATCAGCGCCTCATCTGGTCAGCTCCTCTGCACCTCCAATGATTGGCCCATGGCACTCTGGAAATTCTAAAAAAAATACATTTACATCAGTCTAATATCTTGCATCTACACATTTATAGCGAAAGTCCAGATTTTTAAGCGGAGATTTTTAAAACCTGTTTCCCCTAGTTTTTTAGCCTAAAATATCAGAAAGTCTAGATTTTTGAAGATGCGGGGAAGTATTTAACGTTTGCGTCTGACTGGTGCTTTGGCTATTGGTTAAGCGTGACGATTGACGATGTAATTATATTCACCCAATTATGTCGCAGCCGCAATCAACGGCGCTGCTGATCCCGTTGCAGCAGCCATCGCCGTTTCTGTTGCAACCACAACCACCGCCGATGCCGCACCTATTATTGACAGTGTACAGCAGAGCCGCAACCAGTGGATGCCCATTCGCCCACGGTCCGCCAATATCACCCGGTGGGTAGAGGGAAAAGAGCTGGACAAAGCGAAATTTTCCCGCAAAATTAAGCAGCAGCTGCGGGATGAGCTGGCTGAGCAAAATCGGGAGCAAGTGCATCAATATCCAGTCTGCTGATAATCTCAAGCGCATTGTCAGACTGAGCGGCTGGTTGCAAGGCAAAAATTCAGCGCAGAATCAGACAGAGGATGCGCGATGAGTTGACCGCGCAGCAGCAGCAGCAGGTAGCCGCAACAGGCGTGAATATAATTATGGTGGTAGCAAAACCCGCTAAATGTTATGCCACGGCTTGCTTCAGTGCACAATGGAAGACTGCCTGCAAACCTTCAGGGCCGGTGGAACCAAGATCAAGAATGGCAAAAAAGTGCCATCAGGCAGGCAGAAGTGGAATAATCGCGACATGGCTGTGGTGCTGAACTTTCGCGTCATCCTCAATCCCCTGCTTACAGGCGAGCGGCCTCCCCGTTTCTTGCGCAAAAATGCATCGTCAGAGTCGGCTGAAGCCGAGCCCACAACGACACCCGAGACTTTGCTCAAGCCAAAGCCCAAGCCCAAGCGTGTGGGCAATAGTACATTTGCCCCTGCTTCTTCTCTTCAAAAGAAGCAGCAAACTGGATAATATCGTCAATTATAGTGGTCTGTTGCCGCTAGTTTCTAAACACTTTTTAGGTTGCTAGCCAAACTGGGGGAAGGGTGTCGATTTGCAGGATACTTGTAGCCTTATTCTTTTCTTTTAGTTTAATTTAATCGAAAAGCCTATGATCATTGACGCAAATATGAATCAAGCAAGTAAACCAATTTATTTATCATTTCAATACTTTTCAATGTTTGTCGGACGACTGGTCCTGCTTGGTATCGTAGGCGTTGATCGGTGATTCGCGTGCCGAGGCCAAGGCAGAACCGTGGGCGGATAGTGACGCGGTCGTCGATATCGTGGCGCCCAGGGGAAGTCGCTCGGACATTGGCGTAGCGTGCCCTGACGACGACACGCCCTTATTGACATGACTCAACAGGGCCAAGTTTTTGTACGTAAAGTCTTCGAACACGCGTTCCGTCTCTTCATCTTGCGCGTCATCGTCATCGTCGACACCTTCCATCCTGTCGCTATCTGCAGCAGAACCAGACAAGTTGCCATTGACTGCCAATTCAATGACAGAGCCGCCAATGCTGGTGCTCTGTGCACGGTCATCGGTGGAACTCGACCGCACAAGCGGCACAGTCATTTCAGACTCGGAAGAATTATCAGGTCCATCGCTCGGTCGTCTCGAGCGGACTTGAGAGTTGATCTTACTTTTGGCCATGACAATGTTGATGGATGCGCAGCGTGAGTGGGACTTTGTGGACGGGCTCGATGGTCCACACTCGACAGGACCATCCGAGTTCTGGGTAGGCGAGCGGCCAACCAAGCGCCTGGCGTGGTTAATTAAAAGCGGTGGCGGCAGTACTCCCAGTGTTCTGCCGGCTGACGTCTGCGAGTTGGACACGGCAGACAGACCAGCGGGTGCCTGTACGGATATTACCCGGTGACTGGGCAACTGCTCTTCAAACTCGGCTTCGCTTAGCGAGTTGATGCTGCTGCGCCCACGCAAAGAGGCAGCCATGTCGACATCACTGTCTTCTCCCATTGCTGCCGCAGGGAGGGCAGCAAATGGAATCTTGGCCCGCGGGCTGCTCATCGGGAGGTTTCCGAGCCCGATGTTCACACTGTTGTTGTCCGCACTGTTGTTGGTGAACGAGTACCTATCACTGCTAGAAGCAGACACGATAGAGGCTGCTGATTGGCGCTGCTCACCAGGATCCATCTCAGAGTAGCCAACAGGCTCATGAGCGCTGTCAATCTTGGCTGAAAAGGCGTTGTCCTCAGCAGACATATCGCTGAACAGCTTCTTTAGCTGGCCGACACTTGCGGAGGTAGTGCGCCCGTTATTGGCAGAGGCAGAGCCAGAAACTGAACGTCCCCGGCGCGAGCCCCTCTGCGACCCCCTGGTCGACTCGGGCGATGGAACGATCTCAGTGGCCCGGGCTGACTGCTGGCGCGGCGTCGGAGGCGGTCGCTTGGCAGCATCGACCTGCAAGAACGTCGCGTTTGACAGCCGCTGCATCTCAGAGCGCTGACAGGGCTCGAAGTAGCTAGTGTCAACATCATCATCAGGCTGGGGCACAAACGGGGGCTCCATTTGTCGAATCGCGCTCATATCCCAGCCTTCAAACAACCTTGCAGCCTTGATGTCCTTCCAGTGAGCGCGCGTGGTCGGATCGGGACTCAACAGTGCGTTGATTATTTCGACAACCTCTTGGCTCACGTAGCCCTCCTCCTCGGGCCAGTCGATCGCGTGGTTCAGGATGTTTCTGAAAATAGCCTCGGGTGACTCATCGGTAAACGGTGGGTACCCGCACACAAACTCGAAAAGACACACTCCGAGCGCCCACCAGTCGACTGCCAGGCCGTTGCCAGCGCCCAGAAGCAGCTCAGGAGCCAGGTAATCCGGTGTGCCGAGGAAGCCTCGCGAGCTCTTGCGGGCATGCGCGCGTTTGGACAGGGGAAGCGCCTTGCCGGCCTGCGTGCTATTGGTTGCAATAACCGGTGTCTGCACACTGCGGCCGGCCTGAGCTACCGCTGCATTCCAGTAGTCTTCAGACTTGTCTGGCAGTCGGCCGGCGACATCAGTATCTCCCAGGGGCGTGGTGTCTGAAGTCGGCGAGTCAAGGTTGACATTGCTGTCAGATCCGTCGACCAGCACTTTACTACCCGTTGCATTGCCGCGGACTGCAACCTGGCTTAGTCCAAAGTCCGTCAGCTTGATGTGCCCATCGCTTGCCAAAATGACGTTGTCCGGTTTAATGTCGCGGTGGACGATCGAGTTACAGTGTAAATAGTCAATTGCGTTGGCAATCTCGGCAATGTAGAACTTTGCCGCATCCTCCTCCATCACGCCCCACACGCGCAACAGTCCGGCCAGATCTCCGCCGACGAGGTACTCCATGACCAAAAACAGATGCTTGGACGAGTGGAAGGCGTAGTATAGCTGCACAACCCATTCGGTTGACAGCAGAGATAGCGCTCGGCGCTCGGCCAGGGCCTGGGTGACCATATTCTTGTTGATCATGTCCTTCTTGCGCATGACCTTGATCGCGTACAGGTCTTTGGTCGCCTTTTTACGCGTCAGGTACACACGGCCAAATGCGCCGCGCGAAATGGGCTTGACAAAGTCAAAGTCGTCGATAGAGGGCATGCGCTGGACCTTGGATGCCGACTCTGGCGTGGTACGCATGCTGGAGAGCTGGCTGTTGTTGCGCTGGCGGGTCACTGGCGACGACAGCGGGACGTCCGAGGGGCTGGCTGTAAGAATGGCCGTGCTCGGGTTAACAGCAGAGTCCATTTCGCTGGGCGCACTGCCATGAGTAGCAGTGGCAGTGGAAGCAGCAGCTTCTGTACCTGTACCTGTACTTGTACCAACACCAGCACTTGGACCACTCGCAGCTGCTTGAGCTGAAGCAAATGATATCGCCACCGGGGTGGTGATTGTCGGCTGGCCTGCCATCATGTTCTGCGACAGCCGGCGCAGCGCGCTGCTCGACCGACTAATCGACGGAAGCACGGTCGGAGAGAACGCCGACGATGTGTTCTTCCGCCGGAGAACCGATGAGCCAGTCGAGTCCTTTGTGCGGCCAAAGCCCATATGGTTGTTGCGGAACAACGCAGCAAACAGCGATACGAGCTTGCGGGAGCCGCTGCCACCACTCCCACCGCTAGCGGGCGACGCACTGGTAACCGACTGCGAATCGATATCGATCAGGTCAGGCGTGGGTCTGGTAGAGCGGCCAGGGCGAATTTGCTTCGAGTGGCGGCGGGTCGGGACAGCAAGTCCTTTGCCAATTCCCAACGCGTGACCACCCACAACATCTGGAGTAGCCGATCCAGACTCAGATTGCAAATGCATAAAGTCCATGCTCGTTCGCTCAGACGCGGCCGGACTGCGCTGGCCCGTGTGCTGCGCCAGTTGCGACCATGTTGGCAGCTCGAGGAACTGGCCATTGAGCTGCACTGGCTCAGGCTCAGACCCAATGTCGGCGTTGGCCAACTCTGCCTCGCGTGTCAAGGCCTCCTGGCGCTCAAGGCGGCTAAACTCTTTGTCGAACTCCTCGATAATCGTGCATTTGTCATGAATGCGTACCAACAGCTGCTTCGCCAACCAGATGGTCTCGACATCGGCTCGGGGCAAGGTTGCTACTGCTGCTACCGACGACATTGGCGCGTCAAACGATGACTGGCCCTTGGGCCTCGTCAGGCTCGAGCTGTTCCCATTAGAGCCAGTGATCGTCTCAAGCTTCTCGATGTACTTTGTGAACTTTGACTTGGCAACAATGAGCTCGTGCTGGGTGTCGCCTTCAGGCCAGACGATTGCACGATCGGCAATGCGCACCACGCGCTCTGCCTCGCGGATGGCCACCTTGTCCCACTGGCGCGCCTTTTTGAGATCACCCAGACGTTTGGAGACTGAATCGCGCAGGCGCCTGACGCGCTGGTTGGCCTCGTCCAGCTTCATGGCCCGCGTCTGCTCGAGCATGCACACGTCCGAGTGCAGGTTGAGATCGTATTTGTAAAAGTCGCGCTCACATATGCGGCACACCACCATCTCGGTTTCGGAAGATTCCGCAATCGCCAGGTCAGCGTCAGCAGGGGCCATGGCTTCCACTGCATTATCATCCGCGCCGTGGGCCTGCACAAGTTGTTGGTCTGCATCCTGGCCGTCAGCAATATCCAGAATCTGACTGGCGACTGAATTGTGTGGCGATGAAGTCAGCTTAACCGAGCTGGCCGATGTGTGAGAGCCAGCAGCGACCTCCAAAGCAGCAGCAAGAGAGACGCGCTGGCTGCTTGTCTCTTGGGGGCCCGACTCACTACCCAGCCTGGTCTCCGGAATGGTGCCCAAGGTAGGGCTCAGCGGTTGATTCGGTGTCGCTGGCAGCTCGGCATCAAAGAACGGGCGGACCGGGGTCTCTAACGGCGAATCAGGCATACTCTCATTCGGGTCAAAGGCATGACTGAGCAGGTTTGCCAGCCTTTCTTGGCGCGAGGCAGACTCAGAAACGCGTCTCATCAACTTGTTTCCACTGGTGCTGGAGATATACATGGTTGCCGGCCGAACAGCGCGCTTGGGCGCGGCAGGGGCAGCAGAGCTGGATCCAGCTTCCTCTGGCTGAGGGTTGGCTAGATCTTGCGATGGCTGATTTTCCTCCTGTTGCTTCTCCTGCTGATGCTGCAGACGGGCAAAGTGGTTGAAAAAATGGTGCGGCTGAATCGATGCGCGCGAAGATCGCTTGTTGGAAGCCATCTGACTGTCAACGGCATCGGAGGATACGCTCAGCTTGCTGCCATGGCAGTTCAGCGGCGCGTGCGAAAGCGAATCATCCAACGACGGGCGCGCCGACCCCGATGCCTCCGACTCCGAGTCAGGCAGCTCCACACTCGGGCGGTTCGAGTGCGACGTAGTTGAGATGGCCGGAAAGTACATCCGCTGGCGCTGGTACTGCGACGGAGCACCAATCGAGCGACCAAATGACCCGCCAGTGCTGTTGTTGGCGCTGTTGACCGGCGCGAGCAGCGAATGCAGCGAAGCGGTAGAGCTGTGGGCTGTCGTAGGGAGAGCGCGCGGACTCGAAGCGTAGGATGCAGTGTCAAGAGGCCGAATCCGACCGCTGATGCTGCCGGATGGGTAGGATCCCTCGGAACCCACGCGCCCAATACGGTAGTCGCCAAGCTCGCTAGCCCCGTTGGGCAGGCCTTGGGCCGCGTCTCTGTTCTTCTGAGCAGAGGCGGAGTTTCGCCCGCTGGCGGACTCGTAGTGCGAAGAGAGCGCCGAGCTCAGCGATGGCAGCATGCTCAGCCCGCCGCGGCCCAGCGAAGACTCAGGGGCAAGTTGTGGGCTGGGGAACTGGCTGATCGCGGGCGAAGCGTCGCCGGACACGCCGTTACGCACACCTGAAAATAGGGTGAACGACATGGCTAGCTGGCTGACGGTCTGCGAGACAGCCGAGAACTGATACAGCATGTCGACAATCAATGTGCCCACATTGGTGTCGCTGACAAAGCGCGCGCGATGCTCGGTGAGCAGGCCGTAGAGCTGCTCAGTGATGTTGCGCGTGATAACGTCGTTGCTCAGTTCGGACACAGAGCTACTGCGGATCAGATGCGCCAGCTCAATGACCCGGCGGCGGAACTCGTTGCGATCGCCGTCGGCACGCTTCATGTCTGACGTCGAGCGCCGGTGTCCGCGCTTGACCTTGAGAATAATCGCGTCCTCATCGCCCAAGCCGGGCTTCGCGTCAGCATCCAGCGTGCACACGACAGCACCACTATCTGTCTCCCGCCACTGCCGCATCATCTTATCGATTTCGGTGTCGGCCCGTGACTTGGACACAACCAGGATCTGCCACAAAGCCTCCTTGCGCACTTGACTAACGCTGGATGGCTCGAGTAGCTCGCTGATGCCACTAGAGACGCTGTGACCTGAAGCGCTGCGCTGAACCGAGGACATGTTCAAGCGCAGCTGGTGTCCGCCCTGGCTGTTAGCGCCGCTTCCACCGCCGCTGCCGCCACCACCACTATTGTTATGTTGGTGGTAGTGGTAGCTGCTATGACCATGGCTATGGCCATGAATGTGGGGATGGGATGGCGATGATGAGGTCGAAGATGGCGCCGGCTGCCACATGTGCGACAAAATTCCCTGATGTGCTCCGTGGTGGCCGTCGTCGCCCATGGTGCTGGACACCGGGGACATGGTGTAACCCGATATGGACGACGGAGGCCGGCTAGTTGAAACATAGACGGCACTGCTGCTAGCGCCACCGCGTCCAAAGTTGCCAGTTTGCGACTGACCAGCACCACCACCGGTGCTGTAGTCCGACTCGTCGTAGCTGCTTCCTGGCGCAGCAATGCTGTTTATAGGTGCAAAGGGTTGGCTAGATGCCGATGTGGCGCGGACCCGCGGTTGGATCTTGCTGCGCTCAATGGCTAGGTCAATGTTAGACGGCTCTGGCGCAGAACCGGGAGTCAAGCGAACCTCCTCCATGGTGCTCGACATCGGCGGCACGCTCCCCGCGTTGCTACCGCCGCTCTCCCCAGCCGCAGCAAATTCCCTCTCCTTCAGTCTGATCGCGTTGGTAGTGGCGGCCCGCGCCAGATGTACCAATTGCGATCCGCCTCGCGGCCGGATAGGCTGTGCGCCGACGGGGGTTGAGGATGGCTGTGTAATTGCGTACGCTGGGGACCCACCATGGCTGCTAGAGTTTGAAGGGCTGGATCGAGTCGAGCCTGCCTCATAGTCACTGAGATCAGTTGCATACCGCTCAATGGGCACATCGCTCTTGATGCCGTGCAGTTTGGGCTTGGTGCCTTGCCCCGATGCGGTATCCAAAGACCTGTTCTCAGAGGCGCCAAATGGGTTGGAAGGCATGGCCGGCATTATTTGCGCCGGGGATGAGGCTGGCGAGTGGTTGCAAAGTGTACTAGACCCGTCCTGCGAAAGCTGGCGCCAGTCCCTGATCGACGCATCGAAAAGCGCTTGCTTTCTGGCAGCGGGTGGCCACCCTGCGAATAGTCAGCACTTTCAGTTTCAATGGCTCCGTCCGCTCCGCTGCGCTTGTACCGCTGATGAGCGGCCGAGGTTGCCACCATTGAGAGGCCCGATCCGTGTCGCCGAGTGAGGCTGTTTTCGTTGTCATCGTCAAGTTCCATGTCGCCGCCCAGCAGCGCCGACGCCCAGGACTGAGCCGAATCAGATGTGATTGACGTCGAGCTGCGAGCAGAAGCGTCGGTGGTTGATTGTCTGAACAGCCCAGACCCGGCGTTTGACCGCACCTGGAATGCGGCCAGCAGGCTGGGAGGAGAGTCAGTGGCCATGGTGCTTCCGCTGTTCAGCCGCTGCATAGTGCTGAGACTGTCGCTGGTGATGCCATTGGAGAGCAAGGTGGCGGTCGAGTTCTTCTGCTCGCGAGCATGCAGCAATCCCGACTCGGTCCCACCCGTGTGTTCCGACCACCCGAGGGTTGCCAGCGCCGTTCGCCGGCGCGGAAAGCTCGGCACAAGCGAGTCGTTGGCCAATTGCGGCAGTGGTCGGCCGCTCAGCCTCTCCGACGGGTTGGGGATATTGGCGGCCTGCGACACCGTGTCGCTAGCGTAGTCATCCGTGTACTGGTAGCTCAGTCTGTGCGGCATTGGTGGGCGATGCATGTCGATTGAATTGGCGGTGGGCGTACGCGTCAGCTTGGGCGAGGCGCCCTTGCCAAACGGCGGCGGCGTGACCGGCCCTTGCATCGCAAAAAAGCTGTCGTTGGCCGACTTGACCATGCTCTGCGCGCGGTGCTCCTCGGCCTCCATGTCGTCATCGCATCTTGACTGCGCGTGGATGGCGTGGAACGACTTGCGCGACAACGGGCTAGCCACCAGGGGCGAGTTAATGGCCTTGGCGCGCGACTGCGCCATCCGATGAGACACGACATCGTTGCCACCGTCGGGGGACTCGCTTTCCTCAGCATCGAGGCGGTTTTTGATAGAGAGCGGCGTGATCTCTGACATTGCGCGGTTGCGTCTCGCTGACAGTGGCTTTAGCGGCACTGGCGGTATATTCTGCGCATGGGATAAAGGAAAGGTACTCATGTGCGCGGACATGTCATTGGTGGCACCAAACGACGACGATGTGCGGCCTCGGTAGTTGTCCATGAATTCAGACCTGGCCGGCATGCTCGGCGACTTTGGGAGTTTGACTGGTGCGTGGGCGTGGGTGGTGATTGGAATTGGGCTCGAGGGACTACTACTGGTCGGCAGGCTGTCCTGTGACGGGTTGTTTGAGCGGGAGAACAGCCGGTTGACTTTGCCGCTGATGGCCGCGCTCGAGAGCTTTCGCAGCCGACGCACAAGGCTCATGCCAGATGCCTTTTGCGACGGCGGCTTGGAATCGGCTGATATCGACCCTGCAGCTGATACGTTTGAATACATGGATACGTTCTCTGAGGCGAGGAGATTAGGGGCTCGCAATCCCAATCCGCCATTGCCAGACTCTGCTGATGACGCTGCCACTGCTGCATGCCGGGTCGTTGGGGTGCCCTGTAGATCAACTGATGACACTGATGGCGCATGCTCAGAGCTGCTCTCGCCTGCAGCCTTTGAGTTGCCTATTCCTCTCCTGCCAATAACAGGCTTTATTTTTGGCGTATCTGCAATGATGGCCTCGGTGTTTCAGCGTTCGGGGTGATATCGGTGCTGATGCCGAGGTTTTCGCTGACAGACGCCGATGATGATGACGACGCGTTTGGCGCCGGGCCAGCCTGCTTGTCCATATGCGTTATGTCTGCGTTGTGTTGATGAGGTTAGGATCAGGTTGCCCTATATTTGTTGTCAAAATAAAAAGTGTACGCAGTTAATACACTTGAATACGTGAGTGGTTTGGGGGTAAAATATGGAGGAAGCTAGAGAGGGTGTGTAACTCGGCCGACAATGTGATTTTTTAATCAGTCGTGTGCGAAGCAAGTCGCCCAAAAATACAGATGCAAGGATGTGAGATGTGGCAGTAAGTACAAATAGAGCAATTCTTTTTATAATGGCACCAGGCCATGGAAAAAAGGAGCAGAAAGACGCAAAGCTCGATATTCTAAGGAAGGAAAACAAAAATGAACAAAATGAGAAATCCCGTTTGTTCTTTGTTCCAAGCGTGGCATTGCACAAAAGGATCAATTTAGAAAACATGTATGTACATTGTACATGTTGGGCCAGCAGACATCCAAAGCTTGCATCGCATCTGTTATCCGCCTGCTTCTCTCCTCAGCCTCACAATATGCCTTGTCTGCAAAAAAAGACAAATCGGCCGTATCGATTTACAAAATGAACGAGAAAATATCGAGTGGGTTTTATGTTTTGACTGACTTACGTGTGCAATGAACAGGCTGTCTGGCGTGGCTCAAGTGTTTGTTAGGGTCGGAGCGCAACTATAACCTCTCCCACTTTTTTGTTCCACGGTGAATTTGGGTGACTGGGCGCGGCCGGTGCCTTTGGGTGTGCTTCAATGACAGAAGAATAGAAAGGTGTGAAGAGAAACGACCCGCCGTTTTGCAGCGTGGTTGCCAAAGAAAACAAGGACAGAAGGATATAAAAATGAGAGAAAAAATAAAGAGAAAAAGCAAGTGTTTACAGACTCGAGTTGGAATAAAGTGGCGAAATAAGAGCTTGCAGACCAAAAGCGTACAGCATTAAAAAAGAATATAAAAGGATCCCTGTGTGAATAATAACAAGGTGCGGTAGACGAGCGTGCGTGTGCGTGCGTGCGTATAAATGGCAATTCTGGTGCTGCTGTTTCTGTTTCTGCTGGTAAGGGAAGCTCGAATGACCGGAGCGTTGCTGGGTTGAAGAAAAATAATAAAAATAAAAATAAAGGAAGAGGCTAATGAGCGAAACAACATGCGAATGTGAATTTGGCCAAACAAAGGAGCAGAAAAATAGCTGTATTTGGGGAGTGGAATAAACAGAGACCTGGCACCCAACAAACCCCAAGCGACACCACAGCTGGACCTGCAAACAGGCTGGCCCGTCAAATTAGGAAATAAGGAAATAAAAACGGCCGGCATAAATCAGAGACCATTTTTACTGGCTGGCTGTCCATCCGCATCCGCCTTTATTGAATTTTATTTTTTGCTCTGTCACGGCGTGCTTCTATTGTTGTTGCTTTGGGCCAACAACAAATAAACAGACATCTCCAAGCCTCTCGCACACACACCTCTTTATTCGTACGCTTTTGCCTCCAAATCTTTATTTATTACGCTCGGCATAACAAACAAGCACAATGTTATTGCGTTGGGCGGCGAGCAGCTCAAGGATGTCAATGATTAGCAGTCCCCGCATGGCATGAAAGCGCTGCTTTGCAAAACTGACATCCCTCTCTTGGTAAAGTGGACAACGCACCTACCAGTTTTGTGTGGGCGGAGTTGAACGGGAGGATAACGCGCAAACAGTTGTCCGCTGCCCCGTTTTTGCTCATGGAAAAATCCCAAAAAGAGAAATGCAAACCCCGAAAGACCTCTAAACTCTGCAAATTCCTGTTTTTTTTGTATTGCCGCTTGCAAAAAAACAAAAACAAAAACAACTTTACACTAAAAAAAGAACGAGGCTACAAGTATCCTGCAAATCGACATCCTTCCCCCAGTTTGGCTAGCAACCTAAAAAGTGTTTAGAAACTAGCGGCAACAGACCACTATAATTGACGATATTATCCAGTTTGCTGCTTCTTTTGAAGAGAAGAAGCAGGGGCAAATGTACTATTGCCCACACGCTTGGGCTTGGGCTTTGGCTTGAGCAAAGTCTCGGGTGTCGTTGTGGGCTCGGCTTCAGCCGACTCTGACGATGCATTTTTGCGCAAGAAACGGGGAGGCCGCTCGCCTGTAAGCAGGGGATTGAGGATGACGCGAAAGTTCAGCACCACAGCCGTGTCACGATTATTCCACTTCTGCCTGCCTGATGGCACTTTTTTGCCATTCTTGATCTTGGTTCCACCGGCCCTGAAGGTTTGCAGGCAGTCTTCCATTGTGCACTGAAGCAAGCCGTGGCATAACATTTAGCGGGTTTTGCTACCACCATAATTATATTCACGCCTGTTGCGGCTACCTGCTGCTGCTGCTGCGCGGTCAACTCATCGCGCATCCTCTGTCTGATTCTGCGCTGAATTTTTGCCTTGCAACCAGCCGCTCAGTCTGACAATGCGCTTGAGATTATCAGCAGACTGGATATTGATGCACTTGCTCCCGATTTTGCTCAGCCAGCTCATCCCGCAGCTGCTGCTTAATTTTGCGGGAAAATTTCGCTTTGTCCAGCTCTTTTCCCTCTACCCACCGGGTGATATTGGCGGACCGTGGGCGAATGGGCATCCACTGGTTGCGGCTCTGCTGTACACTGTCAATAATAGGTGCGGCATCGGCGGTGGTTGTGGTTGCAACAGAAACGGCGATGGCTGCTGCAACGGGATCAGCAGCGCCGTTGATTGCGGCTGCGACATAATTGGGTGAATATAATTACATCGTCAATCGTCACGCTTAACCAATAGCCAAAGCACCAGTCAGACGCAAACGTTAAATACTTCCCCGCATCTTCAAAAATCTAGACTTTCGCTATACCTGGTTGGGAATCCTAAAATACATTTTCATTAGTGTATACAAACCAACCATCTAATAAAATCGGTTTGCTCGTTACACGGCCATGACGAGAATCAAGTTTTTTATTTAACAATTGTGTTACTTTCGTTCATATTCGCCTCAATATTCGACAAATGAAAAGCTACAATATTCTCAACAGTCGGTAGTTTGTCTTCCCGGTTCTGATAATGCCAATAGTGCCCTGGCCAATATAATCTCCAGCACTCACCCTCGGTACCCACTTGCTGTCGTCCACCGGCTGGTTATTCCAGTACAGCCCCCCGCCGCGCGCCAACCGTGTAGCTTCTGACTTTGACTTGCATGAACCGACCAAAACAGCGATCTCACCCAACGACTTGCCGGTTACTTCATTCTTGGACACCGAGACCATCCGTTGGTCGTGTGCAAATGCTTCTGCAAAGTCACCTTGCGAATACTTTTGAATGGAGTCCAGTTGGTTGCCGAATAAAACCTCTGTGGCACAGAGTGCCTTATTCACTCCCGATTCACCGTGGATGAGCTCAGTAACTTCGGTGGCCAGTAACCGCTGGGCAGCAAAGCCTTCTGGAGAGAGCTGGTGTTCAGCCATCACCCGGCTGATTTCTGAAATGGGAAGCAGCGTGAACAGCTTTAGGAACTTCTCGACGTCAGTGTCGGCCGTTTTGACAAAGAACTGATAAATGTCGAATGCTGACGTTTTGGACTCGTCCAGCCAGATTGCGTTGCCAGCAGATTTGCCAAACTTCTCTCCTGACGCGGTCGTTAAAAGAGGTATCGTCAGGCCGTAGGCATCGTCGGCCGAATCGCGCCCACGCGGAGTTATGACGCCCGTGTCGTTCTTGTCCTGGCCAAAGGGCATGCGGTGTATCAAATCTGTACCGGCCGTGATATTGCCCCATTGGTCGCTTCCGCCCAGTTGGATCCGGCAGCCGTGGTGATGATACAAGTACCAAAAGTCATACGCCTGAAGCAATTGATACGAAAACTCGGTAAAACTGATCCCCTGCTCAGATTGTAGTCGAGACTTTACACTGTCCCTGGCTATCATTGTGCCCACTCTGGCGTATCTGCCGATTTGACCCAGGAATGACAGTATGTTCATGTCCTTGTACCAATCTGCATTGTGAAGCACATGCACCTCTTTCAGATTCGCAGAGTCAAGGCCAACGAGGCGCTTCGACGCATAGGTTGTCCCCCGTACGAAGAACCGCTCGAGCTGTGCCTCAATTCCAGCAATGTTTTTCGCCAGCGTATCCTGTCCCAGAGCCACACGCTCTGTATTACGCCCGCTGGGATCCCCAATCATGCCAGTAGCATTCCCAACCAGCGGAATTGCCTGGTGACCGGCAAGATGGAAGTGAAGCAGCCCCATCAGTGTGACCATGTTTCCCAGGTGCAGACTGGACGCCGTCGGGTCAACACCGCAGTAGACTGCCACTGACGATTCGCTTACCCGCTTTGCTATGTCCTCGCTTGTCACAGCACTGACGAAGTGCCTCTCTCGTAGGGTATCGATCACGTTGGTATGAAGGCTGCGGCACACAAAAGGGATGTTCGACCCCAAGCGAGCTCGCTGAGTAACAAATCTGCGCAACATGCTCATTAAAGGTAAAATTGGAAATAATAGGAATTCAGGACAGCGCACGAATTGAAAATAAGCAATCGATGCATTGGGAAACAAGAATACTCGTAACAAAAAACACGAACCACACTCTGGACGAGCTTTGGCGATAACGAGGACCAGGCGCAAGTGGTCCTCGCTTATTCGGAAATATTAAAAAGCAATGGATAAAATCAAACAAGATCAATTAAAAAGGGGTGGAGCGCGCAAATTAAGTCTTTGCGATCACCACACACACAAATTCCATTCCATTATCGGATCGCAACCAGTTGGAAAAGAGAAAAAAATAGACAATAGAAAAAATTGTAATTTCGACCCTCCCGATTCAAACCGCCTTTTTCTCTCTTTGTTAGCTCTATATTTTCCTCTCTGTATTTACACTTCTTTCCAATTCAATCGGAATTATCTTTGGTTTAAATCCCTGGCATAACATCGATACGACAAAATAGAATGTTTGGTCTGCTTTCCACACGCCGCTTTACATTTGCGAGTTTGACGCACAGCACGATTGGCCGTGCCTTTGAGAGCACAGTGGCAGCAGCCTCAGAGCCAGCAGCCAGCACAGGTACACGATCGATCAAAATGAATGTCAAGGCCATTTGATGAGAAGAAAAGCTTGTGCACACATTTGTTTGCAATTCAAAACCAATTTCACACACATATTTATAATGATTTTGCCCCACCCTTGTAGCGGCGCCCCAGATGGTCAAGTACCCGTATTTTGTCCGCCGCACGCGCTTCCAGTCGCTGCCCGTGTACAGCAAAGTGAAGAACGGGGGGACCCGCAAGCTGACGATGATCCGGCGCATTGACGGTGACATCGAGGCTCTGCGCACCGACATCAACCAGATGCTCGGCAACATTTCAGTCAGCGTCAAGAAGGTTTCACAGCAGATCGTCATCGCGGGCGACTGCTCGCGAGACGTCCGGGAATGGCTCACCAAAAAGGGATTTTAGATAGAAGGTTATCTATACACTTTTTTGCGCAGCGTCGTCGACAAATAATAAATAAAGTCCAAATCTAGAAAATAATAATGATTTATCACAAAGCACAACGCCATTTCTCGTCCCCACCTCAACTGCATTGTTGCCAAGTGTGCACAGCCAATTAATTTAATGTGCATGTGTTATGTGCGCGTGTGTGAAAATAGTTTTTGGACTTCATTCACCTCAAACCGAATCGACTTTTATAAAACAAGCGGAAGCGTGTAGCTAAAAACTTAGAACTTGAGGGTGTGGGGGGCCTGGCTCTTGGACAGGGAGAAGGTGGAAGCAAGGTAGGAAGCAAGGTAGGGGACCTTGGCGACGATGGCGGCGACCTCCTTGTCAGCCTCCTTCTGGTCAGCGATTCTGTGGGCGGGGTGCTCCTTCTTCTGGGCGTTCTTGCCGAAGAACTCCTCCTCAGTACCCTTCAGCTTGGTCTCCTTCTCGCTCTTGAAGTAAGCGTCGTTGAACTTCTCGTCGACCTTGACACCCGAGATATCGACCTTGGTGGAGGTGGCGATAACGTAGGCGGGGTTGACGCGACGGAGGGGGACACCGTTGATCTTGAAGGGACCGGTGATCAGGAGCAGACCCGACGAGAGCTGCTTCAGGAGCACAACGCGCTTACCGCGGAAGCGACCGGCCAAGAGGATGAGGACGGTACCCGGGGTGAGCGACTTGCGGATAGTGGGAGTGCGGTTGGTCTTGCGGGTAGCCTTGGGGACAGCAGCGACGTTAGCGGGAACGAAGATGTTCTTCTTGTAGGTCAGGGCATCGACAAGGTCGTTCTGAGCGAAGGGCGACTTCTTCGACTTCTTGGCGGGAGCCGGGGCCGAAGCAGCAGCCTTGGGCTGAGCAGCGGTCTTGGCAATCTTGTACAAGCCACGCTTGGAAAACACCTTAGAGCGCGACAGGCGGCTGATACCGGGAGCCAGCTGGTTCTTGCGATCGGTCTTGACCATCTTTACTTGCTTATATCTAAAGAAGGAAAAATGTGTGCATAGAAGAGACATGCGTTGTGTTGAGGCAAGGAGATTAGTACAAAGTGTGCTTGGTCATGGTGTTGTATATACATGGCTAAAAAAGTGCAATTCAACGCTTGGCAGCGCAGCACAAAGACAGAGCAGCAAATCTCTGAACAATCCAGAAATTGCAGACAGAAACAACGGATAACGGCGTTCGTGGAAATCGGCGCAAAACTTCGGGTTGCCGCTGTGCTGAAACGTAAAGCAAAACGGCGGCGTCGGCATCTGTGTCTCCGGCGTATGCGTTGCGCACAAACAACGCAAAATAACCACCCGCAAACATCGCTCTAGAAGCATGTGCTAGCCAAGCTACTGCTGCTGCCACCGCCACCACTCGCTAATGGAAGACAAAGTGAATTCACAGCGCTGCAAGCTGCTTCGGTTGTCAAAACCTAGCCACTGCTCTGAGCAATAATCCCATTGCAGAAAACAACTGAGACACTCGTGCGCACAAACAAGCACGGCACAGCATACTGTTTACAAAATCCCTGGCGCCAAGCTGACAACAAGTAGGCCTCAATTTGTAGTTGTGCTGCTCACAAATCACTGCCCATGTCCCCCGCTTACCAAGCTAGACACAGAATAAAATAACCGTGCCTAGGTGGCGTCAGAAAAATAGTCTGCTCCTGGTGATAGCCTCACACGTAAATATTGTGTGCAGCTAAGAAATTCGAAATTCGAAATTCACTCCAAATTCAAATTTCCCGCGTAAGTCCACACACAACCGTTTGCCAATATTTCTGCCCCCAATCCTCAGCAAATTACTGCACATCCATCGACGTTTGTCCAACATCCTGCCGCATCCAATGCTGTCGCATCCATCACACCGCTGCCTCTGTCTGTCTAATACGCCTCTGCTGGTCTGTCGAATCTATAGTTGCTCCGCAACCTTTTCAGCTACTATAAATGATACTCACGGATTGAATCCTTGTACAAATGTTGATGCGAGGAAAAAAGAGTGAGCCTAATGTGACATGGCTGTAAAGTGCCATTTTGCTTAAAGTACTGTCTACACGCTTGTGCTCGCTAAGAGTGCAATAAATCATTCGGCTCACTATGACAAAGTCGGCTCGCAATTGTGTGTGCAGTGTGATCAGAGTTGCCAAAGTGAGCCGATTTGCGGTTTTATATTTTTGTATGTGACTGCAGTCGCGAATTTTCGATTTTTGAAACTCGACTGGCGCCAAGCTGCCCCTTCGCTGTTTGGCCAGGATGTTTGTTTCGAAGCAAGCCCGTCGTCTGCTTTTGTCTTTTGCCGAGTGTTTTCTATATGACTGCACGCAATGAGTGCACACTAACGTATTTGGTTGATTTTTATTAGTTCTATTAATGTTCACTGCTGCCACACGCTGCAAATGCGACCCTAACGTGTGTTATAAAATAAACAGCGGATGTTGCCTAGCATTAGAACCACATATTTTGTATTGGCTGCCACAAAAAATATAGCTGAGCAGAGTCAAGGTTCACTATCTAGCAAGATATTGCAAATCGAGGGCCTTGAATGACACATGTGTGTAATTTATCCGGAGCCGTCAAGCAAACCATTCCATTGTTGGTCCCAGGCAATTGGGCGTGCCTGGCGTTTGTCGCTGGCGATTCCCAGAAATGGTTGGCACTGATTAATTGCTCTTAATCTGTTATAATCAACTGATTGGCATTAAATGGACATCCTTTCTAAGCTTTTTTTCGTCTTTTTGCCCCAGCCAGATATTAGCGCATAAAGTACGTGAAAGAAAAAATTGCAAAAATCCTCCCGCGCCCAAAAAGCAAATTGCTGAGAGACGAATTCAAAAGCGATTTGGCAGTAGTGGAAGAACCTGAAAAGAGTGACTTTGAAAGCATTCTAATCCTTTTCGCCTCTTGTTTTTTCTTTCATTTTGGCATCACTTTCTTTCACTTTCACTTTTGATTCTGCCTGCAATCTTTATTGCTCATCTACTTTTCAAATCTCGGTATTACGTGCGGTCGAGGACGTGCCAGATTTACTCAGCACTTTTCAACTCTATCAAGAAAGTTCAAAAATAAAAAAGAAGCATCCCAGATTAATAATGGCCGAGTACGATTTGACGCTGCGCATGATTTCATCGCTGGACCGCCAGTTGGTGTTTCCTCTGCTCGAGTTTGTCTCAATGAAGCAGGTGTACAAGGGCGAGGACATGTTGAAGGCCAAGTTTGAGCTGCTGTCTAATACTAACATGGTCGACTTTACCGGCGAGCTGTACAAGGATATTCATGATACTGATGAACTGCCCGCCGAGTTTGCAGAGAGGCGCGCGGAGGTTATCAAGAAGCTTGACGAGAGCGAGCAGAAGACCGTGCATATCCGCGAGGTCATCGAGAACCCCGAGGTCGCTGGCGCGCTGCGCCAGGATAAGTTGCAGAACATGAAGCTTCTGCGCGATAACTATCAGTGCACGCCCGAGATGGTTCTCGAGCTGTACAACTTTGGCCAGCTGCAGTACAGCTGCGGTAACTATGGCGCGTCTGCCGATATGCTTTTCCATTTCAGCATCCTGTCGACAGACGCCGAGCTCACCCTGTCAGCCATGTGGGGCAAGCTTGCTTCGGAGATTCTGCTTGGTAACTGGGAGGTTGCCTACGAGGACATGGGCAAGCTGCGGGACACCATTGACAAGGCTCATTTCAAGACTCCGACTGAGCAGCTCCAGCAGCGCTCGTGGCTGCTGCACTGGTCCCTGTTTGTCTTCTTCAACCATCCCAAGGGCCGTGACGGTATTGTCGACACATTCCTGCTCCCCCAGTACATCAGCACCATTCAGAACGCGTGCCCCTGGATTCTGCGTTATCTGACTGCCGCCGTCGTCACCAACCGCAGAAGGCGCAACATGATGCAGGACCTGGTCAAGATTATCGAGCAGGTTTCGTACACCTACCGCGACCCTGTCACCGAGTTTGTCGAGGCCCTCTACGTTGACTTTGACTTTGACAGAGCTGCCTCCAAGCTCGAGCAGTGCGAGAGCGTCCTGGAGCGGGACTTCTTCCTCACCGGCGCTGTTGACGACTTTGTTGAGAACGCTCGCTTCTTTTTTGCCGAAGTGTACTGCCGCATCCACAAGCGCATTGATATGGCTGGCCTGGCCAAGAGGCTCAACATGAAGCAGGAGGAGGGTGAGAAGTGGATCGTCAAGCTCATCCGTGACACTCGCATGGACGCAAAGATCGACTTCAAGGACAACACGGTCATCATGAACCCGTCCTACAACCCGATCTACCAGCAGGTCATCGAGCGCACCAAGGCGCTGGTCTTCCGGTCGCAGGTTCTTAACGGCGCCATTGACAAGCGCGGCAGCTCGGCTGCCAAGAAGGATGACCAGAAGGACGACCAGAAGCAGGATCAGAAGCCGCGCAACAACAACAGCAACAACAACACTAAGCAACAGCAAAAGACTGGAAGGCGGCAGCCCGAGACTGCTGCCGTTGGCGGTGCCCAGTAAGCGCTCGTTTTACTAGCAGCCGCACTGTCAGTATCAGCAAAGCCTCGCTCCAATTTCTTCTCCTGTTTTTGTTGCCACAGGATTAAAAAACATTCTCGTAAAGAGTGACGGACGGTGCCTTGAACTGCCCTCAGCATTAGCAGGTGTGCCCAATTGCCCATTTATCTTCCCTTTAGCTTTTTTTAGTTTATTACTTCTGTTGCTAGTCACAGATCTCTTCATTTCTTACAAAACACGACATTGTTCGCCATGTCTATATTTTCCAGTGAACGTTATTTTTCTTACTGGTGTTACGGACAAAGCGAGCATGTGTTCAATTGTAATTGTTTTCTAAATATTGGTCTCCTAAAATCTACAACTGAGACTATATTCGCCTTGCGCACCAGCTGCTGTGGCTAGTGTTTTTACTCGCCACGCGCATAGTCACCAGCAGCCAGCCGCTGTGCCAGCCTGTCCTTCACCATGACGCAGACCATCCGGAGATCGTCCACACCCTTGTTCATGGCATCAATGGCATTCGTGCGCTCTGTGGTCTGAATGCGCACGTTGGTCTTGGCCTCCGACGGGTGAGGAATGGAGTAGCCGCAAAAGTCAACCTCGGGGTTCTGCATGATAGTCCACCGCAGGGCGTTGCCCAGTGTGTGGTCCTCCTCCTTGATCGAGAATGTGACTGATGTCAAGTCCGAGCTGGCTCCCGGGAGAATCTCGAATTTGTTCTCAGGCACATCAAGCAGCGCAATGTACGTGTTCAGCGATGTTTCTTGCGTGGTGTCCATGGTAGAGGGAATGCGTGTGAATGTGACTGGAATGCGAGCGTAATTTATACTATTCGTGAAAAAAGAAACTTGAATTGAAAATGAAGTAAAAGCCAAAACCGAAGCGAAGGCCAAACTTGTCGAAGAAAAATACTTTGAATAAAACTGCCAAATAAAATTTGGCGCAACAATTTTTAGTTGATCAAATCGCGTTTGATCACAGAAGCGGGCCACAAATTGGCAATACCTGTTTTATTTTTGCATTTTCTTTGCTTATTTTCGCTTCAAACCAGCCAGCCTGTTCGTTATTTTCCCCTTAAATTTTACATATTAGGTGTTTTGTTTAATGTGTTTAAAATTTTATTTACAAGTGAACAAAAACATAACTATTGGTGCAAAGTATTCTATAGGAGTGGCGTCGCTTGACGCCAGATCTTGATACACAAAACTAACCTACCTATTGTCAGCAAGAACATAAATAACAAGAGTTCGGAGGGCGTATTAGTAGATTGGCATATTTATACATTTGCTGTGACAAAACAAAATCGTTGCGTTGAAAATATATGAATGGTCAGTCAAGAGAGTATCAACATTGCAAGACCCTTGAGAGGAACTGCATCGGAGTTAGCATAAAAATTGTTAGTCATCAGCCCACGAGTAAGCCATATATTGTTCAATAATTAAAAAAAAACTAATAAAACAATACTTTACCTTGTCATCTCCCATGCAAAGCATTTCCATCTTGTTCTCAACGCTGGTTGAGGATGCAAGCAATATCGGTCTATTAAAGCAATATAAAAAGTAAAGAACAATAAATAATTAGTTCTTGCTCTCAAATGCTGAAATTGTGCTATGCCACATATAATTATTTGTGCAATTGAGGTGTCAGGGGTTATGTTTGGCAAAACTGCTTATAGTATCGACATTGACCATTTTCTCCGCCTGGGGCGACAAGCTATCATCATTCACCGCAAAGTGCAACATTTACAGGTTCGTGTTGTTAACCAAAATAGATACGTACACTGCTAACCGGCCGAATGCAAATTAAAATAATTAATATATTTACAAGACAATTGAAATTATAATGAAGAGAACCTTGGTCGGTAGCTCCGTCTGCGCAAACTTTGCTTTTATACGATTCCAGATCAGCTGTGTTGTGCTTTGGTTGGGATAACGAAAAACGATAATGAAACGCGTTGGGAAAATTTTTCTCCATTTTTTATGATTGTGCGTGATACAGCTTGATCTGCGCGCGATATCGAATTAAGACAATGTAAGCCGAGCCGGTGCGGAGCTGATCGGGTTGTGATATAATTACTCATTTCAAAGTGTGGCGCTAGTCAAGGATACTCTGTCATCTACTTGCAAGTGTGCACGATATGACTCGCAATATATATTTTCCCCATTAATATCAAATTTCAGGCATTTAAATTCAAAAATGAGCTTTGTCGACGAACACTACAACAGCCTGCTTAGGGCCCTGGTCGCAAATTCGCAAACCCTGCACGCGCACACAACTGAGGGTGGTGATCGGGCGGAGAGCTCTCAGAGCAGTGATGATGGCGGGTACAGCGCCAAAAACAGGCTTTCCGAGCGTGCGTTTGATCTGTCTACTCAGCTCTTGACCGTATCGAACGGTGGTCGGCAGCCGACAGCCTCGCCGGAATCCAGCAGCCTGACCATTGGCAGCTCCCACAACACCAGCCGTGCTATCAATCAGCAACAGGCGAGCTCAATCGGTACCAACTTTGCCGTTCCATCCCTGATTTCGGTCATCAGCGACTTGCAACTTGTTCGTGAGGCCCGTTCGGAACATTATTCGAGCAGAGTAGAGGAAAGCCTGGAGTTTGCGACGAACTTGGTGCTGTTAAACTCGGTATCGGCGATTCACGCTCGGGCCATAGAGCAGCTCTTGGATGCTGTACTCCCACTTTCTGTGGACATGGACTATTGGAACGCTCAGGACGGCAGCGCTATCTCGCTTGCGCTGTATTTTATGCAGTCACTTCCTTGGCGAGTTTACAGCTGGTATGTTCAGTCGGCAACCGCAATTTTCGAGTGTGCCAACAACCCGACCACAGATAAGGCGCGGCTCCTGGATGTCATTAGAAAAACAGTGTCTGTCAGATTGCTGTTTCCGGATGCGGAGATTTCTGCTGGCGAAGGAGAGAGTGATGACCGCTGTGACGACGTATGGACATCGTCACCGCTGCTGAAAATACCCCATTCGGTTAACATTCTCAGCCTGACTCGCCGCGAAATCCGCCACAAGCAGAAACAACTGGGCAATGCCCAAGAGAGGATAGCTACTAGAATAGGCATGCTCTCGCAGTCGATCGCTGCCGGTGCTGAAACTACAGACGGCAGTCCAGTCACGCCTGAGAAAATGCTTAGGCAGGTGGTCTGTATACTCAGCGATCTCAGCCAGGACACAAAGACGTTTAGCACTGATGCCGCGGCAGCAGCCTTGGACATTACACAACTGATTCAACTGGCTGAAGGCCTAGCATCTCAGGTTCAAAATATCTCAACACAGTTCACTCGCCAAGTCCAAGGCTACCGCTGCCCGTGTCTGCTGGCACGCAGCTGGATGCCAGTGCTGGCCTTGGCCGTCGGCGCTAGATATCTGTCATCCTACGTGGCTGGGCATCGCGACGATTTCAAGGAGTGGCTAGCCGATGGTGTGGTTACTATGCGCAACTATGTGTCGCAGTTTATCCTTGCTCCTCTGCGCAGCGCGTACGAGACCATCCGCTACGGCAAGCACACATACAGCGTCATGACTGAGGAGTCACTGATGTCGGACTTTAAGTCGCTTGAGAGCATGGTCGTTGGATTTGCCGGTCGCTTTGGCAATGTTGATCCCGCTGAGGTGAGCCGGCGCGTTGAGAGCGGCGATCTTTCCGACGTGATGCGGATCTACACGCGCGAGATGCAAAAGCCATTCAAGAACGCGGTTTTTGGAGACCTCGTCGAGGCTATGCTCATCCAGGTCCAGAAAGTCAAGGTGGACGTGGGGCAGACTATGGCTGCGCTTGACAAGCTGCTCAAGTCCAACGAGTTGAATTTTTTGCTTCTCTCCACGGTACCAGCGACCTTGAGCATCTATGCAGCTGCCAACTGGATCTCGGCGAAGCTGTCGTGGTGGGTCAGCGGAAGCAGCCGGTACACAGTCTCGTCCATTCAGGCCACCATGCGTGACATTGACCGTCTGCTCAACTCTGAGATCAGCGAGGCCAAAGGCCATGCGGACACCAGACTCCCAGCGACTACACAGGGCCTTCTAATCTGCCACACCCACTACCTCCGGCACCACGCGATGCTGCTGCCGAACAGCACATCCGTCGGACGGCTCAGAACAGGTGCCGGATGGTTCCAGACGCTGCCGCACACCAGATCTATGTTCCTTCAGGACATTGTAGACATCGAAAGGGCATCGTTTACGAGCGTGCAAAAGCGCAATGTGATAGATAGAATGTACAGAACATTCCGCTTTTTGTAAATCATTATTGCATTAGCCTTTTGTGACTTGAATTGGATATGTTTATATTGAATCGAGAAAACTGTAGGATACTGCAAATTATCATTCACGCTTAAATACATACATATATAAACTGCAAGCTTGTAATTAATATTTTATTTATATACTTATTCGACAGAGCCAATATTTTTGTCGTTGTTGATGGTCATTTGCTTATTTGTGTTTTGTCGTGCGCACAATCGTCTACGCCACTATTTGGGAATTGTGCGCTGGTATTTGAACAATGTCATAATTTTATGTAAACAGCCACTTTTTGTGTTGCGAGAGGAAATTGTAGTACTCAGGAGCAGTTATGCTACCCGCTAAACGAGAGCAGTGATAGCATTGACGCGGCACTACTCCCTACCTTTTTACTTCCCAGCTATCCATTTGCATTTGCTGAATTTTGTAACCTCAATACACCCTTACAACCATTACCCGCTGTTTTACTGTTGCTTAACTCATTTTGCACGCCTTTTTACACCACCTTTTTACACTCTATCGACAGACAACCAGCCATGTCGGTGTTTCACAAGAACGAACACGACGAAATGGCATTAATTCACACCGCTCATGATTCTGACTACATGCGCGTTATGGACAAGTTGGGCAGCGGTGGCGGCAGCAGCAAACTGCGCCTATGGCAACTTCCTTTGCTTGTGCAGGTCCCAAAGCCCGTAGCAGTAGCCGCTCTGCTTGTTGTTTGCACCGTGTCGTATCTGATGGCTTTACAGGGCGGTGACCTCGTGTACATTAATGAGCATCTGGGTGTTATTGGGGCTGAGTTACTAGTGTCTGTTTTGTCGCTGACAACTGTGACCATCATGCTATATGCGTGCAGGATGCGCAATAGCACGCGCAGAACTGTTGTTATTTTAATGCTTGCAATACTTGCGGCGCTATACCTTTACGACCACGGGGAGCGTTTTGAACACCATGGCCTCTATAACCTGCTCGTGTTCATGGCCATATACATCCCGCTGAACTTGGCGATTGCCGTTCTCTACACACTGTGGTGCAATATCAAGCACTTCCCCGTGTACTTTGCCATAGCACTTGTCATCAGCGGAATGTTGGCTGGGGTTTCGCTGCTTCATTACCGTAAGATATTTGACCAGGGTACGCTCGGTAGTTTTGATTATATTCCTGGCGAGTGTCAATGGGCTGGCCGAAACATCCCAGTTGTCGATCTTTTGCCCGCCAAAACGCAAAACTTCTGGGCCGGGTCGATGTCGTGTAAGGCTGAGCCAATTTCAATCAAGGCAACGATAGACCCGCAGGGCATTCTACATGTAAATTGCGGCGAGCACGACGTCAGAGCGCATATCGATATTCTGCCCGACACTCGCGATTGGGCTCTGCGCAACAAGGACATGTGGAAAGTGTACAACCACATGGTGCTCAAAGAAACAGTACGCCTACCGTACATCAGAGACAGCCCATTTGTGCTCAACGAAACGACACAGGCTGTTGTTGTGAACTGCGGCAAGAGCAGTACAATTGTCACGCGCGTCAGCCCCCCAGTCCACAAGTTGCCCATTTATGTGCCTCCGCCAGACAGTGATACTCGTGTTAACTACACAACCAAAAAAACGGTGTCAACAGAACATTTCAACGCTGCAGGCAACTTGGATGTGCAAACCACTCGCCCAAATGTCATATTTCTAATGCTTGACGCGGTGTCCCACCGCCAGTTCTACCGCCGCCTGCCCAAATCGGCCCAAGTTTTAAAATCGATTCATCGTCCAGGAACCAACCGGCTCTACGAGTTGTATCGGTACCACTCAGTAGGATTCAGCACGGATAACAACACCAGGGCAATGTATACGGGAGAGGTAATTTCCACTAGGCCCAATCCGCTGCCGATATGGGCGTACTTCCGGGACCGCGGCTACGTAACGGCCCGTGTGGAGACTGGCTGCGATGACTGGGCCAGGGAGTATATTGGCGACAAGTTTTTATCAGACACATACTCTGTGGGGAATCGCAGCTTGGATTACGAGCTGGCATCGCCGTTTTGTCTTCCCGATTACTATCCCAATGTTGGCAATCCATTTGGAAACTTCAAAGGGCCGTATTCGATTACCGCGCGGTGCTTATACGGCCGCTATGTGCACGATTGGGCACTTGATTACCTGGGCCAGCTCAGGCGAGAGTTCCGCTCAACCCCGACATTGAAAAATAAGCAAGGGAAACGGCGCCCCTATATGCTGACAGCCACTTTTTTGGAGGGCCACGAGGGCACAGGGGAAGTCCTGGGCACCCTGGACAACTCCTTGTCCTCATTCCTCGAAGACATCAGGGATTCAGGCGAGCTGGAGGACACCCTTTTAATTATTGGCGCGGATCACGGGCTGCACATGGGTATAAATTTTGCATACACCCAAAACGGACGCATCGAGCACCAGAATCCCTTCATGACTATGTCTGTTCCCGAGTGGCTGTACCAGTTTGCCGAAAAATATCAGCACAATTATGCTTCTGAAAATGTTTCTCCGTTTAGTGCCAACGAGCAGCGTTTGACTACACCGTTCGAAATACACCACACGTTCCGAGTCATGGCGGATTGGCCACAGTTTAATATTGACAGCTGGAAACGCTCTTTGTTTGCTGCGCAGCAACCTGGAAGAACGTGCAAAGACGCTGGGATTGGCGAAAGCTTTTGCATGTGTAGACATTGATGCTGTTATTATTTGTCTTTATATTTTATTGAATTTCGATGAAATACTTTTTTATTGTCGTAATGCCTTTAAGTTTAGTGATCCAAACCAGAGAAGGGTTATGCCTACTGATAGTATTTCTGCAAACAATATAAACTTGTTTGTTGTGTTGCCAACAAATGAACGAATAAAGGATTGAAGGAATAAACAACTGATTTACAATGATGTGTTGTAAATCTATTTATCGTATACAAAGTTTTAATGAGTTAGTGCTGTTATATAATTTCACAATAAAGTGGCGGATGAACAAACCAAACACACGACAATGTGATACTAGAGAAACTTGTCGGGCACATGTGTATGGTTGGTAGACCAACCGATACAGAATGGAAAGCGGTTGGTGGCAGAACATTGAAATGTTGAAATGTTGTGTTGCGCGTTGCCATTCAAGGCAATCAACAAGGTAATATTATGAAGTTAAAATTTCCAATTGCTTTTTTTATAAAATACAATCATTTACACATCAAATTGCTGCGGTTGTTGAATAATTATCTTCTGGTGCATACAGGTATAACTAAAATACCAACAATGACACAAAGCCCATCTGTATTGTCAACACTCAACCTTGTAGTATATTCTTTTTGCAAATATTGCAATGGGGGTATTGTAATGTATTTTGTTTGTTCAAACTATATTAAATGTATGCGCCTTAGGTTTTTAACATAATTTTTAATTTTTGGCTAAATTCACACAAGAAAAGGTTCAGTTTAGTATAAAAATACAAGCTAGCGGCTGTGTGCAGTGTTTCATTATTGCTTTTATATATTTTTTATTATGCGTTGTTTGCTTTTTTCTTGTTTTACATTTATTTTTTCTTAATATTAATGTCTGCCACTATTTTATTCGCGTCAAGCATAGAGCTTGCACCCAAACTCGACAAACTTTCACAAAGCTTGATTACGAATCTCAACATCACCTCAACAGTGGTGGCCATTCTTACTCTTGCGCTGGCAGCATGGTGTCGCCTTTTACGATGTTCCTCTCACATGGACGAAGTGCGATGCCGGGTGATAATGGCTCTCTCCTTGTCAACCTCATTATATTCCATCAGCCAACTCGCACTCTCTGGGAAATCCCCTGAAATCCGTAATCTCATTGGCATCCGCACTTTTATATTCATCTCTACGTTCAGTCTGGTGTTGAATGGACTTTTGATCAGTTTCGCAATCGGGCTTGACACAGCCATACGGTACGGTCTGCGCAACTTTAAGACGGCCAAGAGAATGAGCGACTATTACGAGATTAGCTGCTTTGTGCTCGCTTTGGTTGTCAGTCAGCCGATGCTTTACATATTTCGCGGATTCTTGTGGACCGGATCCGCCGTGGTCATGAAGTCTTCAATGTTGGCCATGGCCGGCAGAGTTGAGTTTGATGTAGTTGTGTGGATGTTCGAATCGGCGTGGATCGCCGTGGCTATGGTGTTTTCGAGTGGTTTTATTGGATTTGCGCTGGTCAAAACGAACAAAATAGCCAACTGTCTAGAAAATGGCTCCACCACATCTTTAGGATCTATATTGGGCACTGTTACTAGTGTCCAGAGCCGTGTTGGGGTGTCCGCCTGCTACGTAATGTCGTTCATGTGTCTGTTAGTATGGAGGCCGGTGTTCCGCATAATTGGATCACAGTCACCCTCGCTTCTCCGCATATTATCTGTCTGTGAATCGCTCCAGGCGTTTTTCGTTCTCCTCATATTTATTATGGACTACCTGATAAATATCAGAAGGCCATCGATTGAATGGCTCGATTCATCGGGAAACTCGATAGAAAGTGGTTCCTATCCAGCAGGGCAGTCGTTGACGACATTTGAATGGGACAAGAGCTTTACAACGTGGCGAAACCCCGGGTTTGTAGAATGGTATAAAAGTGGGAGTACAGTCAACGGTAGACAAAATAAGGGGCTGCGGGGATTGCCGACCACGCGTGACATTAGGCTGTGGATGGATGAGATGAAGACGTGCCGAATTCAGTCTGACTTACATTACTACGATGATAACAGCTACAATGTTTCTAATACTTCGTTTGAGCGAGTATCCGAACAAGACTCGCAACCAATGGTGATGTATCCGCTGAACAACTAGCCTTTATAAATCTATGAATATATTGTTCCTGAAATTTATTTTGATTGTCGACGATGTGCTGCCTCTGCGATAAATCGAAGCAATTGTGAATATTCTTACCAAATATTTAAAATGGCACGTGAGTTGAAAAATTAGGCTCGATTCGTTTGTCACTGACTCGGCTCGGATCAAGCCGCTAGATCGCGGGTCCAACAAAAAAAATTTTTTGCCAATTTTTTTCTTTTCACGGTTAGTATGCAAAAAAAAGTCATCGTAAATGCAGTGATAGAAAAAAGTTGGCAGTGGAATATGCTTGAAGAGACGAATTTGTATTCCAATTCAGTGGTCTGAAAGTGTAAAAAAAAGTAGCACTTTGGACTCTCTCTCACTTCTACTTCCTGACTATATATTTTGTGATCTATATTATTGTTGTATATTAACAAAGCTATCCACTTTTCTTTTCTAATTTCTTTTCTCTTTCTAGAAAAAGCACCAGACTTTTTTTAGTAAAACAAAAATAACGAGGCGGTTTTGAAATCGTGTCCATAGAAGGAGCAAATATATAAAATAACAATGTCGCGAGGCGGATTCGGTGGACGTGGCGGAGGAGGTTTCGGCGGAGGCCGTGGTGGTGGAGGACGCGGAGGAAGCCGCGGCGGATTTGGCGGTGGCCATGCCTCGTACGGACCCCCCGACACAGTGTCCGAGCTCGGCACCTACATGCATGCGTGCGAGGGCGAGATGGTTTGCAAATCGACAAGCGACAAGGTGCCGTACTTCAACGCACCGATCTTCCTCGAGAACAAGACGCAGATCGGCAAGGTTGACGAGATCCTGGGCCCCATCAACGAGGTCTACTTCACCGTGAAGCTTCAGGACGGTGTTGTTGCTGACTCGTTCAAGGCCAGCGACCGCGTGTTTATTGCGCCCGACAGACTGCTGCCCCTGGAGCGCTTCCTGCCCAAGCCCAAGTCTGCTGGCGGTGTGAAGAAGCGCGGTGGTGCTGCTCCTGGCGGCCGTGGCGCTGCTCGCGGCGGCTTTGGTGGTCGCGGTGGTAGCCGTGGTGGCTTCGGCGACCGTGGTGGTCGTGGCGGTGCTCGTGGCGGCTTTGGTGGCCGCGGCGGAGGCCGTGGTGGATTCAGCGACCGTGGCGGCCGCGGTGGGTTCGGCGGAAGCCGTGGTGGGTTTGGCGGAGGCCGCGGTGCTCCCCGTGGTGGCAGCAGCTTCAGCGGCGGCCGTGGTCGTGGTGGATACTAAGCTGTCGCAACCAGCATTTCCTCATTCCCCTTCATATTTCCAGCTTGCTATAATGGACGTTGTTTCTCTTTTCTTTCACTTTTTTACATACTTTTTTTTAAAAAAAATCACACCCACTTATTTTGTCTTTTTGGACTCCTTCAGCCCATTGACCTCAAGAACATGGTCAGGGCTCTCGCAGACAAACTCAGCACTCTTTTCTGAGTTGATCAGCACCAGCCCGGCGGCAATCAACGATGCGCCCCACCACCACTGCATCGACAGCACGTCGCCAAACAGATACACGCCACAGAGGGCAGTCATGGCAAAGTTGCTCGCAGTCTGGAGCATCATCACCCGGGGTGTGGAGTCGCCGTACCGCAGGGCCTTTGTGAAGAACAGCCACATGAAAAAGTTGCTCAGCCCTATGCTTCCCAGCATTACTGCGCGCGAGATCAATGAGAGGAGGTGCGCATTGGTTGATGTTGACGGCATCAGTTGGTGGATGAGCATGGTCAGGGCGCCCGGCTGTTGGTTGACCGCTAACTTGGCACTGACGCTGCTGAGCGACGCAAAGACTCCGCCGAATATCGCAAAGAAGCTGGAGGGCGACGGGAGGTATGCGTGTTCAGCCGGGTTGTTCCTGTTGGGAAACTGCTTGTCCAAGCGGTCAGGCTGAATTTCAGGCATTTGAAAAAAGAGGAATAAATGTTTGTAAAAATGTTGTATAAAGGTATTTGGAGAAGCGAGGCTGACAGCGAGATAAAAATAACATTGGAAAATACAATGGTTTCAGTGTCGATTCTGCTGCTGTTGTTTTTTATTGCATTGATTTGCCTTGTCAACAAAGCAATAGAAAAATTGCAGCATGACAACACAATGTGGGAAGATTTCTTTTGGACTTTACCCAAAACAAAAGTTGGCTTTACAGTCCATTTGTATGGCACGTCGATACAGGTGGGAATTATGACATTGAAAAACACGAAGGAAAAGAATATGAGTTTGCAGAAGCCGAACATAGATATTCAGAGCTGCTGTGAACGAATTGATGTTTAGACGACGACAGATGCAATCGCAGTCACCATTTCATCCAATGGGCGCGCAGCCGAGTGCGACACGCCGGTGCCGTTTGCCGTGAGCAAGCTGTCACCATCGGCGTCCAGCTTTGCCTCGTCGCTCTCGTCGTCCTCGTCCTCTTCCAAAATGCTGTCGAAACGGGAGGTTGGGTGTGCTGCGGGCGTCAAGGGCGTCTGCATGACATCCGCCTTGACTGCCTCAACCTCAGCCTCAGCCTCAGCCTCAGTCCCAAAGTGCACCTCAGCTTCGGTCTTTGCAATTGCAGTCTGCTGTGTGACTACTGCTTTTTCCTGTTTTGGCTTGTAGAAGGAGCGCATCGATGAGATCATCTCCTGGAGCTTCTGCATCGCCAAGCTCTCTCCAAATTCCTCGGTCTCAGCACCCCTCAGCCCATCGCCAGTAACAGGCGTGACTGTTCCATTGCCCGACACATCCCTTGCTGCGCCCTTGGAGTAATCTACTGTCTTTGGCTTTTGGAACATAATAGTCGGAATGCGAATCGAATGGTCGGGGTCGACCGCCAAGCCGACGTTGGAAACGGACGCCCGACGCGTGGCAAAGTACCCGCCATTGGCATACGTGTTTGTCTGCGTGCTACCCCCGGAACTTGCGCGCGAAAGCTGAGGCAGATGGGGCGCCATGACGTTGCCCGGCCGTGACTGCGACATGGAGATGCGCAGTCCTGTCATGCTCGTGTGAGTGGACACCGTTTGGCTGCGTACACGCGAGTTTACAGCCCCGTCAACAGGTGCCGATTGCGGAACCATCTGCTTGTATGCCGACGGACTGATCGAAGAAAGCCTGCGCGGAGGCTGCTGATTCTGCTGCTGGTACTGCTGGTGCTGGTGCTGATAATTTTTCTGGTTCTGTGGCGAGAACGACCTGGCCGAGGAGCGCAGCTGTGTGGATGTAAACGATCTCTGGCGGAACTCTGGCGGCGCGGCGTGCTGCGGGGACTGACTCGGCGTAATCGCGGTCCTTCCTCCAACATTATATACAGCCGATACGCCGGACTGGGCCGGCGACATTGGCGAGTTCAGGGTCAGGCCAAGCCCCATATCATCGCCACAAGGAACAGGGAACCGCGCCCGGCTGCCAAACTGCCCAGTTGATGAGCGGCGCTCAGAGTGCGGTGCAAACCGAGGCGCTGATGCACCACTCATGCGATGATCGTTCTCGGGCATCTGCGAATTAAACATAACCCGCGCACGCCCATTTTCGCCCTGAACTATCACTGCCATGCCCAGTGGAGCGGCGGCCACCGGCATTGTGTTTTTCGGAGTGTCTGGCTGCACCGAGCCCACTGAACTACACTTCCCAAGATCATTCGCAGTAGCCTCAGTTGCACTTGCGGATGTTCCCACAGTAGTGCGACGACGGGGAGCGTTCTTTCCCCTGTTCTTGGGCTCGGCCTGAGCATTGCCAGGCGTCCTGGGGTTATTCTGGTGAGCGGGCTTAGATGATCCATTAATACTCACACTTGACTGAGCCATATTGTCTTGTGAAAAGCTTTCGGGCTCTTTGCCAGAAACAGCCACTGCCATAACACCCTTCACTGGTGTGTTTTCGTTGTTTGTCTCTTTTCTGGTGTTGCCAGTTTTGCGTCCGCTAGCCTCCTTTTGCTTCTTATTGTTGCGTGACTTTGGTTTCCACCCTTGCTTATATGCCCTTGAAGGCGAGGCTGCTCCCCTGTCACTTCCTTGGCCGAGGGTGATGGACGACGAGGGTCTACCAGGCGAGCCATTGCTTGGAGCGGGCGATGCTGACCGGGAGTTGGCCGCGCTGAGAAGTATCGGGAACTGCTTTGCTTGCTCCATCTGTACTATGGTTGGAGCTTAGAAAGATATTGAAGCGAGGTAGTGGAGGCTGCTGCTTGTGTCGGTAAGTGAATGGGTGTGCGTGTGTGCGAATATGTAAGTGCTTGTGTACAGAGAAAGTGTATGAATAAAGAAAAATATATGTCAAGTGGCTCGAGTATAAAAAGGTTGCTATTTGATGGTTAAGATGGGCGAAGTGGAAGAAGATGGGCGTTAAAGGGTCAATAATAATAAAAGGGGTGAACAAAGATTATTAGGTGAAAAAAGGAGTGGTGAACACGGAAAGAAACGAGAGCTAAAAAAAATGGTGGATGTTGGTCTTTTGAAGTATTTATCAGACCGCTTTGTATTTTTGTTTTGTTTTTCCAAGAAAAATATACAAAATGGTGGGGACTAGGGGATGAGGGGATAGTATCAAAAAAGGAACAGCTGAAAATTTTAAATAAAGAGGCTTGACACAATGTGAGCATGCATTGCTGGCACAATCCAGTCTAAACTCAGCTGGCTGGTGCCCGGGTGGAAAGAGAAAAAGAAAACATAAAAGTTGCGGCAAAATTTTTATTTTTATTTTTTCTGTGCGGCTCCCGGCTTGTAAAGAAAGTGTAAATCCCAAATACACTACTTGTGTCTCATTCTGGTTGGGCAGCGTTGAAAATGGTTTGCATAAAAATGGTAAATCCAAAAATCAATAATCGATGTGCAGCAAAAGACCGCCTTTCAAAAATAGACATTAAACATACATTTATGTTTATTCGCTAGGTGGAAGATTTAGTAGTCGGGATTATCAACATCGAAACATATCCTCTGTCTAAAAATAACAAATGAAAATGAAATGTACTTGATTTATTCTTCACATACATGGCGTTTGTGTAACAGCGATAACGTAACTCGTTGTTTTTTCTAGCGTGATGCTGTAAGAATTTACAGCTTGCTCTTAAAAATATGTTGCTCATGTTTGAATATACGCGCTACATTTATATCTTTTTTAAATAAAGCCAGACATCCTTTTGTTGCCAAAACATATCAATGCAGTATTATTATATTACAAATGAAGCTGGGTGTAAATATCGTACCAATATTTCTACGAATAGCAATATGTAACAAGACTCTTCTGAAATGCATATACATACACTGATGATGCTCTGGAGTTTTATACAATATTAATTTAAATTACGTTTGATGACAACGTTAACGAGCATGTCACCCGTAAAAAAGGCTGAGGTGTGGTCATATCCCCCCAATCAAAATACGTGGTTATGTTTCACAACCTCTAATTTGACTGATCAAAAGGATGTTGAAAATATTGTCGTTGCGCGTGTATCTTGGATTTTTGCGCGAGATGGTATTTTATGGAAGCATTATTGCATGATACGACCAGGAATGTCTATAAAATCTTTAGTTTTTTTACTTGTTTTATATCTCGCTCAATGGATATATTTTCTCTCTATCAGCAATCTCTACAAAAAAACTATAAATTCGGGTTTTTAGAATAATCGAGTATTATCCTGCATGGTATTTTAAATATGCCATATGGATCTGCAAATACTTTGCTCTTTTTTCGATAGCACAGTCTGCTAGCCATATATGGCAATTAGCTTGTAATTATTTGGACTTTCAATTTCAATTAGCTGTTATCGACTTTTTCAACAAAGCAACTTGGCTTTTTGGCATATTATCGCTTAGATTACTCCAGGCAGGGTTTGGTAACAGCAGTATGTTTCGATAGCTTCGGCGGTGTTGGTGCGTGGGGAAAAGGTATGATTTGCCACGCTTATCAGTGTTTCTTTGCCTTTCTTTGCCGTGCAGTTTGGGATTTCAGAATAAATCCAATTTGTTGTGAATATGAGCTAGAGACCACGAAATAAGCTAATGTTTTTAAATAATTGGAAAACAAATGTCCTGGTCATGAGCGCCTTGCAAAAAATGCATACAGCCAGAGTGATTTGGCGAGATCCTTATAGCGCGTGCCCCAAACAGGAACCAAAGACCACTCGCATTTCACCCGCAAGCCACAGTGCGTGTTTGCGTTTAAAATCTTTGGCCAGTAACCGCAAGCCATGGAGATAATTGTTTACTCGAGAGTTAAGCCACCAGTAACACGTGGGCTGGTTGGATATCAATTTGCTGCTGATTTTCACAAAAAGCACATGTCGGATATATATCGATGATGATAATGCTTATGATGGCTTTAAAATATAAAATATGGTTTGCGTTGATCGTGCCTCCCGTGAATATGTAGCAGCAGAGCTTTTTGCCTTCTTTCATTTCTCTTCTTTTTCTTTTTTTATTTTACTATCAATACCTTTTTTCATCCAACGATTATCCACCTGTGCACCACCTCTCACCACCTCTCACCACCTCTCACCACCTCAGGCTTTCTACTATAACCCACTGAACCACCTCTTTATTTATTGAATTTCATTTTTCATCCTGTCAAGCTAGCGTTTTCCGTTTGTTTACTTTTACGCGAATTCCCCAAACCTCCTTTTATTTTTTGTTATTGGGTTTTGTTTTTGATTACCTTGAAAATGATAACCAAGCTTGCCTCTACAATCGGCAAGACGTGCATTCTGCTCAGCCTTGCCCCGACCCTCGTGGTCATCTGCGGTGTTGGCTGGGCTCTTACACCCAAGGCTGAAGCCGAGGCCAATGTTGCTGCCAACCCCGCTTTCAACCAGAACAAAACCACCAATACTTCTAGCGCCTCACACACCAATGAGACAAAGGCGAGGGTTGGGTTTATCGAAATGGAGCCTGCACAGGCACATGTTGCAGCCGAGCAAGCACTAACCAAAGCCCAGGCCAATAATGCGCCCGTGCATGCTGCTCAGCGCAGCGAGGGCGAGAGCGAGGGCAAGGGCGAGAGTGAGAGCGAGAGCCTGCGCCGCAAGTTGGCTGTTTTCGAGTCCAAGCTAGCTGAAAGAGACGCCAGCATTGCCGACCTCAAGGTCAAGCTGGGGCGCGCAGAGAAAGATAACGCCGCCCTGCAAATTAAGCTGGCTAGCACTGAAAGCATGCTGCGTGTCCAACGCCAGAACGTCAAGTCACTGGATGCCGATGTCCGCAAGGCCGAGCGCGAGCTAAAGGAGGCTCGCACAAGCGCTGAAGAGCAGCAGCAGCTTGTTGTCGAGCTGCGCAACAAGGTTGAGCTGAGCCGTACTGTGCAAGCCAAGGCGCTCCAGCACGGCAAGCCGGTGTTTTGCAGCGGCAGCCTACATGTTCAACGTCAAAACGTCAGAACCATGTATGACGAGGTCTGCAAAGCTGAGAGCGAGCTGAATGCGGCTTGTGCAGTTACCGAAGCGCAACATGAGCTTATTATCAAGCTGTGCAACGAGGTCAAGGCCGTGCAAGCAAGAGCCAAGGCCCAGCAGCCAGCGGGAAAGCCGCCGCGCGCTGGATACTTTGGGGCAATCTGCACCCCGCTGGCCAAGGTGGCTGGTATTTCTCACGCAAGCAAGCCTGACATTGCTGGGCCGAGTGCTACTTTCCTGGCCTTAAAAGAAATAGCCGACTCACTCGACGAGATATTCCACCGCGGTGGCCGTGCTCAGACCAACCAGATCTAAGGTGAGCTGGATGCTCGCTTCGAGGCACACACTTGGCCACCCACCCATCCATTCATCCACCCATCAAGCGGCGTCATTGGCAGCGTGCTAAAATAATAGCCACAGTTAGCACACCGCAACCAACGTGGATCTGGGCTGACGGGATCAGCCCAATGCCACCTTTAATTTTACACCGTTTATTTTTCCATTTCATTCTTTCATTCTTTCACTCGTTTTTTGTTTAATGTCATCATGCTTTACTTTTTTAGCTTATAACGTGTGCAATGTTGTCGACAGATTTTATGTATTTCTATTTGCTTGCAATTGATTCCACACCAATTTGTTAAGTAGCCATGTCAATCATCCATGTCTTGCGGTTGTCCATTGTTGAATGGTATATGCTCGACAGTTGTTTCAGGCTAATAACTAAAACAAAATTATAATATGTTTTTTCTTTTGTTTGAACTTTATCTTTAGCGTTGGAGATGTTTGCATATTTGCCAGCATATTATAAATGTGTCCAATAGTAGATCTGTTCAAAATTAGAAATGTCTTTGGTATAGCCTGGATTTCCATGCACTCGATATTAAATGACACGCGAGACTGAACCCAGTCGTTAATGTCTTTAAAAGAAGCAACGCCTGGCTCCAGTACATCAAAAAACAGCAGTCTTTGACAGCAAAGTGTTCTTAAAAATATCAAGATTAATGGAAACTAAAAGAAATTGTTATTCAAACTATACTTTTTCCAAACAACGTAATTTCTGTGAAATTATTTTTATTTCCATTTCTAGTTATATTTCTAGTTATATTTGAAATTTTTGTTATAAAACCAACTCAATAAAAAGAATGTGGATTTCAAAGTTAAGCTTCCACTAGACCAAGCGGCTCATCCCGATAAAGCAAAATATTGGGCACGGTGGAGTAGACATAGTCGCGATAAAGGCCGCCAAGTTTCATAGTAACAAAGCTCTTAAGTGGTACCTCCTCCCTCATCCACGCCTGCCAAAGTGGCACATTACGCGGGACTACGCGCGCAAACTCTTCTCGCACAATTTGCCACCCTCCGCCCGCATAATGAAGGTCCAATGCTCTAACGAGGCGGTGAATCTGGCATTGTACCAATGCATGGAAGGCCACGCCATATGCTTCTTCTGGAGACTTGCTGTCGTGCTGTTTCCGGGCAACATGGGAATAATAGCACCGTGAGAGGCCTAGAGAATGTAGGCATGTGAACCATAATGCCGCCAAAATCCCTAATGACGAATCCCACAGGTATTCCAGTAACCGCAGATACCCGCACCAATGTGTTCTGTTGATGTGCCTCAAGGCAAATGCGTGTGTCATCAGTGGCGGGAGGAAGGCGTCGAACAGAAGGCCGGTGTATGTGCGCAAGAACTCGCGTTTCTGCGATACGGTTTCCAAATTGGGCCACAGAGCGCACACAGCGCTGGAACCATTGGCCAATCGCTCAGTCAACGCAGCAGCCACCACTGCGCGCTCATTTTCTGCGCACAGACTCTGGGGGTTGCGGCGCAGGATGCAGGCCAGGTACTTGGCAGTGTCCGAATCGCTGTCATTCAGTATGGCCTGGCGGGCTCGCTGGATAACAGTGGGGCATTTGAATAAGCAAGAATTGGCGTTAGCAAAGGCGTGAGTTGAGGGCCAAGAAACGCAGAATACGTGCTGATCGTGCGCAGAGCCGAGGATGTCTTGACTCCCAGCGGGAGCTTGATATCCAGCCCGCTGGCACGCAGGTCCTTTGGTGACACCGTGCGCAGGGACGCCTGGGCCTCGGCATCTGCGTCAAAATCCAGAACACGCGCAAACGGAAAGCGCGCACGCACAGCCGGCAAATGCAACGGGTGCACTGGCACCACGACTTGGGTCTGCAAATCAACCTCGTTCAGCATTGTGCCTTTGGCACTGCCCAGCGGCTTGGCAGCCTGCAACAATGGCATCAGCAATTCGTGATAGTCGCCACGCACAGTCATTTGCTCGCGAGCAACAGCCACAAATCTCAGGCGCAGGTGCCGGAACTCGGTGTGTGGCTCCAGCGGTTCCAGCGGTGGCAAAGCGTGCCGCGCACGGTGCATCGGGTGCGTGGCGTGGCCTTCGACGATAGACTGCTCCCAGTCAATATCTGATGCCTTCTGCATGCTTGGCACAGTGCGTCCGCTAGCCTGCTGCGCATAGGCATGCGCCTGGTGCTCCATGGAGCTATGTAGTTCCTGGCAGATAACTTCAACAGCATCTCTGTCCAGTGCGCCCCACCCGCCAATATGCCGCATGAGCTCCTTCGGGCACTCCAACGTGGCTCCACTCCATGTATTCTGCGCCAGGTCAACGCAGTCAGTACGCCAGGCGCAAAGCCCCAGGTCCTCGGGGTCCAAAAGACGGACGGGCCACGCGTTGGTCCAGCCATCAGGGGCAGAGGCCAGGATTGGTCTATGTCGTAGCTGAAACACCAGCGTACCTGCAACCCATATGTTGCTGTTGGCCGCCTTTACTGGCCCTGTAACGAGCAAAAAGTCGGGGCTGCCCGGTGTGGTGACGCAGCAAAGCGCCGATGTCAAGCGCTCGTTGACCAGGCACGTAAGCAGTCGGGACATTGTGGCAAACTGGGCGTGTCGGACGAAGCCGTGGCTGTCCTGTGGCAGCACATGCGGGTCGGAAGATGACTGGCTCAGAAGAACGGCAAGCTCTGCTGGCGTGTTGAGGGCGATGGCGTCTTGTAGCATTTATTTGTTGATACTTTCTTCTTTTATATTACGACTACTGCTTGTTTTAGAATGAAACCGAAATGGGGGCAAAAGAGAGGCAGAAAATAGGTAGTTATTTGAGAGAAGGGTGGGGATTTTGAGCAAAAGGGGGTTGAAAACGCTTCCAAAACACTGAAGAAATTGCTCTTATCAGATGGCGGAATGGTGTTCCTTTTTGGGCGGGGTGTCACTCAAAATTTTTTTGCAATCCGTCTTGCTTCGAATCACGGAATTTTGCCTCAAAAGGACATATTCGCATGCTCAGAATCGCGGGCAATTTCTGACCTTCTAAAGGCCGATTAATGGCAAAACAGGTTTTCTGACACCGCAAAAATGGTCCTAATTTGGAATACCGTCTGAATCACTGCTCTGATCTAGAAATAGAGCGGCCGACAAAGGGCGAATAAAACGAGAGCACGCCTTTTTTCCCCAGTAAACAACAGGCAGTAAAAAGGCAACCAAAAAATTGCATGAGGTTGGCTGCTTTCATCTTTGGAACTCGTTAGAAGAAAATTGAACCCAACAATATTGGATTTTGGCACAAGTTCTTGCTGGCTGCAAGCTTGTCTTGCCTTGTGTCGTCAACAATAAGGAGAGCCATAGCTGGCCCTTGCTTGCTGTTTTTTTGCTTGCTCGGGTTCTCTAAAGTTGCTAGCAAAGTCTCGGGTTTATATTATTTGTTTGCAATCGCAGGGCAATGCATACTCACTCGTATGGCAAACGGGAGGTGCGTGTTATTAAAGATGCGGACACGTGTGTGCATATGTGGATCTTGAAGCCAACAAAATACTGATGCTGCAAGTCACCTTTAAAAGCCAATTTCCGCATTGTTGGTATAAAAAAGGGGCAATTACGTTGCCACCATCACGCTCAGTCTCACGATTTTATTGTTTTTATAAAAACGAGGTGCGCATTCAAGTAGGAGGAGGGGGAGAACAAAAAAGGAACGAGCGGCATCTGCGTTCGCGACGATATGCTTGGGGATGCGAAATGTTTAAAATGAGTTCTGCTTCCTACACGCCAATAATCACAGCAACTTTCCTCTCTTTCCCACTTTTTTATTGATACCAGCGAATAAACACAGCACTTGCTTTTATATTTCTTTCACTTTTGGAGTAATTTCCTTTTTTAATTTCAAGCATCACCGACTCGTTCGAATTCACTCCCCCCCACGGTCTTTAGCAAATAACAATGTCACTGAATTGCAGACTCGACGAGGCAGCCAAGCACGACGTGCTGACGACCATCGTTGTCTTTGGAGCGTCTGGCGACCTGGCCAAGAAGAAGACCTACCCGGCGCTTTTCCACCTATTCCAGCAGGGCTTGTTGCCCAGGCGCACACGCATCATAGGCTATGCGCGCACAAAGATGACTCCCGAGGAATTTAACAAGCGGGTAACGTCCTTCTTCAAGGCCACTGACGAGCCCAAAGACGTCACAGCGTTTCTAAAGATCTGCGAGTACGTCAGCGGCAAGTACGATGTGGACGAAGACTTCAAGGTTCTGCGCAAAGAAATCGACACTAACGAGCAGCTGATGCATAAGCGCGAGTCCGACGAGCGAGTGCATATCTACTATTTGGCCCTGCCGCCGTCGGTGTTTGTGTCCGTGGGCACGCAGATCCGCAAAAACGTCTATGATGGGTCGTGCACCAACCGGGTGGTCATCGAGAAGCCATTTGGCCACGATCTGGAGTCCAGCCGGGCGCTCAGCAAGTCCATCGGGGCCCTGTTCGCTGAGGACGAGATCTACCGCATCGACCACTACTTGGGCAAGGAGATGGTGAAGAACATCCTGGCCCTGCGCTTTGCCAATGTATTCTACGAGGCTGTGTGGGATCGCCGCCACATCTCCAATGTGCAGATCACCTTCAAGGAGCCCTTTGGCACGGAGGGCCGCGGTGGCTACTTTGACGAGTTTGGCATCATCCGCGACGTCATGCAGAACCATCTGCTGCAGGTACTGAGCATTGTGGCCATGCACCCGCCCAAGTCGCTGCGCTCCGAGGATATTCGCGACCGCAAAACCGAGGTACTGCGCCGCATCCTGCCGATCCAGCTTGAGGACACACTGCTCGGCCAGTACGTGGGCACACGCGACAGCAACAGGCCTGGGTACAAGGACGACGAGACTGTGCCCAAGTCTTCCATCACGCCGACATACGCGCAATGCGTCTTGCATGTGGACAACGACCGGTGGCGTGGCGTCCCCTGGGTCATCAAGGCTGGCAAGGCGCTGGATGAGGCCAAGATGATCATCCGCATCCAGTTCAAGGACATGGTCAACGCGCTATTCCCCAACCTGGCTCGCAATGAGCTCATTCTGCAGGTCAGCCCCAAAGAGTCCGTGACGATCAAGACCATCGTCAAGGAGCCCGGGCTCTCCACCAACCTGGCCATGTCCGAGCTCGACCTCACTTACCACAAGCGCTATCAGGACCTCAAGATCCCCGACGCTTACGCTACGCTGATCCTGGACGTACTCAACGGCGATCACTCCAACTTTGTGCGCAGCGACGAGCTCGACGAGGCGTGGCGCATCTTCACACCACTGCTTCATCAGATTGAAAAGGAGGAGGTCGTGCCTCTTCCCTACGAGTACGGCTCGACAGGCCCCAAGGGTGCCGATGAGTTCCCCACAGAGCGGGCCGGATACAAGCCCACGGCTAAGGAGTACCACTGGGAGCCCAAGACCGCAGCCAACGGCGGCAAGCTTTAAAAAACCCCAGATGATAAAATCCCAGAATGCAGAATTTTCATTCTGGCATGCCACATGTCTTTGATAAATACTGGTATTTTTTTAAAAAAAATGTTTGATGTAATATCCCGTAAATACGGGATGCGTGCACATGCGTGCACATGCATGCAATTGTTATTTAATAGCGAAAAGCCAATTACCGCCAGGAAAATCGCTAGCTTGTCCGAACAAAAAAGAGATTGTTCACGACCGGATTGGCTGGTTTGCATGTCTTTCGGCGTCCGAAAAAAGAGAGAGAAGAAAACAAAATAGGACGGGCGAACAATGCAGCGGCAGAAGTGATAGATTGGATGCGTTTGCGACATTTGCATTCTGGAAGGCTCATCCAAGCATTTTTCTTTTGACACAGCACAGCACAGCACAGCACAGCACAACCGACGAATAGCAGGCAGCGGTCAACATGAGAAAGAACAACACCACATCAAACAGCAACAACAGATGAAGGTGAAGCAAGCCAATTTCACAGACAAATGTAAAAATGGCGTTCCGCCCCCCCTTGTCCAGATGCTGTTCGGACATGCTCTCGATTATATCGTAGATGGACATTGATAGTGGCAAAAAAATTAAACAGAGGTGTGAGAAGATCTCGGGTATCCAAAGCGAAAAAAGAAATGGGGGAAAGCGTTCTGAGGCTAATTAAATAATACAAATACGGATTCTCGTTTTGAGTCAATGCTGAAATCTTGCATCGCCCCTTTCTTTTTTATTTTAAGAAAAATCCTTTTGGGTGTCCATATTTTTCATCTTCTTGTTCCCCTCTACCCGATTTTCATTCATTATTTTTTTTCATTTTCATCTCTAAATTTTCTTTTTTCTTTTTTCTTTTGTTTTTTGTTTTTTAGTTAATGTTTCTCTTTTCTCTTTATATTTTTAACATCCGTTCTACTTTTTATACATTGGTATAAACACCCAAGAACTGGGGGAAATTAGCAGTTATCCTCTTTTCATTTGATTTTTCATTTTTCTTTATCATCGTCTTCGGCTTCGCTTTTCCTATTACCTTATTGAAAGCTTTATTTATTTGAATACCCACTGTTAAACTGACACGCCTTGAAATTTTTTCAAATTATCCTGGTATATCGTACCAGGATTAACAAAAAATATCCGTTGCACTGAGTACGTTCACACATAAAGAAGAGCCCATTTTTAAAGCTGTCGACCCAAATACAATCCAGAGCAGCTGCTGGTGACGGAAACAGCAGCGGAGGCGACGGTGGAGGCAGAGGCAACAGGCCCACACATATACCTCCCATTTGGCTGGCAAGCCAAACGCCAACAGGGCCCCCAACAGCGGCTCTCTCTGTGCAGCACCACACAATGGGCCACCAATCCTGCAGGATGTCTCCAGCCTCCCTCTCCACCACATCCTCAGCTTCTTCGCTCTCACCATCGTCCATGCAAAAGGGAACAAACGAAGTGTTTACGGCCGGAGCCCGCGTGCTGTACCAGCAGCTACCGCACGCGCCCTACCACCAGCTGCCACCTGCCCCTTCCAATCGCATTTACAAACACTACCAGCAACAAAAAGTGGTCTCTGTCCCGGCTAATTGCGCAGTCGCCAAGAGGAGGGGTCCCTGTAAGTGCTCGCAGTGCGATCCCAATTTCTATACGATTCCGCTAAATATTTTGTTGAGTGGCGAGGTGGAGTACGTGTGCCGGGATTGTCAATTCTCGACCCCATCGTACCGCACGGTTCAGCAGCATGAGAGCACGAGTGGACATCGTCGTTGGTACAACTACCCGCAGGAGACAGGTAACGCGGACAGATGTAATGGGGGCGACAAAGGGATATAGAGGAGAATGGAGGGGGGATTTGAGCTGGTTTCACTTATTGTTGTCGTTTGTTGAGGAGGCTTGAGTTTTGATTTTTCACTATTTTATTATTATTTTTGTTCTTTCATCCTTCCTTTCATCTTTTTTTCGCACTTAGCTATTTTTATTATATAAAACCATGTACACATACACAACGCCTCTATTGTTTTTTGTTTGCTTGCTCGCCTGCAAGATTCCAAGGTGCGCCCCCCTATTTACGCACGCCCTTTTTTAATTTAAACAAAAAAACTGGTTTTTGCCCAAACTTGGTTTCGCGAAGCCCACTCTTTACTGTGTAGAATTATATACAAGTTTTTTTATTAAACTGCATGCTGTGTTTTGCAGTTTCCGAGTTTGCCACAACACCTTTATTGTACAATTGCATGTTTTCTTTGCGGGCTTCCGTTTGTGCTATTTACACACACATAAAGAAACTAAAGTCACTTTTTCAAATTTTGGTGCGCATAAGTTGTACAAATAAAAAAGTACCAGCACCAGTTAAATTACACGGTAGTGGGCAGCTGACTTTTAAGAAAACAATTTTTTATACAATACTATTGATATGAGGGGGGAACAACAAAAAAATTATGACTAGAAAATGGTGGCGCAGCGGAAAATAAATTAATGTCAGCAGCCTTCTGGCTCATACCATCCCACATACCGTTGAGTCCCCCGGGCACACATTGTTCTATGCAGTTTTTTTCCATGCATATCCGGCAAGTAAAAAAATCTGCATACTAGCGCGGGTATGCGCGAGAACTCGTGGTACATAAAAGAAATTTAAGCACTTGGGCATGCAAATAAAAAAACCTTTTTTAAAATGCATTCCTTTAATAAATCAATTTTATGAAAAGTAAATTGGGAATAATAAACGAGTTGAAAGTCGCTGTTGTGTAATGACTGTTACACAAGTCCATTGAAATAAAATTTTCAATTTTCAAAATAAATCTTGGATTGACAAATGAATTATAAATGAATGAGATAATCTACTTTGTTTACCAAGTTAATTGGCCGGATGTATTACGCCGCTGCATAAATGTTTTTTTTGCTTATGCAAATTCTCACATATGTAACAACTCGCAAAATTTAAAATTTTAATTAAATCCTTAGTCTGAAACAACTGTCGAACATGTATCATTCAACAGTGGACAACCGCAAGTCATGGGTGATTGACATGGCTACTTAACAAATTGGTGTGGAATCAATTGCAAGCAAATAGAAATACATAAAATCTGTCGACAACATTGCGCACGTTATAAGCTAAAAAAGTAAAGCATGATGACATTAAACAAAAAACGAGTGAAAGAATGAAAGAATGAAATGGAAAAATAAACGGTGTAAAATTAAAGGTGGCATTGGGCTGATCCCGTCAGCCCAGATCCACGTTGGTTGCGGTGTGCTAACTGTGGCTATTATTTTAGCACGCTGCCAATGACGCCGCTTGATGGGTGGATGAATGGATGGGTGGGTGGCCAAGTGTGTGCCTCGAAGCGAGCATCCAGCTCACCTTAGATCTGGTTGGTCTGAGCACGGCCACCGCGGTGGAATATCTCGTCGAGTGAGTCGGCTATTTCTTTTAAGGCCAGGAAAGTAGCACTCGGCCCAGCAATGTCAGGCTTGCTTGCGTGAGAAATACCAGCCACCTTGGCCAGCGGGGTGCAGATTGCCCCAAAGTATCCAGCGCGCGGCGGCTTTCCCGCTGGCTGCTGGGCCTTGGCTCTTGCTTGCACGGCCTTGACCTCGTTGCACAGCTTGATAATAAGCTCATGTTGCGCTTCGGTAACTGCACAAGCCGCATTCAGCTCGCTCTCAGCTTTGCAGACCTCGTCATACATGGTTCTGACGTTTTGACGTTGAACATGTAGGCTGCCGCTGCAAAACACCGGCTTGCCGTGCTGGAGCGCCTTGGCTTGCACAGTACGGCTCAGCTCAACCTTGTTGCGCAGCTCGACAACAAGCTGCTGCTGCTCTTCAGCGCTTGTGCGAGCCTCCTTTAGCTCGCGCTCGGCCTTGCGGACATCGGCATCCAGTGACTTGACGTTCTGGCGTTGGACACGCAGCATGCTTTCAGTGCTAGCCAGCTTAATTTGCAGGGCGGCGTTATCTTTCTCTGCGCGCCCCAGCTTGACCTTGAGGTCGGCAATGCTGGCGTCTCTTTCAGCTAGCTTGGACTCGAAAACAGCCAACTTGCGGCGCAGGCTCTCGCTCTCACTCTCGCCCTTGCCCTCGCTCTCGCCCTCGCTGCGCTGAGCAGCATGCACGGGCGCATTATTGGCCTGGGCTTTGGTTAGTGCTTGCTCGGCTGCAACATGTGCCTGTGCAGGCTCCATTTCGATAAACCCAACCCTCGCCTTTGTCTCATTGGTGTGTGAGGCACTAGAAGTATTGGTGGTTTTGTTCTGGTTGAAAGCGGGGTTGGCAGCAACATTGGCCTCGGCTTCAGCCTTGGGTGTAAGAGCCCAGCCAACACCGCAGATGACCACGAGGGTCGGGGCAAGGCTGAGCAGAATGCACGTCTTGCCGATTGTAGAGGCAAGCTTGGTTATCATTTTCAAGGTAATCAAAAACAAAACCCAATAACAAAAATAAAAGGAGGTTTGGGGAATTCGCGTAAAAGTAAACAAACGGAAAACGCTAGCTTGACAGGACGAAAAATGAAATTCAATAAATAAAGAGGTGGTTCAGTGGGTTATAGTAGAAAGCCTGAGGTGGTGAGAGGTGGTGAGAGGTGGTGAGAGGTGGTGCACAGGTGGATAATCATTGGATGAAAAAAGGTATTGATAGTAAAATAAAAAGAAAGAAGAAAAGAAGGAGAAATGAAAGAAGGCAGAAGATAAGCCCTGCTGCTACATATTCACGGGAGGCACGATCAACGCAAACCATATTTTATATTTTAAAGCCATCATAAGCATTATCATCATCGATATATATCCGACATGTGCTTTTTGTGAAAATCAGCAGCAAATTGATATCCAACCAGCCCACGTGTTACTGGTGGCTTAACTCTCGAGTAAACAATTATCTCCATGGCTTGCGGTTACTGGCCAAAGATTTTAAACGCAAACACGCACTGTGGCTTGCGGGTGAAATGCGAGTGGTCTTTGGTTCCTGTTTGGGGCACGCGCTATAAGGATCTCGCCAAATCACTCTGGCTATATGCATTTTTTGCAAGGCGCTCATGACCAGGACATTTGTTTTCCAATTATTTAAAAACATTAGCTTATTTCGTGGTCTCTAGCTCATATTCACAACAAATTGGATTTATTCTGAAATCCCAAACTGCACGGCAAAGAAAGGCAAAGAAACACTGATAAGCGTGGCAAATCATACCTTTTCCCCACGCACCAACACCGCCGAAGCTATCGAAACATACTGCTGTTACCAAACCCTGCCTGGAGTAATCTAAGCGATAATATGCCAAAAAGCCAAGTTTCTTTGGTGAAAAAGTCGATAACAGCTAATTGAAATTGAAAGTCCAAATAATTACAAGCTAATTGCCATATATGGCTAGCAGACTGTGCTATCGAAAAAAGAGCAAAGTACTTGCAGATCCATATGGCATATTTAAAATACCATGCAGAATAATCATTTAAATAATTATTACGACGAAATATTATAAATCAAGGCATCATCATTGTTTTTAATTTTATTTTAAAAGATTCTTGTTACTTTTATTTTTTATTAAACTACTAATTCAACATTGCACATTGAAAAATAGATTACAATAAGGGTCTATACTATTGTGATAAATAAGAATTTAAGCATGAGGTGGTGCAGCAGAAGGCGCACCTGAAGGCACCGCCAGCTCCGTAATAAGCTTGCAGCATACATCAAAGAACGGGAAAATATTAACTACACGCTCCTGCGACTGTCTATTAGCACCACTGCCTGCGCCCACACCATCAGCAGTCAACGAGACATCTGTGCGCGCCAACGACACACGACCAACAACACTACCGGGCATATAACTTCCGGGTGCCCGGCCCTGGCTGCGCGGAGTCCCGCCGACAAAGTTCATTGTGGCAGAGGGGCTGCAAGCCGAGCCGCCCATGGGAATATCCATTGCCCGAGTTTTCGAGACAGAACCAGGGATGGGGATACCGGGAGCGCTAAGCGAATGGGAGATGTTCATTCCCGGGTGCGAGTAGTCCTCAGAGTCCGACACCTGCATTGCGCCACCATTGGCTGAAGTTGGTGCAATGGAGGGCGACGAAATGTCGCCGCCGCCACCACCAAGCCGCCGTTGCATGACTTTTGCTGGCAGCGAGTCGGGTTCGGGGAGCATCTCCGAACGATCGTTGGCCGGCACAATGGGCGACATCCGCGTCGCCGGAAGCTCAGCCGGGAGCTGGATAGGGTAGTTCGAGTTGAGGAACTGGTCATCGAGGGACCGCGGCTCAGCACCACCAGAGAGATCACCATCGACAGCCATCGTATGGTCGGTGTACATGGACCCAGGCCTGAACTGATTGGGCGACATGGCGGTGGACATGCGCCTGCGCGCAGCCTGGATAAATGGCGGCAAGGGCGAAATAAGCGTATTCTCTCCCGCCCTATAAGTCGGCGCCGTGGCCACCCCGCCCATATCATCGTCGGGCGCGCGAGGCTGCGGGATAACCGCCTTAAAGTCTACCAAATAGTTATCGCGCGAGTCCAGCTTGTACAGCTGCAGATCAATCTTAATGGCATCCTTAAGGGTGCCGTCGGGCGGCACGTAGCGTGCACGCAGATGGTACGGGTTGAAGTGCTTCCAGGTCATGTTGAGCTGCTGCAGGGCGCGGTACACCTCGGCCATGACGTCGGCAGGTGGTGAGCGCGAACGAATACCAAAGTGCCACCGCGTGCGCGTCAGCTTGGCACGCTTGCGCACGACCGTGGGTCGCCGCTGGGCGGCCTCGGTTGCGGGATCTAGGGGCTCAGCCATTTCGACGTCGCCGGAGGTGCGTGCCAGAGGGCTGGGTGCCATGCCGCTAGGGGGTGTTGGCGTGCCGTTGGGACTGACCGCACGCGAGGAATCGTTGCGGTGGCTGTATGGGTTGGCAATGCCCGGCGATGCCTTGAGCGATGCGTGCGCCAGGCTGGTGATTGATGACGAGTTGGACTTTTCCAATGAGCCCGGCGTGGCGGCTAGTGGCGGCAGCGATGCGCGGAAGTAGTTGGACGGTGTGCGCGATGGGCTGCCCTGCACACCCAAGCCCACAGCCTGCTGCTGCTGCTGGTGCTGCTGATCTTGCTGATCTTGCTGAACCTGTTGTTGCTGCTGCTGTTGCGCAATGGCGGCATTGGCCAACGTGGATCCTGGCTTGACTGCAGCGGCCGGCACAGGTACCAGCGGCGAGGACACCCGTGGGGCCGCATTAGCGTGCGGTCCGCGCAAGCGCATCTTATACATCTGCGACTCAAGCGTATGACCAGGCGACCGCGGCAGACTAGAGCACAGAATAGCAATATTCGACGCCACATTTCCGTCCTCATCATCGCTATCGTCACAGGGTTTACCCGCTGCCGCCGCAGCCAACAGGGGTGACGCCCCCAGGCTGCCACTGAGGTGGAAGGCCGCAGGCGGTGACGACGCCAGTGCAAAGTTGCGAATACCCTGTTTGTTAGAATTGCGGCTCTGCTCCAGCATATGGCGGTTATCTAGCGTCAGCTGGTAGGCGACCTTGGCCGGGTTGGTGCCACGCTGGCGCAGTTGCTTGATAAGCGCGGCGCGATCCATCTCGAGCTGCCGCTCCAGCTCGCTGATGATCGAGTCGTCGAGTTTGGCCAGGCCCTCGATATCCGTGCTTTCGGGCAATGGCTTAAGGTACTCCGGCAGGTCAGTCGTAAACCATGGGTGCTGCCGCACCTGGGCCAGCGTCAGTCGCTTCAGTGGATCCACCTGGAGCAGCCCCGAGAGCACTGCGCGCGCACCCTGCGACAGGTAACCGGGCATGGAGAAAATGCCCGAGGTGATCTTCTTGAACAGCGCCGGAATGTGGTCGTCATCGAAGGGCAGGCGGCCGCAGAGCATGACGTAGAGGATAACGCCACACGACCACGCATCGACCTCGGGCCCGGCGTAAAGCTTGCCATTGATCACCTCTGGCGCAGCGTAGTTGGGCGACCCGCAGGACGTCTGCAGAAACTCACCGTCCTTCATTATATTCGACAACCCGAAATCAGCCACCTTGACGTTATCGTAGGGGTCAAGGAGCACGTTCTCGGGCTTAAGATCGCGATGCACAATGTTGCGCCGATGGCAGTACTCGACGGCCGAAACGATCTGCTGGAAAAACCGCCGGGCGTCGCGCTCGTTCATCCGCCCGCGCTCCACGATATAGTTGAATAGCTCGCCGCCGGCGTACTCAATCACCATTATGATGTCGGTTTCTGTCGTGATCACCTCGTACAGCTTGATGATGTGTGGGTGCCGCAGCATCTTCAGGTACTGGATCTCGCGGTTCACACGTCCTATCATGTCTGAGTGCGCCAGCTTACTGCGCCCGATGATCTTTAGCGCCACCTTATGGCCTGTCTGCGAGTGCACGGCAACTACAAGTAGACATTTTTTTAAAAATAAGAATGGATGGACAAGGCGTTTTTTTAGCGAGTGGGATTTACAGGTTTACTGCTCGTCTCGTCTTGCCTCGTTGACCAAACTGTTCTTTTCCTTCCGTGTCCTACTACTGCCGTTTGTCCTGAGGTCAAAAAGAAAGAAAAAAGTGAAGAGGGAAGAAAATGGCGCCAGCTGATGCATGGGGCGCATGCAGAGCCAGCTGAATAGCAGCAGCAAGGGAAAAAACATTCACACACACATATTGAAAGAAAATAAAAAATGATACTTACGCTTCACCTTTCCAAAGGACCCGACACCCAAAGTCTGCAAGACTGTGTAATTCCCAATCGTTTGTTTGTTTGACATTCTTCTGTTCGACCACCTTTTGTTGTTGTTGCTGTTCCGGTTGCTAGGGTCTGCGTCGTCCTTTGATAAAGACAACCTGCGGAGTGCCTTCTTAGCAAATGATAGAGTGTTAATTGTTGAGAAAAAGGCTGACCCTTCCACTCTTTATAAAAAAACTGGGGGTGTTGGTTGAAATGCGTCACCAAAAAAATATATATACGAAGAGAAGCAAGAAAAAATATGAATAGGGGGGAGAGTGGGTTCTAAAAAACAAGAGGGTATTATATTTTTTGGTAATGAATAAGCGTAATTGTAAAAAATTGAAGATAAAAAATGAGGTTCATGTATAGTGTGTAATTGAGGTTGGAATTAGAAATATTTTTAAAAGGAAAGTGGCGAGTGAGGATTTTTATTTTATTTTATGTCCTGTTTCTGACGAAAATTTTCCTGCAAATAAAATTGTTTTTCTGTGCGATGTAATAATCACGTGGAAGTAACAGTATGGCTCGGCAAACAGAAACTTGTGCACCCCCCCCACACCCGCTTCTTTTGGGCGCGAAAACATGATGCACTCGGCACGTGAATCTGTTGGTCATGCGTCCAGTTGACAAAAGCAATCGGCAGATGAAATTTGTACAAGCTTTTGCTCTTCATGGAACCAAAAAATAGCATCTATCAGTTTTTTCTTGCTTTTCCTGGACATTTCGCCACGATCGGTCGTACAAGGAGGGGGCAGTTTTTTATTTTTAAAAAAATCCTTTTTTGCTTTTTAGGTTTCACGAAAACAATATCAACACCCTACTTTAATTGTTATTTTTAAATGTCGTCTCAGTTTGAGCAGCGAGTGCAAGCCATAACGCAGCAGGTGTACATGGCGGCCAGCGAGCGTTCTTTGGAGGTGGAGAGTCGCAGCCGGTATTCGGACATCCTCATTGCTGAACTTGACACGCAAATGGGCGAGCTGCTTGTGGCCACCAGGGTTTTGGCAGCTGCACGTAGAAACACAGCCTTTAGTTTGGTGGGATTATCGAGAAAGTCGGGATAGCTTTTCTTTTTTTGTTTATATATGTTTGGATAAAATTGGACGACGTCACTGATTGTTTGGATGCAAGTGTTTTTTCACCCTCTTTTTCATCCACCCCCCCCCCCCCGCATTCACAGGAGGGCTTGGTTTTTCTATGGAGAATAAAAAATATCCCACTGACAAAAGGTGGGCCGTCCTTTCATAATCTGCGTTCGTTCGCTCGTATGTAGTGGAGTGGAAGTAACTTTTTCATTTTCTATTGTTCAATTCAATTCAATTCAATTCAATTCACTTCTTTTTTTCTTTTTTCTTCTTTTTTCCCTTTTAATTCCTTGTCCTTTTTTCCTTCTAATTAGCAACAGACTTTGTCAGCATCTGAGTGAATTACACAGTTATATTTCATTTTAGCAAATGGCGTTTCAGTTCCAAAGCGCCATGGACGAGCTCTTCAAGCCGCCAAGCCGGCTTCAGACACTCATCGACCGGGCCGTGCGACCCGAGCTCCGCGAGCCCGACATCGTTCTCAACCTAGACATCTGCGACCTGATCAACAAGAAAAAAGGCAACTACGCACACGACGCAGTTTTCGCCCTGCTCCCGTACATCAACGGGCGCGCCAACAGCCAAGCGCAGCTAGCCCTAGGTCTCCTAGACTACCTTGTGAAGAACTGCGGACACGCAGTGCATTACCAGGTGGCCAGCCGCGACTTCCTCAACGATCTCTTCCGGCGGTTTCCAGAATTCCAACCGTCGCAGCCCAATGCCTTGCACTACCGGATTCTCGAGATGCTGCAGGAGTGGCGGCTGACACTGTGCAAGCGGTCGCGGTACAAGGACGACCTCCAGCGCATCCACGATATGTACTCGCTCTTGCGGCGCAAGGGATGGCGGTTTCCAGAGATCGACGCCAATGCTGCAGCCGTGGTTCTGGGCCCCGTAAATACGCTCAAGTCGCGCGACGAGCAGGAGCGCGAGGACCTCGATGCAATGCAGGCGAAGCTGCAGGAGCTCCTCCGCCGTGCAACGCCCAAGGACCTGCGCGAGGCCAATAAGCTGATGAAGATCATCACCGGCTACGAGCAGTCCAGCAAGCGGCCGGACTACGACGGCGAGTGGGAGGGCAAGCTGAAGGAAATCGAGGTCAATGTCAAGGTTCTTTTGGAGATGCTCCAGCGTGTGCAGCCCGGCGACCGCCTCAGCGACACCGTGAATGAGCTCAAGGCCGCGGTGGGATCCAACCAGCCGCGCCTGCGCAAGCTGATCGCCGAGATGCAGCAGCGGCCCGACGGCGAGGAGCTGCCGGAGGACGAGGCGAGGGATCTGGCCCGCCTGGCGTCCATCGGCGCGCTGGTCGACGAGGCGCTGAGCGCGCACAGGGACCTGCAGTGCGGCCGCGCGCCGCTTTTCTCGCTGTCTGCCACTGCTTCCGCTGCGCCCGAAGGCGAGCTTATCGTGTGGGACGACGCGCCCGAGGCACCGGCCACCGGCGCCGCCGGCGCGCCGCGGCCCAGCGCGCCGCCCAAGGACGCAACAGCGCCGGCCGCGCGGCATAAGCGCTCCGGGTACGACGCCGAGCGGCGCAGCGAAATGGGGGCGGCCGAGCGGAGGGCCGCGCGGCTGCTTGCGATGCTCGGCACGGCGGTGCCCGGCGAGCAGATGTCGGCGGAAATCCGCCGCACACGCGCCGAGTGCATGGCCAGCCTGGCGATGCTGCAGGAGCTGGCCCAGGAGCAGAAGGCGCACGCGCGGCTCAATGAGGACGAAAACCGCGCGCTGGCTGCCATGTATATGCTGCGCGACCGCATACAGGCGGCGCTGGGCGCGTACGAGGAGCTGAAGAGCGGCCGGAGGCCACAGCTTGCCGCTGCTGCCGCTGTGCCGGCAAAAAAGTACGGTGTCGGCGAGCTGCTCGCTTGGGACGAAGAGATGCCCGGGGGCGCTGCTGGTGCTGGGCAGATTACGAGCCCGCTTGGCGATCTTGCTGGGCTGAGCTTCTCCGACGCTTCGTTTAGCGCCAACGCACACGCCCTGGCGCTGCCCTTGACGCCCGGCATGAACACCCCGGGGCTGACCATGCCCGCGGGCAATGCTGCCACATTTAGCCCGGCCCCTGCTGCACCAGCGTCGGCCATTTGCCAGCAGCAGCAGCAGCAGCAGCCGCAGCCGCAGCCCATGTCTAACCCGTCGCTTCCGGCCAACTCGCTGCAGGCGCGCACGGGCAAGACCACGGCTGCGGCTGCGGCTGCGGCTGCGGCTGCGGCTGCGGCTGCGGCTAAGAAGGACGCCTTTGATTTCTCCGACCTGCTGTCTGCCGCCAAGAGCGCGTCGGCTGCGGCAAATGCCACTGCTGGCGCCAGGCCCAATGCGTCGCGGACCACCAGCTGGGGCTCTTCGCCGGACCCAGACAAGGCTGCGAGCGGCAGCTCGCTAATCGACTTTCTGTCTTGAATACTCACAAATTTCATATTAGAAAAACAACTGAAGGAAAATAATGAAGGGGAAAGCCCCAAGGCCTGTGCTTGTGTCAAATCGGAATGAACGTGTGCTTTTGCTTGCCGCCGCGGCTGAGGAAGAACTGCACAAAGATGCCCAGACACGCTGAAACAGCCATGCAGGCAATCATGGCATACACCTTCGGCGTGGCCTCGTACACGGCGCCGGGCGCATTGAGGAAGCTTAGCGCCGTGTACTGGAACCCGGTCCTCGCAAAGCAGTCGATGCCCACAAACAGCGCGTACGACCCCCAGATGCTCGACGAGACAATAATCGCCGGCCGCTTCAAAAACAGCGCCGCCACAATGCCCACGACCACGAGCGCCACGATAAACAGAATGCGTCCGACGTCCGAGTGGATGACCCCGCCGGTCTTCATCGACAGAATCCACGTCGCCAGCGCAAACCCACCCAGCCCGCCAACCAGCGCAACGCCCACGTTGACCAGGAACAGCATCAGCCCACCGCCAAGCAGCCCGAACACAGCCGCAATCCCGAGGTACCACAGCTGCCGGCCCTTCTCGTCCTCCAAAGGCGCGCGGATCTTGTACTCAGCGTACAGAACCAGCCCGGCCACTACGCAGAACCCCGCCAAGAAAACCAGGATCTTGAACAGCTTGTACCCAAAGTAGTTGAAGAAAAACCCAAGCACTATCAGCGTTATTCCAGCTACGATGCCGCTGGCCACGAGCCCCCCGTTGCCGCCCAGTGCCAGGGTGCTGCCGTCGCTTGTTGTCACCTCTTTGACTGTCTCGCCGGCCACTGTGCCCAGGAGCAGAACAAGCAGGCTGAGGATGGGGACCATGCTGGCCCGGAGCTTAGCCCCTAGTTTTGTATTTAGCATCGTCGAGGAATGCAGCGTGTTTCTTTGAGAGAATGGGAATGGGAATGGGAATGAGAATTGGAATGAGAATGTGTTTGTGCGCGTGTGTGCGTGTGCGTGTGCGTGTGCAGAGGACAATAAAGAAAGGGCAAGTGGGTTGATGTTTCCGCTGCTTCTGCTTCTGTTTATGCTGCTGCTGTTGCTGCTTGATGAATAAAGACAAAAAGCGAAAAGACAAAAGAAACTTTATATTAAATAATGTGCTTGTTTATTTTTATGCAAGAAAATAAAAATTACAAAAGATGCGTGTTGTTTTTTTTGGAGTGTGGATTAAAAAAAAAGTATGTGAAAAGAAAAGGTTATAGAAATAGTGTAACTGACCAAAAAAAAAAAAAGAGAATCAAAAAAGATGAGGATACATCACATACAGGGGAGAAATGGAGGAATGGAGCAGAGGGGTTTACTTTTTATACTGTCACTTCTTTGTTTTTCTTGCATACAAAAAAAAGCCAGACTAAAAATAATTACTAGCGTTGTTCGAAAAGTCACAAGCTAATTTTAGAATCCGCCTTGAATATTCTCCTCAGAAAAACATCTCTCATTTATTTGCTTGGTTGATTGATTGAGGCCCCCCGAATGATATCATCAGCCGTCTCCTCATCCATTTTCCAAACTCACATGTCCCAATTTTTTTCTACTTCAAACATTTGGATTTTACTACCAATTTTCACCCTCTTTTTTCGGTTGTAAAAAAGCCTTAAAAGCCTTTTTACTTCTTTTCTTTTCTCCCACCCAATTAACCGTGCATTTAATCCGGTGCTTGATCTTGTCAGCGCGGGATAATCGCGCCTTGTCTTTGTGTGCAAATCCGTCCATTGGGTCACATTCTCCGCGTGAGAGAGACCGTGATTGTAAAAAAAAAAGAGGGCCGACAAAGCCAAACATTCCCTATCTAACCCTTTTTTAATGTTGTGTTGATGTCACATAGGACAACAGTATTAAAGTCTTGTTTTTTTCAGTAGTTTTTTTTTTTTTTTACCTATATATATTTTTCTCAACTTAATTCACAGCGCAAATGTCCGTTATAACGAGTGGAATTTCAGGTAACCCATGTGCATTGTCTAAACCTCGGCTCTCGAGCACAGATGCTGAGAAGAATGTTTTTTTTAAAACCCAGACATAACAGATGGTTTGCTCATTTCCCAAAATTAGACCTTTTTCTCTGCTAATATTTCCAATTTATTGTCTTGTGTAGCCACGCCAAAGCTCAAGCAGTTCTTGGAGGAGGCGCAGCAGGGCCAGCACAAACAAGTCGCACTTCTCCGCGTGCAAATCCGCGGCGAAGACCTTGTCGAAACAGCAAGACTAAACGGACCCTCCACCGGCGACCTCTCGCAATTGGAGCAGTATCTAGGAAACGATCCAGCCTTCTTTTTGCTCCGCGCCAGTGTCTCCTCATGGTACGTTATTACGTGGATGCCTGAGGGCAAGGTCGGCGTCAGTAATCGCATGGTTTATGCGTCCTCGCAGTCGAATCTCAAGCAGGCGGTTGGCGTTGACTTTGTCGCCGACGCACTGCAGTTTGAGACCGTTGATGAGGTGTTTGGGAGAGACAATGACGCTGTCGAGGCGCCCGAGCCACCGCGGGAGGCCGCTCCCCTGGGGAGGCCCGCTCCGCCCAAGCCGGCGGCTTTCCTTAAGCCCGCCCTGCGCACACCGCCGCCGCCAACGCAGGAAGACGTTTCGGTTTTGGCTGTAGGTTCAGCGGAGAACTTGTCAGAACAACAGCAGCAACAGCAACAGCAACAGCAACAGCAGCAGGCTCAGCGCCCGGTCATTCAGAAGGCTGCGCCGCCGCCCGTTGTCGCTCCCAAGCCGCTGGTCCAGAGCCAGTCCTTTGGCCAGAAGAGCGGCGTCTTTGTCAAAAAGATTGACCCCCGCACGGCAATGTCAAAGTCTGAGCTCGTGCACGTCGACCTTTTGCAGCAGGAAGACGACGCGCGCAGCGAGCAGCTGGAGCAAATGTGCACCCGGCTGCGCAACCACACTGAGGCATCCAAGCCCGAGGTCAGCCCAGACAACCATCACGCGAACAGCCGCGGCCAGAAGCAAACCGTAGCAGCAGCGTCCGGCGGCTTCCACACAGTGACCCTGCCACTGTCCCCTGAAGCGAAATCGACGCTGAGCGACTTTGGCTCCAACGTCGGCACAACCGTCGTCGAGCTGCAGGTTGAGGCCAACAAGTGCATTTCGCACGTCCACTCGTATGCGTCCACCGAGGAGTTCTCGCCTAACCCCAGCGAGCCGCGCTTCTACATTATGCGGACGCCCGGGAGCCGCGTCTTTGTGTACTCCTGCCCGGAAACGTCGCCGCCGCGCCTGCGTATGGTGTACTCGACGGCGAGCGCCGCCACCCTGGCCCAGATCCAGGAGCTGGGCTGCAGGATCACCCACCGCTTGTCCCTTTTTGCCTCCAAGGAATGCACGCTAATTGCCGTTGCCGCGACCATTCGCAACGGCCAGGCGCAGCGCGTGGACACGGACAAGTCCGTTGATCTCGTCGTCAACTACCTGCCGAGCACGCCCGCCCGGTCCTTGCCCTCGAGATTTGCTGCCAACACGACAAAGGTCCTGGACGCCTTCACGGATGAGGACGGGTTCCGCAAGGCCTTCACCGGTGTGCGCCCGGATGCGCCCGCGCCCGCACCGTTTGCCAACAAGGCATCCAAGCCGGTGCTTTCCCCCGCATCGTCGTTTATGCGCACTCAGTCGCCCCAGGTTAATAACGACGATGGTGTCGACACTAGTCCTAATACGGGCGCCGCCGCCTGGGGTGTTCAGCTCAAGTCTGGCCCCAAGGGCGTTGCCGTGCCGCGCGTGTCCTTCTCTAACCCTAGCTTGTCACAAACACCCGCTGTCTCTGGCTCTATTACGACTACCACGACCACGACATATACGACATCTTTTGCCAGCAGCAGCAGTTTGGTCAACAGGGCTGATGTCCCTAGGAGCGATAGCTTTGGCTCATCGAAGAGCTTTGTCCAGTTCCGTTTGGCTGGCGAAACAGGGGACGAAACGCCCTTGTCAGGGAACATCACCAGCACGAGCACGAGCACAAGCACAAGCAATAGCAAAGCAGCAACGCCTGAAATAATGCATTCGTCGATTCCAGGACTCCGGCGTGTGACAAACGCCGGACTTACCGACAATACCGACAATAAGACCAAGCCTAATGGTGCCACAAGCACCACCACCGGTGGCAGTTGGGATCCATGGCGTTCAGTTAGCACAGTGACTAGTTTTAAATCGGGGTCGCCAATGCAGCAGCAGCAACAGCAACAACAGAGTGTGCCAGAGTCAGCTTTGCAGAGCTCGGTGTTTGTCAGAAACGACGATACTGATTCGAGCTCGATTTTGGCATTCATGAGCGATATCACCTACCCTCCTCTGCAAAGCAACACACGTCAATGAGAAATAATATATTTGCATTGTATTTTCGTAATACAAATTGCTCCCCTCCTCCTGATATGCAAGAGAGAGATAGTGGAGGGAGTTTGGGTAGATTTTTGAGGTGAAGGGGGGAGGCTGACTGATTGTTTTTCTTTCTTTTTACTTTATTTTTCCTTTGGCTAATGTACTAGAGTTTTCGTCATGAATGACAGAGGCGCATACAGCCACCATTTGTTATTTGTTATTTTATACACTTTATCTATCATATTCATCAGTTTATTCATTTATTTTTATTGAAAAAGTATAAATGATCATTTGAGATTTATTTGTTATGCAAATGGGCATTGAAATACACTAAGAACACGTTAATGACTGTAGTAGCCACTTACACTTGAGTATAACCCATCGATACTGCTACAAAACAAAAAATTTGGGATTTAAAATTTTGATAATATAATAATACGTATATCAATTTTTTTACCTAAAAAAAATTAGCCGAGTCCAATCCACTTTCTATATTTTAAATTTTCCCGCAGTCAGTTATTCAATACAGTTGCGAATAACCAGCTTATTTAATCACATTTAATGGTAATCCACACAATGTCTGTTACCATTTATCTGTTTCATTTTGTCTTGAAAAAATTTAAAAAAATCCATATTCAATTTTTTATTATTCATATTGATTTTTATTACACGTAGAAATAACTTTACACTTAATTTATTTATAATATATATATATATATTTCGCTCAACCATGCATTTGGCTGGATTGTTTTTCGGTGCGCTAGTCCTGACATTTGCCTCAGCGGAAATGGATGCTGTCGCAGACAATACCCTTGAAACCAGCATCCTCAAAGACGCGGTTTTTGTTTCCAGCGCCTATAACGAACAACAAAAGGCTATTTCACTCAATCTATTAAACCGCATAGCCACATATATATCCTCCTCTGCCACTATTGACTCTGAGGAACCAAACAAATTAATTAACATTGACAATATCTTACTATCTGACCTGGACATTGACAATCTCGGAGACTCTAAAAAATTAGTCAAAGACCTGTACAACAAAGTCCATGTCCAGCTCTCAAATGATTACCGATACACATTTAACAAACCAGCTGCCATGCCCACCACCACAAGCTCAGGAACAAGCAGTGCCACGGCGAGCCAAAGTATGCTGATGATTCCGTTTGGCAGCCTGTTTTCCTTTGGCAGCGGCAACATTAAATACGTTGCCGAACTACTGGATACCCTATCTCGCGTTGATCCGTTGTACGTGGATATTTTGGCACCAATGTTTGGCATCAGCGGCGAAGGTCTCAAAACCCCAGAGAGTTCCAAATTAGTCGCCCGGCTGCTAAAAATAATAGGTGGCATTGGCGACCGTGCACTAGTGCATATATCCGGAGTCAGCGCAAGCAACATCAACGATCCACTCACGCTCAACGGCAAATTCCTAATGCGCCTAAGTAATATCCTTGCTATGGACGCCAAGCATGTAAACCAAATAACCGAGCTATTCATCAGTATCTCCGAAATGCGCGTGATCGAAATGAAGCTGTTTCTCAAAGACCTCGGATGGGATACACCGGCAAACAACGTGTGGATGAATCCCAAGCCGAATGAGCCCGGAACCATGCCAAACTTTAGCTACATCCTGACGCTTGGCGACCAGACGTTGATGGAAATAACGCGTGCAGCTAAATCATACACCCCGAATAACGTGCAAACCAAGCAGGATATGAAAGCCCTGAAAACAAGCATCATCGAAGCAATGGACAAGACAAGGTACTTTTGGAGCGAAATTCAAAACCAACACCTATCCTACTTCACCACTCAAACCGCCGACCCTATTCGATCCACTTTGGTGCAGTTGACTAATATTGGCAGCAAAAACATTGGCTCGTCAAACTGGCAACTGTCGCAATTCAACTTTAATGAATTTGGAAAGCCCATTACCACGCCGACAAAGACAACTCCACAGTCTACGAATTCCTTCCACACCTTGCCCCCTATAAGTGAACTGCCTGCGCAGCAGATCAGTAGCTTGGCCTCGGCCATTTTTGGCGAAAGCGCATCGGCATTTATGTCGAATTATTTCCAAGGCATATTGGTGTCGTCTAGATCATCAACAACGACAAAACCAAATACGACCGCGACCACGACCACAACAACAAAACAAAGTTCAAGTACAACAAATACCATAACAACAGATACAACGAGTAATATTGTGACTTTGACGGAAACTAAAGTAGATGTGTCGGTGGTAACTGTGACGTCTAAAATAACATCAAATTCATCCACATCAGCGACGACTAGCACGACAAAATCCACAGCGACAACAACTGGCAGTGAAAGTGTTAGTAATACTTCAGGTTCCAGCTCAACATCAAGATCTAATGGCGGAAATACTGCAAGTTCAGGAAATGACTCAGGCGCCACTACTAGTCCGAATATTGATAGTGTAATAAGCACAGATACAAGTAGAGACACAAAAACTGGCACTAATGTCACTCCAGTTGTCACCAAGGATCCGACCAACACGTCGGGCGCTGGTGGATCAACGACTCCTGGAACAACGTCACTCCAGTCGTAACCAAGGATCCGACCAACACGTCGGGCGCTGGTGGATCAACGATCCTGGAACAAACGTCACTCCAGTTGTCACCAAGGATCCGACCAACACGTCGGGGCTGGTGGATCAACGACTCCTGGCACTAATGTCACTCCAGTTGTCACCAAGGATCCGAACAATACGTCGGGTGCTGGTGGATCAACGACTCCTGGCACTAATGTCACTCCAGTCGTAACCAAGGATCCGACCAACACGTCGGGTGCTGGTGGATCAACGACTCCTGGAACAAACGTCACTCCAGTTGTCACCAAGGATCCGACCAACACGTCGGGTGCTGGTGGATCAACGACTCCTGGCACTAATGTCACTCCAGTTGTCACCAAGGATCCGACCAACACGTCGGGTGCTGGTGGATCAACGACTCCTGGCACTAATGTCACTCCAGTTGTCACCAAGGATCCGACCAACACGTCGGGTGCTGGTGGATCAACGACTCCTGGCACTAATGTCACTCCAGTCGTAACCAAGGATCCGACCAACACGTCGGGTGCTGGTGGATCAACGACTCCTGGAACAAACGTCACTCCAGTCGTAACCAAGGATCCGACCAACACGTCGGGTGCTGGTGGATCAACGACTCCTGGCACTAATGTCACTCCAGTTGTCACCAAGGATCCGACCAACACGTCGGGTGCTGGTGGATCAACGACTCCTGGCACTAATGTCACTCCAGTCGTAACCAAGGATCCGACCAACACGTCGGGTGCTGGTGGATCAACGACTCCTGGAACAAACGTCACTCCAGTCGTAACCAAGGATCCGACAACACGTCGGGGCTGGTGGATCAACGACTCCTGGCACTAATGTCACTCCAGTTGTCACCAAGGATCCGAACAAACGTCGGGTGCTGGTGGATCAACGACTCCTGGCACTAATGTCACTCCAGTCGTAACCAAGGATCCGACCAACACGTCGGGTGCTGGTGGATCAACGACTCCTGGCACTAATGTCACTCCAGTTGTCACCAAGGATCCGACCAACACGTCGGGCGCTGGTGGATCAACGACTCCTGGCACTAATGTCACTCCAGTTGTCACCAAGGATCCGACCAACACGTCGGGTGCTGGTGGATCAACGACTCCTGGCACTAATGTCACTCCAGTCGTAACCAAGGATCCGACCAACACGTCGGGTGCTGGTGGATCAACGACTCCTGGAACAAACGTCACTCCAGTCGTAACCAAGGATCCGACCAACACGTCGGGCGCTGGTGGATCAACGACTCCTGGCACTAATGTCACTCCAGTTGTCACCAAGGATCCGACCAACACGTCGGGTGCTGGTGGATCAACGACTCCTGGCACTAATGTCACTCCAGTCGTAACCAAGGATCCGACAACACGTCGGGTGCTGGTGGATCAACGACTCCTGGAACAAACGTCACTCCAGTCGTAACCAAGGATCCGACAACACGTCGGGTGCTGGTGGATCAACGACTCCTGGCACTAATGTCACTCCAGTTGTCACCAAGGATCCGAACAACACGTCGGGTGCTGGTGGATCAACGACTCCTGGCACTAATGTCACTCCAGTCGTAACCAAGGATCCGACCAACACGTCGGGTGCTGGTGGATCAACGACTCCTGGAACAAACGTCACTCCAGTTGTCACCAAGGATCCGACCAACACGTCGGGTGCTGGTGGATCAACGACTCCTGGCACTAATGTCACTCCAGTTGTCACCAAGGATCCGACCAACACGTCGGGCGCTGGTGGATCAACGACTCCTGGCACTAATGTCACTCCAGTTGTCACCAAGGATCCGAACAATACGTCGGGTGCTGGTGGATCAACGACTCCTGGCACTAATGTCACTCCAGTCGTAACCAAGGATCCGACCAACACGTCGGGTGCTGGTGGATCAACGACTCCTGGAACAAACGTCACTCCAGTTGTCACCAAGGATCCGACCAACACGTCGGGTGCTGGTGGATCAACGACTCCTGGCACTAATGTCACTCCAGTTGTCACCAAGGATCCGACCAACACGTCGGGTGCTGGTGGATCAACGACTCCTGGCACTAATGTCACTCCAGTCGTAACCAAGGATCCGACAACACGTCGGGTGCTGGTGGATCAACGACTCCTGGAACAAACGTCACTCCAGTTGTCACCAAGGATCCGACCAACACGTCGGGCGCTGGTGGATCAACGACTCCTGGAACAAACGTCACTCCAGTCGTAACCAAGGATCCGACCAACACGTCGGGCGCTGGTGGATCAACGACTCCTGGCACTAATGTCACTCCAGTTGTCACCAAGGATCCGACCAACACGTCGGGTGCTGGTGGATCAACGACTCCTGGCACTAATGTCACTCCAGTTGTCACCAAGGATCCGAACAATACGTCGGGTGCTGGTGGATCAACGACTCCTGGCACTAATGTCACTCCAGTCGTAACCAAGGATCCGACCAACACGTCGGGTGCTGGTGGATCAACGACTCCTGGAACAAACGTCACTCCAGTTGTCACCAAGGATCCGACCAACACGTCGGGTGCTGGTGGATCAACGACTCCTGGCACTAATGTCACTCCAGTTGTCACCAAGGATCCGACCAACACGTCGGGCGCTGGTGGATCAACGACTCCTGGCACTAATGTCACTCCAGTTGTCACCAAGGATCCGACCAACACGTCGGGTGCTGGTGGATCAACGACTCCTGGCACTAATGTCACTCCAGTTGTCACCAAGGATCCGACCAACACGTCGGGTGCTGGTGGATCAACGACTCCTGGCACTAATGTCACTCCAGTCGTAACCAAGGATCCGACCAACACGTCGGGTGCTGGTGGATCAACGACTCCTGGAACAAACGTCACTCCAGTCGTAACCAAGGATCCGAACAATACGTCGGGCGCTGGTGGATCAACGACTCCTGGAACAAACGTCACTCCAGTCGTAACCAAGGATCCGACCAACACGTCGGGCGCTGGTGGATCAACGACTCCTGGAACAAACGTCACTCCAGTCGTAACCAAGGATCCGACCAACACGTCGGGCGCTGGTGGATCAACGACTCCTGGCACAATGTCACTCCAGTCGTAACCAAGGATCCGACCAACACGTCGGGCGCTGGTGGATCAACGACTCCTGGAACAAACGTCACTCCAGTCGTAACCAAGGATCCGACCAACACGTCGGGCGCTGGTGGATCAACGACTCCTGGCACTAATGTCACTCCAGTCGTAACCAAGGATCCGACCAACACGTCGGGTGCTGGTGGATCAACGACTCCTGGCACTAATGTCACTCCAGTCGTAACCAAGGATCCGAACAACACGTCGGGTGCTGGTGGATCAACGACTCCTGGAACAAACTTCACTCCAGTTGTCACCAAGGATCCGACCAACACGTCGGGTGCTGGTGGATCAACGACTCCTGGCACTAATGTCACTCCAGTCGTAACCAAGGATCCGACCAACACGTCGGGCGCTGGTGGATCAACGACTCCTGGCACTAATGTCACTCCAGTCGTAACCAAGGATCCGACCAACACGTCGGGCGCTGGTGGATCAACGACTCCTGGAACAAACGTCACTCCAGTCGTAACCAAGGATCCGACCAACACGTCGGGCGCTGGTGGATCAACGATTCCTGGCACTAATGTCACTCCAGTCGTAACCAAGGATCCGACCAACACGTCGGGTGCTGGTGGATCAACGACTCCTGGAACAAACGTCACTCCAGTTGTCACCAAGGATCCGAACAATACGTCGGGTGCTGGTGGATCAACGACTCCTGGCACTAATGTCACTCCAGTCGTAACCAAGGATCCGACCAACACGTCGGGCGCTGGTGGATCAACGACTCCTGGAACAAACGTCACTCCAGTCGTAACCAAGGATCCGACCAACACGTCGGGCGCTGGTGGATCAACGACTCCTGGCACTAATGTCACTCCAGTTGTCACCAAGGATCCGACCAACACGTCGGGCGCTGGTGGATCAACGACTCCTGGCACTAATGTCACTCCAGTCGTAACCAAGGATCCGACCAACACGTCGGGCGCTGGTGGATCAACGACTCCTGGAACAAACGTCACTCCAGTCGTAACCAAGGATCCGACCAACACGTCGGGCGCTGGTGGATCAACGACTCCTGGAACAAACGTCACTCCAGTCGTAACCAAGGATCCGACCAACACGTCGGGTGCTGGTGGATCAACGACTCCTGGCACTAATGTCACTCCAGTTGTCACCAAGGATCCGACCAACACGTCGGGTGCTGGTGGATCAACGACTCCTGGCACTAATGTCACTCCAGTCGTAACCAAGGATCCGAACAACACGTCGGGTGCTGGTGGATCAACAATAATTGACTCTACCAGCCAAACTTTTATTTTGAGCCCTATTACAAGCCCGTCCACCAGTTCATCTCAAAGCTCTACAATATCTTCGAATATTTCATCTTCGGGTCCCACACCAACATCACCAAACTCTGACAACCTATTAACCACTCCTGTCACCAATTCTAGCACCAGCACTACCCATGCAAATAATGGCATTTTCGGGTTTGTGAGCTCAGTTATTTTTGGCACCAACTCATCCACGACTACAACCACGACTACTTCATCGTCCACTGCGTTGGTTCTACCGTCGTCAATTTCTACATCAATTTTGTCGATATCTTCAACGCCAACTCCAACGTCGACTCCAATTTCTACTTCAACCAGACTACCACCCCCGCGAGGCACTGTAATTATCAGGCATGTTTAGTTGCTTTCTGCAAATTTTGGTTTCCTATCCCTCGCATCTTCATTATAGGCACTCATGTATTTGTGTGTAGCCAACAGCCAGATTGTTACTGTTTACGTGTCGGATGTTCCTCAGCTATAATATGATTTTTGTACCGAAAGCTGGAGTGGTGGTTTTTTGGTACCTGTTGTTAGCTTTGCTGCATGACTGCACTTTATTTTTTATTTTTAGTTCTTTATATTTTGTTTGAATTATACTATTTATGTATACCCAAGGCTCGGTGTCATTATTAATATGGCATGCGTGGCTGTACATTTAATTTTATACTTGCATATTAATTTATATCCTTTTCTTGTGCTGTTTGCTTCCCACTATGCAAATTTTACCGTTACCATTTTTCAATCGCGGCAATATTCAATTTATTCTGCAACTTTTATACGATATATTAATGGTAACATCGGATGCTCCAAGCTTGTGTTATATGTTACTGCGTACAAGTATATTTGCCGAAACCACCGGGAAGGACGTATATATAAAGCAAAGTTTATTTCTGTTCACATTTCCCTCATCTTTTCAGTTTTTTTATTTTATCCCTTTGTCCAACTAAATCATTATCTATCCCACATATACACATCATTATTAAATGAGGTCAACTTTTATCATCGCAATCATCGCCGCCATTGCTGGCACAACTATTGCCACGCCTGTCGGCTTCAGAATTCCAGGAATTATTGATATCGATATTAACCAGGGCAACGGCGTCAATGTCAGTATTTTCGGCGGCCTCATCAGCACCAATGCCAACAACCATCCGCCCAGGCCGCCGAAGGCCGTGAAGCCTCCCATCATTTTCGGTTTTGGCAGGCCCTTCTAAACACGCAAATATCGTTGCATGTCTAAGCGGCAGACCTTGGTTACACAGCTTATATAGTTCTACATTTTCAACATTTTGTATTTCCAAGTCCATTATAAGCTATTGAAAAAGTAACAAATCCTTTAAAATCACGCTGCATGTTTAGCGTACACAAAAATATATGATATTAGAAAATGCGTTTTGATGTTATATTCCACCCGTTAAATGTGCAAATAGTTGGCATTACAAAAATAGTACATCGACGTCAGCAAAAGAAAAATGCAAAAAAATATCTAATCGTGCTCCAAGTCTAAAGACTTCAAATTGTCGGAGAGTCCCAAGTGGTCGTAGAAACAGCAACGGCAGCGTCCGAATGCTTTGCAGCCATCGCCCGTATTGCCTCCCCCTCAAGTTTGGTATCCAAGTTCGTCACTGGAGAGGCTGTCAATGTGTCTGCAGCTCCTGCGTCGACTGCCGAGTCCGATGACCCGTTCATACTCGAGTTGGACGACTTGTGGAGCCTGGCGCGACGGCGCCGCACAGAGCCCGAGCCCGACACCAGCACCGGCTTCTTGCGCGACCTGCCCAAAGAGCCCTGTGTGTGCTTTGTTGAGGACTGACCACTGCTACTTCCGCCTTCTTCGAGTAGCGCGCACACGGCCTCGGCAGTAATAGTCGATGAGGCCGATGCGATTTGCTCAAACAGACCAGCTGGGCCAGAAGTCAAGGACGACCTGGACTTTTTTCTCCGGGTAATGTTAGTCCCACCGGCAGTCTTGCTAGCAGTTGTCTTCTTAGAGTTCCT